TCCCAGAACAATACCACTGAACAGTTGCCAAGGATATTCACACCCCACAGGTCACTATGAGTGGCATGAGATTAAGTCAACATTCGTGTCCAGCCAGATACACATTGTTATGGACAGTTCTGCATTGCTGGACTCCATTCATGTGCTGTTGAGGGGAGATAACTACAAATGTCCAGCCATTGAAGAGTGCTTAGTAACATGATCTGTATGAGCAGTTGCACACACAAATAATATGAATAGCTGCCACGACAATTGTTTTATTGTTGTGCTGTTCAGCCTTGATTGAGTGCAGAACTTGATTTTGAGATTTGATATCAGGAAATGTCGCAGTGATTTCAATAGCCCTTTTTACCTGAAGGCGATATATGTTTGAGCATATCGTGATTGGGGCCACTCTGTTTATGTTTGATGGTGTTTGATTTTCATTTAACTTGAGAAGTTGTAATAGAAGTTGATATGTTTGATAAAATTTGTGATTTATTTGTATAAACTTGTTTGGGATGGTCGTTTTAGTGAGGAATCATAAATGCTAATTCTTTTTAAACCATGCCTGCTTCATCTTTAACCATACATTACCTTACTGATAGTGAACTGTTTGGCAAACACCACATGGCAATTGACCTCTTCTTGTTCACTTTGGTTCTAGTTCCCCTTTTCACAATTTACAAGTTACAAGGTGCTTGTTACAGCAAATATAATATTGTGTCTGTTAGCATGTGTGCCTGTGTGGTCAATTGTGATATTAATGCGAGGATGAGATTATTGTGTAAAATGCGTCCTGTGATCAGAGAAATAAAGTGACAGTTACTGTCTATTGTTGTAGGTCTACTCATTTTATCAGAAACAATGACATACACAACACACACTAAATATACCATGCAATTGAGTGTTATAAGATTTGGATCTTCTCTCCAAGTATTGTGTCATGTGTAGTTACCGTATTTCTTCTAATAAGCACTTGGGCACTTGGGCGCTTTTTTCAACGGTCTTCCAGACCTGGTGCTTATTAGAGGCCTGGCGCTTTTTGGAAACCCGGTGTTTATTCATCTTGCACCGGATCCCATACATATTTATGTGCATGAAACCCTCTGATTGCAGCTTTGACAATACATAATATCCATAATATCCAGCAACCCGTGCTAGTGTGGAGGACAGGAAGTTATGACTAAAGGAACTTTTCCTTAATAAATCTATTTTTGGATCAAGGGAGAATACATTTTTAACAAAAGGTACCCGGCACTTGTAACAGACCTGGTGTTTATTAGAGGGAATACGGTTTTTGTGTAAAGTAGATCAAGCAGTTGCCTAGACTTGCACAAGTCTCTCAGATAATAAATAATAGCTTATTGATAATGTTTAATAATAATGAATTAAAAGAACATATTGTCCCTCTGGCATCCTGTACTGTCTGCTTATCTAGACTTGCCTCTTTATAGGATAGAATGACTATACATCCATGGGTTTAGTATTTGGTACAGCCTTGGAGCAAGGCCAGCAGTATGGAGGCATGCTGTCTGTAACCTATCTACAGATCTTATAATCTGGAGCGAAGCTCTCCCACATTGTTAAATGTCCACCATAGCTACTACAGTCATGGTGAACACTTTACGTTGGGTGTTTTGTTCGCAGGATTGTGATTACCTGAGTAACTTGATCAGGCTCATTTCAATAAGCCTTATTTGGAATTTTCTGTTTTTGTTTTCAGGAAAGTTAGATCCCATGCCAAGACTGATATGTTAAGTTTGTTAAGAAAGTGAGATGGTATTCTTGGACAGAACTGTTGTCATTCAATACAATGTCATGGAATTCTATGTCTGTGTGTAATATTGTTGAATGTCCCTGTGCCCTGTAAGTGGAGTGAGTGAGTGAGTGAGTGAATGAGTGAGTGAGTGTTTTACTCTGCTTTCAGCTATATTTCAGCGATAACACTAAAACTTAGGCTTCACACAATGTAAGAGCAAATACTTTATTGAGAAGGGCTTTTAACCCCAGGGCCCTATTATGCATCAAGAAGGACACATATATATACACTGAAGTCATCTAGTACAGTGGCATCAGACACAAGGATCATACTGGATTTGCATGGAGGAACATCACACTTCAATAGCCCATCTTGGTTGAGCATCACTTAGTCTCACTGACAGAACTCCCCTGGGTTTAAAGTCGATCAATCTGTTAGAACTCAGTGATATCATTTATGCGTGGATGATATTGATCACACGCCCACATGGGCAGTATCAATGTTGAAAAAATTATTGTCAAAGAATAAGATTTTAAAAAGTTTGCAGATTAGCTACAGGTTATAACACATTCAATAAATATATATAATTGTGTAAGTTATTCAAAATATTCCGTATGCATATTTCTTTTTAGGGCAATGCCTGTTTTTTCACTTTGCTTGTCTAACCATTTAGTTTTTATCATCTTGAGTGGAAGTTTAAATTGTGAAGATAATAAGAGGAGTTATCTTTCCTTGGCCGTCAAGTTCCTTCCTGTCATGTGACACCATTGTTACCGTCACAGTATCATCACTGACACCAGTGTGCAAGCTGCCATTACAAGATTCTCACACATCATCCCTGTATCCCCAAATGTTGGAATATACTTTTGTGTGTATATATCTTTGAGAATTTGATTCTTAAGGTGGTTTAGAAAAGGTTTACCAGACATTTGCGGCAATATTATACAGGGCTCCATGCTCACTGCGAGGAGCTAGCTTTTGCACCAGGCCAAAAAGCCTACCAAGCAGGATATTTTGAATTAAGTTTATTCCTAATGTTATATAAAATGGTTTCAAAGGTGTGATATCAGTGGATTTCATTCCAAGTCTCAATGTACACACCTACCAGCACCTACTAGACCTCTCTTCTCCAGCCAAAACTGCCATGATATTGCTGGAATATTGCTAAAAGCACATAAAACCATATTCACTCACTCTTAAGCCAAAATATTGCTATATGAAATAATTGTGCAGATTTGTACTGGAAAACGAGGAGGTACATTGACAATGATAGTTATCTCCTGGTTCCCCAAGCAAAGGCCTCACCCTCTCAATAGAAAAGAACTCCAAAATGAACACCAAAATGATGGATATGTATAAATGGCACAATGCCTACATTGACAATGATAGTTATCTCATGGTTCCCCAAGCAAAGGCCTCAACCTCACAACAGAAAAGAACTCACTTCCAAAAATGAACACCAAAATGATGGATGTTTATATAAATGGCACAATGCATAATCAGTGTATTCTCTGGATTCTTAAGACAGGCTTTATTCATACAAAAATATGTGAAACAAATGATGCAGGGTATTGGCCTTATATAATTGCTTAGATTTTTTTAATAGTCACACTGGGCATAAATTCATGAATAAATTATTGAATCAACAGTAGACCTTTATGTTTGTGTAGATTTTTGCTTTGAAAGTGGGTCAGTCGGTCAGTGAATGTGGTTCTACACCATTTTCATAATATTCCTGCAATATCACAGCTGGGTACACAAGCTTCATAAACTGTACCTATGAAGGGAATCGAACCTGGGACTTCAGTATGACTAAGTAAAGCTGTAACCTCAAGGCTAACCCATTTTTCCTAAGACAGATAGATTTATGGGATACTATATTGCTCTTCAAGGACATATGGAGGCAGTGGGGTAGCATAGTGGTTAAACTGTTTGCTCATCACTCTGAGGGTTCGATTCCCCACATGGGTACAATGTGTGAAGCCCATATCTGGTGTCCCCCACCGTGATATTGCTGGAATATTACTTGTAAAACTAAACTCACTCACTCATGGACATAGACAACATACACAGTTTGTGTTTCTCTGTATGTTTATATTGATCTACTGTGAACACCCTTGGAACACTACAGTATGCTTGATTTACTACTGATAATGGTCCTTAAGAAGCTCAAGTGACAGAATCAAAGTGACCGTTAAATGTTTTAAGTAAATGGGTATCCTTTTGATCACAAGTCCTTGTTGTGTTAAGCCTGAGTGATTGTATTCTTTGTGCATTGATGTAGGTAGTCCACTCACAGTTGTGTGTGTGTAAATGTGTGTGTGTGTGTGTGTGCACGCGTGCACACATGTGTGCATGTGTGCGTGTGGTACGTGCGTGCATGTGTGCGTGCGTGTGTGTGCGTGAGCGCATGCATGTAGGAGATCAAACCAGACACTGTATTCCTTGACCACAAAAGTTACTTAAGTCCTGTTGGTTGGAATCTCAGGTTCATTGTAACAGTTTGACTGCTCGATCCATACTTGTGTACATGTTTTGTTTCAACATCAGTTCATTAGATTGACAACCCCTGATAAAACTGAAACTTGAAACACAGACCGAATCAGCAGCAATCACTCAAGATACATGTTGTGTATAGGCCATCGTTTTTGTTTATTATAACAGATACGGTAATGTCATGCTCACATGAATACCATCTCTGTGCTGTTGTGGGTAGAGCATCTCTGTGGTGTTGTGGATAGAGCATCTCTGTGGTGTTATGGGTAGAACATCTCTGAAAACAGATGTTTGTGGTGGGTCCCCAGCTGCATTATGCCAAAACACATTAAAAGATGGTACTTGTTGTTACCCTGGCTGTAGCCCAGCATAAAGGGGATGAATCAAGAACTGACCAGTTACAGGTATACTGTGTCTTTGTTTGATAGGCATGTTATGCTGTGGCATGCATGGTATCTCAGGTGGCCTACTCACAGCTCTATGTATTTGGTATATCATTGTTTAAGTAGAACAATCTTGAAAGCATACTCACATGCTCCCACACATCTTAAAACTGAAATATAATATGTAATAAAGGGATTGTAAGGCAAGGAGGAGGCAAGGGTGGCCAAGTTGGCCATGCTGCTGACATTCCCAATATCGAAATGCATCCCAGGGGTGTTCCCAAACCTACAGTTGTGGGTTTGAATCCCACATTTGAGTTGATTATGTTCCTAGTTTGTCAGCACCAAACAGATTTTTAATATGATTTGTTTCATTCCAGGTGTCGAGCGTCAGGCATGGGATTGACAACAGTCCTCCGAAACGGTACCCTCACCTCCTACTGCGTCTTAAACAAATACAGGTAAGAATAAAACCATATTTAGTTTGTGGGCATGATTTTAAAGTATTTAGGAATACACATTGTATGGGTTGTTAAGTAACTTTGTTATTTAGCCTGACTCACCTTCTGACATAATACCTGTGTTAGAATATTGATCTTCAGTAACCCATACTTGTTGTAAGAGGCGACTAACGGGATCGGGTGGTCAGACTCGCTGACTTGGTTGCCACATGTCATCAGTTCCCAATTGTGCAGATCGATGCTCATGCTGTTATTCACTGGATTGTTTGGTCCAGACTCGATTATTTACAGACCGCCGCAATATAGCTGGAATATTGCTAAATGTGGCGTAAAACTAAACTCACTCACTTCTGCCACAAACCTTTCAGAACGTGTCAGATTTGTTGTGGAATTTAGGTATGGCTTTGTACCTGCCTGTATATACTTGGAAACCACAGGGTTACTGTCCAGAGGGGACTGTGTGGTATTTTAGAATGAACAGGAAGCTTCCCGAATTACTATTAGCCCTTGAGTCTTACCTGCATTAGATATTGATAATTTCTGTAAGTTATCAATAATCTTCCATTCTCTTGGACCTAGTTGACTGGGCTTTGTAAACAGATGAATGGAAATTTTTTAAATGATTAAAGTCCATGCTGTATCAGGTTATTTTTAATTAGCATATTATGCAGTCACATGTTCCATAAGCTTTACATCATTCCCTGCAGTAGAGTTCATGTATACATGCTGATTGCTTGCAGTCATTCCATAAATCGTCAATGACTTCAGTGTATGTCACTTGGATAAACTATACCAGTTAGCACTGTGTTGTTATACCATCTGGCTACTGGATTTCTTCATGTAAATTTGTACACAAACAACTCAAAATTAATTGGTCATGGTGATTTGTTTGAGTAATTTTGTATCTGTTACGTTCATGTAAAGTACTTAGGGAAACACAGTCCTGGTTGATGAAAAAATACATTAAATATATTTTAGAAAGCACTGTGTGAAAGGTTGAAGTGAAGGGCTTTGGAGGAAACTTAATAGGGGTTGATATAATCTTGAACTCTAAAATTTCATGGAATTGTAGGCTTGACAATGGTATAAAACCATAGTTTATAGTAACATGAAAACATGTCCTTCCCTTGAAATATACATGTTATTTTGCATGACATACACGGCCATGAATTACTCCTCCCATTGTAATTCTGCTGTGTCTCATTCACTGGGCATAGACTGTGCTGGAGAACACTTCAGCTATACTCTTCACTCTTCACTTTACTGTAAGCAGTTCACCGTAAGCTAGGAACCACTTGAGATGAGCTCCACACACACACTTAAACACTCGTATCATATATCCCCAGACACAAAAACTATTCACTCCCCTTTAGTGGTATGGCTTTTAGCTTCCCTCCTTGTCATACTTACAAACAGTGTTCAAACATCTACAACTCCTGGCATTTTAGCATTTTTCAGATATAAAACTTCAGTAATTGGTTTGTTTAGCTTTTCTCGGGTAAATAACTTACAATAATTGGTGTCAATATTTTTTGTCCTTTTTTTCATTTGTTGAGAGATATAATGTAACCGCTGGTGTGTACATTTTGTGTAAAGTCACACAAGTTTATTGAGGGGTATATGTACAAACGACTGTGCACACTGTAAATCTAATGTATGCAACTTGTAGGCAAGTCAGCAACAATACCTTCATCTTCTTATTTAATCAGCAACTCACAAAACCTAGAGACAATGATACGAACACAATGACATCATTTAGAACAATACCGCAACACAGGCATTGGTCATATACATCTGGTTGATTACAGACATAACAGACTATTGTTTGGTTATCTGTTGAAACCATGCAATCACTTGCAATTTATTTATTGGCATAAACTGATCTTATAAACTCTTTTAGAATATACAAATCACTACTCCAGACGGTGAAATATCTGTCGTTTTTAACATCAAAGAAATTAAGATATCCATTTATACGTTTTAGGTTAGGCTTGATCAACATAATGGTAAACGAAGGAAGACGTTATTATATTGAACGGTGCAAGAGAATGTGACCTCTGTGTAATTTAGGTGTGGAAAATGAAATCCATTTGTTACTTGTATGTCCTTTTTATAAAGATTTGCGTACGAAATATATAGCTGAATATTATCTATGTAAGCCACCTACATTAGCTTTTAAACTACTTCTTTCATCAACTGACCAGCATGTAATAATAAAGCTGTCGTACTATATCAATTATGCTCTTATTAAACGTAACAATCTGATATATAGTTTTGTAGACCCATCGTATTTCACTACATGTACGTAATTTACTTCCTGTAACACGATTTACTGTTTGGATCACTAATTACTACTTTTGCACCATATGTATAATGTATATGTATAACTCCAATGTATATGGGCCGGAGGCCTTTTGTACAATAAACATGTTTGACTTTGACTTATATCTCACTCACCCACTCACTCAAGTAGAAATCTCAAGTAAAAGTTCTACCCTCAAGAGCGCAATTCAGTACTTTTGTTTTATAAAAAAATATTTTGTTATCACTGCTGTGGTATTAAGCAGAGAAAGTTTATCTAATGTCAATCAATGGTTTGTTTATCACGTTCGGTATACACTACCGAGATATTGACCACCGTCGCTGATGATTTACCTTCAAAGAAGGCTCCTATCTGAAATCTACCTGGCCCAGGTGTGTACTTACCTGTCTGCTTGAACAATCAGCTTTGTTCTCCAGAATTCATTTCCCTATTGTCTGATGTCAAACAGTGCAAGAGAATGTATAAAGAAGTAGGCAGATATATAAGTCCAAGTTTAGATGATTTCATTGTGTTTGTCATCAATGGCCAAGTGGAATGGTGATTGTCTTTCTCAGGTTGGAAGATGTTGATCAGTATGTACTCAGGGAATAATAAATCAATGGCTTGTGTTTCTGTTTACAAGAACAATATTGGAAAGTGGAAATGATCAATACCTGTTGTGTGTTGGTCTGTATCCTCAAGTATGCTGTATATTGTGAATAAATCATTTGGGTGAATGCTGCTGTAAACACTATTACAATTGATAACAACATGTCGTCCTAAGAAATATAGGATAGAGTCCCTATTTATCTCATGAAATATGCATGCCTTAACAAATAAAATACACTGAAATATTTTTTTAGATGTGTTTTTATAAATTGGAAGAAGACTTTGCTTAAATTAATATTTACATGTAGTAATATAACAATCATCTGTTGTCACTACCTTGCTCATTTTGAAATTTCTCTTGAACTAAAGAAATCAGTCTTTGCTCTTCCTTATGGTCATGCTAGGACATATGGCAGCAAAATGGTTGTCAGCTCTTTGAACAATTATTGGAGACAAAGAAGAAATCTTCACAGTCTAGATAAACATGAGAAATGGTTGATGTGCACCGAGATACTGAATAATTAAAGTTAGGCTATTTCGTTCCCTGTATTTCTATGAGATGTTAGTCAATATATACCCAGTCAATAGTATGTGTTAGAATTGTGAAAAGAGAAGTTGGACAGGATCAATAACAAATATGCATCGGCTTGAATTTGATAGTTTTCTGACTATCTATAGAGCGATTTGGGTTTAATGTTGTCTTGATCAATGTTGAATTTATCTCACAGCATGTCAGGATAGTAATAATATTCTGAAAAAGATCTAAATAATGCACTGTCTAGATTAGACTTGCTCAGTCCGGTTTGTTCTATCATACCGCAGCAGTACAGTTTCTGTGAGTCTCCAATGTCCCCACATACATCTCCTTCAGATGTCCGACCACACTGTGAGACCAAAAAAGGGAGATGTAATGATGCTTTAAGTGCTTTGTAACACATATCTTTGGGATATAAATGCTTTTGTAGTAAAGTAGTTGAGTCCAATCTAGGATTCGAATCCATACACTCAGAGAAATGCCCAAATGGCACAATGTCATTTAGAATGTGATCAAATGTAACATATGCTATATAAGACATTACTGAAAGTCTGTGATCAAACCCACTCAGCCAGTGAGACATAATGGCAGGAGGGTTAGCTGCAATGGAAAAGAACATGTACCTGTATTGTTGTGGTTTAGGTTGTGACTAACTTTAAATGTTTCCACAGGTAGAGGGATGTATGTTTCACAGGTAGAGGGATGTGTTTCCACAGGTAGTTTCCACAGAGTAGAGGAATGTATGTTTCACAGGTAGAGGGATGTATGTTTCCACAGGTAGAGGGTATGTATGTTTCCACAGGTAGAGGGATGTTCCATAGAGTTTGTATGTTTCCACAGTAGAGGGATGTACACAGGTAGAGGGATGTATGTTTCCACAGGTAGAGGGATGTATGTTTCCACAGGAGGGATGTATGTTTCCCACAGGTAGAGGGATGTATGTTTCCACAGGTAGAGGAATGTATGTTTCCACAGGTAGAGGGATGTATGTTTCCACAGGTAGAGGGATGTATGTTTCCACAGGTAGAGGGATGTATGTTTCCACAGGTAGAGGGATGTATGTTTCCACAGGTAGAGGGATGTATGTTTCCACAGGTAGAGGGATGTATGTTTCCACAGGTAGAGGGATGTATGTCAGATAACCTTGTGGTAAACCAGCTGAAAACACTATTGTCAAATCAATAGAATTTACAAGGCGATAAATGTCCTGTGTTTTTATATTTTATGTAGTCATATTCCATGGAGTAGATGTGTTATTTTTATTTTCTAATCCAGTTCTTTAGGGCTTTGAATTATCTGTTCCTCAAATAGGCTACTCAGTAAGACCAACAAATAAGAAACTTAGTCAAAAGAGTGCTTCTTAAAATTGGTAGAATAATTCAAGGAGAAAGTTTGAAGGAAATGTGTGCATTTTGAGATAACCTTGACATTTATCCCAGAAAGAGGAGGAGAAGATGGCCGAGGTGGACCATGAGAACAAGCTGCTGCTGCAGAAGATGACGCAGATCATGAGGACACATGGGCGCATCGACAACTGGAACATGGAGCATGAACCTCGCAGGTCAGTTGTGTGGAGGCTACAGGAGTGTTTGAGATTCAGGTCTGTAGCTGGATGTACTGTGGATACTTGCTACCCTGGGGGATTCCTAGGAAGAACAGGTCCCCAGTATGCCTTGCTCATTGTGAAAAAGGGCTAGGGCATATTAGGTGGTCTGACTTGACGTTCATGCTTTCTGATCAGGGGTGTGAAGCCACATTCACTCACTCAGTACAGTATGTCTCATCAATCATTGAAAAACTACGTTGATTTATATTCCAGCAATATCCTAACTGAGGTTGGGAGGTAGCGGAAACACAAAAAATGGTCGTTGATATTCCCATGTAAGACATCAAACCCATTTTTCTGACAAGCAAAATACTTCACCACACTACTAAACACAGAGCCATGTGTAAAACTAAAGGGACAATGGTGTTAGGATGTGTTTAACTATATACAACAGCTACCAGTATGTGAAAACATATATAGAACACGTAAGAATGAGGCATGATTTATTTCACTGTAAAACATTGCTCTGTTATGATATCTGGACTTTGGCAACTTAATGATGTCATAAAGAAGATGATGGTTAGAGGGTATTGAATTGTTTCCTTAGATGCACTCTGCAGTGCTGATAAATGATATATAAGTGGGCAGTATACAGAAATCTGTAACTGAACAATAAGCACAGGTAATGGTTGTCAACTGTTTGGGTTTTTGAGAGTATTCTAGAAATACCAAATGTAAAGCCTGTTCATCAAATGGACTGCCGGTAGTGTTTCATTGCACAATAGGCAAATCCCTGTGTTGGTTATTTCTCACGTAATGTCTCCCTCCTGTAAATATAAGCATCTGTTTCAGCCTGAACTACCCCTACAAACATAAGCAGCTGGAGAAGATTGCGGAAGAGAACATCAACATCGCACGTCGGCTGGAAACTGTGCAGCCAATATACAGCAAGGAAGAATGGGTAGGAGGGGGTTCATGTAAAGTGATTGCTTTTTTCAACCTCAAATAGAATGACATGAAATAACAAATAATTCATTGACTGGTTTGCAAAAGTGTTTTGAATGTGGGTCGAAAGCTGGAAATCTTCTCAATTTATTCTGAACTTGAAAGCATTTTCTGAGTTTATTGCTAGGGGGTGATGATGATTTTTATGGAGAAGCACTTGTCATGTTAGTCTAACAAGTATGAGAGTTCACATAAAAATGTTACAGAAAGCAACACTGACAATTATCATTACATGTATTCAAACTTGTGGAAATCTTAATCTTTCCAAAATAATTTCGGCAAAATACTCAATAACCTATGTAAATCTAAAATGGTCCCAATGAGTTGACCTGGTCATGATGTTGTGATGTTGACTGTCCTGCTCATGATGTTGCGATGTTGTAGGAGGAAGAGTATCAGCAGCGCCGCTACCTCATGGATCTGTGGGCCTACTCCACCAAAGACTACGACGACACACCACGTGGCAAGTATAAGAGATCGGTGAGCCACTGTACCTCTGTTCAAGTGTTGCTGTTAACAGTCTGTATGTTTGGTTGATTGTTTCAAGTCTGTGTGGTAGTTTGAGGATAACATTACTAGTTGTGATCTGTCTTGTGTTACCACATGGTGTTGGGATGACCACAGAACTAACTTTGCTGTCTGGTGTCTTAGGGAATCTCCAGTTTAACAGTGACAGGCTTTAGGTTGTAAACTGCTGTATTGTTTAAAAATAAAAGATATATTCACCTGCCTTAATATGCCATATATTCCTGTATATAAAGTGAAATATGTATATGGCAACCCCTGTATAAACCTTATAAATTGATGCTAATTTATATACCCTGTTTAGAATGTGACTCTGAATGAAGCACATGCATACGTCATCCCCATATTTCCAAACATGTGTTTGTCTTCTGTTGGTTTTCAATACTTGGTCATGTAGAACATGGCGCCATTTGGAGTGTTGGTATGGTGTGGCACTAATTATTAATGGGTAACAGAAAAGAGACCTGTACAAAAGGCCTGAAGTAAGTTAGACGAGGGAGTTAGACTGATACATGCCTTTTCCAACACTTGCTGTTATATGAAACAACCCAAAGGGAATCGATTTCAGGTTCACTGGTTAGATATCATGTGTTAGGTCACATGGGTAACTGATTTGGGACGTCTCAAGTTACAAGAATATGATTTCATTATTGGTTATATTTATTCTGCTTATTAGCTTATTTTAATGCAACAGAAAAATTAGATATATATCTTTATGGAAACAATGTCAATGCAGTGTTCAGTAAAATTAACTGTTATGCCAAATTGTATCAGAAAATTATAAATTTACACATTTAAATTAATATATGCAGACAACTTGAATCTGATGAATTCAACTTTCTAATATGTAGATAAACATTTAACAAGTGAGTTACTGTATCTTAATGTTCAACATGAGTCTGGACATGAGTGAATCCTTGTGTAGGGCCAGTCATTATTCATGTACTGCAGCACTGTTTTGTTCTATCCACAGAAGGGTGAAGATTCCGATGGCAAGTATGATTCAGATTTTGAGTCGGATGATGATGCAAAGAGCAGCAAACTGCCGAGCATTGTAAGTTGAAAAACAGAATACGATCTCTGAGTTACAACAAAACATCTTTCAGTTTGACTGCAGTCAACATCATTTTCTTGTGTCCCAAATGAATTATGTTGGAACAATGTCATACTTGATGCTGGTATACAAAGTGTGGTATGGTTGTAGTGTGTGAACTTAATGATTGTATACATAGCTTTGACGTAGTGTGTAACTTAATGCTTGTATTTGTTAGCATTGTATGGTTGAATTGTGTAACTAAATACTTATTTAGATACTGTTGTATTGTTGAAGTGCTGTTACAGTAGAATGAGTAGATTTGTGTGTTAATTCTCTCACAATCATAAGCAAATTCCAAAACAGCCTTTTCAATGGTTTTGTACTCCTCTGTTTATACATGGGTTAGTGTGAGGTTGAAATATGAACAATTATGTTAGGTCATAGTTCTTAAAGATATAAAATAGTAGAAAACCTATATATCATAAGTGATGTTATGTTATGTTCAAAGTGTTGCTTGTTTTATCAAATGCTCATGGGGGTTGTCTCCCCTGATGAGTTGAGCATCTTGACAGCTTGTGTTTTATTTCAAGACTGATCATCTGTCATTTTGTTTTTCATTTGATTGTGAATTGTCATCTGTTCTGTTTTTATTAATAAGGCCAGACAAATTTTATTTCTTGTTTTATGGATCCGCCGGTCGTATTTTTTCAAGAATAAGAAAAAACATGAAAGTTTATTTCCCACGCTCAAAAAACAAAATCCTTATGTTTTTGTTGGCCAAAAATGTAAACTTACAAGAAAACTTCTTTTTTCCAGATTGGTTTTGCCCCATATACACTTCATAAATTCCCAAAAGTAAAATACTTTTAGTATTTAGAAGGAATATTACTTTTATTACTTTATTACTATGATCATTTTATTTTTATTGTTGTTCCCTCCTGCCTTTAGGTTTTCTGAGGCCAAAAATCCATAAAACAAGAAATAAAATTAGTCTGGCCTAACCTCTATTTGTTGCAATTAGAAAGTACTGGAAAAGTCAAAATGAGAATTATGCACAAAAATGACATAAATTATTTCTGAATTATATTTTCAAGCATTCAAAATGTTTTGAGATTTTTTACATTTCACTGTCAGCAAACTTATGTTGCTTTGTTCATTTTGTTTAATTGACTCAGTTAACGTTTTCATAATTTTTATTTTCTATAAAGGATGAAAGTGACAAGAAGAGTGATACCAAGAAAGAGTCTCAGAAGAAATCAAAAGATGAGAGCCATACCAAACTTCCTAAAATCAATGAGAAGAAAAAGGTAAATTATCTTTAAAGTATTTTGATTTTTTAAAATTCAAACTAGATCCCATACTTGTTTAGGTATTCAAATATACAATGAAGATCTTGTGGCTGCATAGGTGATTGAATGGCTACATGGTATTGCCAGCACAGTCACTTCCTGGCTGATGCAGTGTGAATTCATACCCCAGTTTGGTGTTCATGCCATCTGTCCCTGCTTTAGACTTGGTCAGATAATGTACTGGCTTAATCCTTGAATGCAGTCCACTTCAGGGGTAAACACATGCATTAACTATACACCCTGAGTGTTTCAGGGGCAGAATCAAGGAGTTGTTCATGGGGTTTGAATGTTTCAGATGGACCTGTTGACTCTCATATAACATGGTGATATCCTTGAAATTCAGTCGAGGTCACCAGTATGGACCCATTCCCACTTTTGTCATATTTGCAAATCTCCCCGAACCCCCTACCCACACCTGATACACATGAGAAAATCCTGAAAACAATTCCTACATCCACCCCTTAATGATTCTTAGATCAACCTGCGTGAAAAAGTATGTTATGATCTTCCTTCCTACAAACTTACCTGAATTACTAGTGTTGATTCAAGGAAGACCATAAGATCATACTCATGTCCCATAGCATGGTAGTCATGAGTTTGAGTCTGGAATGATCTGTCTGCACCATATCGACTACCGTCTTCACTTCAAGTGTGAAGACCATGAAAGTCTTCCTCACATCCAAAACATGGTCACATGTATGTAAGAGTATGTGGCAATCACCCCATCGATGAAATCCTTACATGATTCAACTGTTTGGTCATGCTGACAAAATGTCTGACCTCATCCCAGCAATTTGTGACTTCTGAGCCCAACATGGACTGTCCTGAAGTTCACACCCTGAGCAGGATAAGTCTCAGTACCTCACTCTATGACCCAGTGTCTTCTGTTGATGGGGGAGCGTCAAGTTATAACCCTATCCCAGCAATCTGTCCAGAGGTTCACACCCTGAGCAGGATAAGTGGCCTCTGAACCCAACATGGACTGTCCAGAGGTTCACACCCTGAGCAGGATAAGTCTCTGTACCTCACTCTGTGACCCAGTGTCTTCTGTTGATAGGGGAGCGTCAAGTTATAACCCTATCCCAGCAATCTGTGACTTCTGAGCCCAACATGGATTGTCCAGAGGTTCACATCCTGAGCAGGATAAGTCTCTGTACCTCACTCTGTGGCCCAGTGTCTTCTGTTGATAGCTGAGCATCAGGGCATAGAGTCATCCTGCAGATGACATCCTTACCTTCTCACCTTAGTCGTTTGAATGGTTCATGGTTTGAATCCAGTTATGACTGTTTGTGGTTAATCTTGAGAACCAGAAATTCACGTGTGCTGCCCCAAATGCATTGCTTTTTCATACATTTTATAGCATGTTCACCTGATGTGACTTTATTGAGAGGGATCAAATCTGATTAAAAGATCTGACTTCAATGAGATTGTATTTCAACATGATTGTGTTCCATCTGTAAAATTATTCATATATATTATGATTTATACAGCATTCTGATAATGTTTGAAATTTCTGAATAATCATAAATTTATTTATTTCAAAAAGATTTTCAAATCTGCACATGATTGATATTTTTCAGTTGATTTTCTTTTATTAATGACATTTTTGACATTTTGTATTTTTTTCAATCTGCACATGACAGGAGTCTTTAGGTTTAGATCACACTTATGAGATGTATTGGGGTAATCGATATGACCCTGATGGTAACAAAGAGGTAACCAATCAGCATTTAGTCTGATGTTCAGCCAATCAGCACTTAGAGTAATGTGCATGTTCAGCCAATCAGCACTCAGCATAGTGAGCATGTTCTACCTTCAGAATGATCATGTTAACCTATCACAATTTACACCATGTCCCTTGAAAGGGATTCTGATGTTTATGCAATGTTTTGTTATCTCACTGTAACTTTGATTTCAAGATAAAAATCTTAGCATTTTAATTCTTAGAACAGTTTCAAAATTGGACTAAAATCTTCTTTAGACTATGGAAATGCTAATGCAAATTTACTGGCTGAAGGTCACGTTTTCTCCACTGTAGGTGTTTTGTCATTACTTGGTTTACAGGTCCACTGATAATTAAGTTCACAAATTTAAATAGAATTCAACAATAGATTTGCAGTTGGCCAGTCAAAGGGAGCATATTTTTGCCCTTGCAATTATGACAGTTAGAGAATCTATTTTGGAATCAATATTTCAGTTTGGGCATTTAAGTGTGTGATGTTTAACGTTTTGAGGTCCATAGTTTGAAAACCATTAGAATTAGATTGGTTTCATTTCTCCTTTATCATGCATTAAAAAGATCAGTGAAAACTGATGAAAGAATGTTTTTATAAATACATTGTATACTGTTAACTAGGTGATATCAATATGTCTTTAACCCCGTCAAGTATGACCCCACTGTAAACATTAAAATGTAAGATGGCTTTAACTCACTTGATCATTCCTAGGTGCTTTTGGTTTCCCTAGTTCCTATAAATACAGATCCTCTAGTAAACACTGTACATATAGTAGGCATTACACTTATAGTAAACACTGTACATATAGTAGGCATTACACTTATAGTAAACACTGTACATATAGTAGGCATTACACTTATAGTAAACACTGTACATATAGTAGGCATTACACTTATAGTAAACACTGTACATATAGTAGGCATTACACTTATAGTAAACACTGTACATATAGTAGGCATTACATAGTAAACACTGTACATATAGTAGGCATTACACTTATAGTAAACACTGTACATATAGTAGGCATTACACTTATAGTAAACACTGTACATTATATAGTAAACACTGTACATATAGTAGGCATTACACTTATAATAAACACTGTACATACATTACACTTATAGTAAACACTGTATATATAGTAGGCATTACACACTGTACATATAGTAGGCATTACACACTGTACATATAGTAGGCATTACACTTATAGTAAACACTGTAAACACACTGTACACATATAGTAGGCATTACAACATTATATAGTATAGTTAACACTGTACAAAGGCATTACACTTATAGTAAACACTGTACATATAGTAGGCATTATAATCACTGTACATATAGTATTACACTTATAGCTGATATTTACTACATATAGTAATTAGTTCTTATAATATAATGCATTACACTTATAATAAACACTCATAGTCCACAGTACACAGTTTCAAATGTACATAACATCAACATTATATATATAGTAAACACTGTACAAATAAAATATAATCAAGGTATTTGCTGATATACTACATTCTCATAATGCTCACCTGTTTACATAAAACCTAATACATGTACCTGTTTCAACCAGTGTTAAACAATGCTTGACAAATATAGATGTGACTGACATTGGCACAGGTAAGTGCTGACATAATGTGGTGCCAGGTATGAATATCTTTTAGCATTTCCTAAAATATAAGTTTTTAGAATACTCAGATATTCACTAGACCTATTCCAGTAGAAGTTGTTTTTTTTTCTTGAATGTTAAATAATATATCATTCAATGGAAATCTGTATATTGTACCTTCATCAGATTAAGGGTGGAATATTTTCAAGATATTGTGAAGAATGTTGTTTGGTGAAGCTTTGCACTGCTTTTGGTATTGGTATAACACCAGTTGTATGAAATTCTTTGAGAGGTATTTTAAAAGTTGTAAAGATGAAGGAAAACCAAGTTCTATGGATAGTCAACTTCTTTATTGCAATGAGTGTGATGTTTCGGTGTAGGCACTAACACTGTCATCAAGCACTGTTACCATCACTTGCTTGATAACGGTGTTAGTACCTACATCGAAACATCACACTCATTGCAATAAAGAAGTTTACTATCCACAGAACTTGGTTGTCCTTCTGTTATATGAAGTATAGGACCACACCTGAGTCACTGACTACATAAAGCACTGCTACCATATTCTCCCAGGTATAAGGGGTTGACAAGTTGAGATTTGATTTTCTTGGTGGGGGCATGAGATCTAAAAAAACCCATTTTTTCCAGAATGCTTTAGAAGAAATCAGTTTTACCTGAGGTAGTTAATGTAACAAACATTTGTTTACTGGAAAATAATGTCCTGTAAAAATGTATAAATATCTTGAAAATATAAGAGAAGATTGATTTTCTGTGGCTAACAAATCCCCAGGCCTGAATCTGTTTATATAAAATGGTCAGTCCTTATTCACAAGTTGACTTAACCTGTCATATAGTTTTACACTGAAATTGGATTTCAACCATCGTATGTGGAAGTATTATGGGCCCTTATCCAGGAGGGTCAATATGTTGATGGTGGAATAAAGGGTTAATATCTGAGTGTAAGGTTACCCTACACTTACCTGTGACACTATGGTAGCAGGTGTATTGTCATCACACTGTTCTCACTCGCTGATGTCATTGTGCTGTTTAAGTTATTTGATGATGTAGTGGTCAGTTTTGTTGTACTGAGTGGCACCAGGCACTGGAACTCCTGGTCCTGGTTGCCCCCAGTGATGCATGTTGATAGATCAAGTAAATCTAAAGTTGACTTTAACTGGTGATTAGAATGACACTGTTTCTTGAATTGAGTCAGTTTGTAAGTTGTAAGCACTAATTTACAAATATATGACTTTAAATCGGAAATCAGTAGCTATAATGTCCCATTAAAATACTTTCAATCATTGACTATCATTTCAGGGATTTTAATTACACTTTACATTTTATTTGAGAACACATGTTGAATGATGACAGAATAATGAATTATCCCATAATGCTTTGAACCTCCCAGAATTCCAAGGGTAAATCAGATAAAGATGACAATGAGGCTGTACAGGAGGGAAAGAAGTTGGAGAAAGACAATGCCAAAGGGAAAAAGGACAGGGAAGATGATAAGAACAAAGATGATAAAAAAGATGACAATAAAAAAAAGGATGGGAAAAAAGATGATAAAAATGATGCTAAGAAAAAGGATGGAACAAAAGATGATAAAAACGATGCTAAGAAAAAGGATGGAACAAAAGAAGAAAAGAAAGATGACAAGAAAGGCACAGACAAGAAGGGAAATGAGACGAAGGAGCAGGGAAACAATAATGCTCGCAAAGGCAGTAAGGACGAAGAACATTCCAAGAGCAAGAACAAGGCAATGAGATGCTGTTAATTGACCTAGCATGTTTTCTGTTCAGCTTTGCTTTGTAGTACTAGCCAGCTTCAGTTTGCATTTGTTTTGCATGTATTCATTAGCTAGTCAAGTTGACCTAATGTTGTATAAGTATTGTGTGGCGTGGCCATCCTTCATGTCCTTGCAGTCAGTAGGGCTGTAACGATGTATCGAACTATCGATGGATTGCAATTGTTGCATCTCCGATAGCAATTAATTGATGGGACAACCGAAAAACTATCGATGCATCGATAGTATGTGTGACTATCGATAGTTTAGTAATTGACTTCCGTTGGTAAATGCGCAGCACAAAATACAGGAAGTACCAGATTCGTTCACTTTGGTTTAGAGTTATCCGCCCTGTTTTTTCTTAAACAATCTTGATCTGGGTTACAAGTTTCTTGTCAGTTATTAAAAGAGACTGAAACTACTTCAGCTTGTTTTTATTTCATATAAACTATAGGCTACATTCATTTGGGAAATGACTTCAGATGAGACACTTCAAGGAGAAAAATAACCTTTTGCAATAGTATTGCAATAGTTGGTGGCAATAGGCTATCACTATCGCAGTAGTTCTTTCCCCCTCAATAGTCACCCCTAGTAGTCAGATTTATAAAGTAGCATATTGGACCAGTTTTGTTCCATGTACGTACTTACCTTGTTGTGGTTAACATTAGATCTCATTACAGTGAAACCTTGTTAATTCAGAAACCTGGTTTCTGGTCTACTGATTCTAGAGATGTCTACATAATCACGGTTCCAAAGGATGCACATAATTACGTCCTGTGTGTGTAAGAAATGAGAATAAATGTAAACACTTTCATTCCCATTAAATCACAATAACATATGTGATGTGAATCGATAACCTGATTAGATTTAGTGACTGTTACTGAGGATGCACATGAAGTTTACCTTTCAGGTTCTTATTCTTACCACTACAGTCATGCTGTTCTTAATTTTTTATGATCCAGTGTCTTCTGTGCTCAATGGAACCTGTTTTGCCAGAAAATCAAGATAATTGTCTGGTGTTGACATTTTATAATCACTCAATCAAAAGTTTTCTTTGAAACAAGAAGAAACCCATCCACAGTTACCGTAAATCCTACAAATAGTTTTCATTTGGTGCTGGTCCCTGTTCCCTGACCTCTGTGTTCATGTGGAGCCCAAATAAGACATGGCTGACAGAACTCACAACCAACAAGGCCCTGTTCCTGCATATAGTCTTACATGTAAAACAACATAACAGATCTATCCTATTCAATATTGTCGGTTATCAAAAAGAAATATTTCGGACATTTTCATGACTGTGAGACATAAGGATTCACTGTATGTCAGCCTTGGTTATCCCAGCTTTGATGTAACCGGGTATACTGTGAAGCATGTCTTGTTTGCAACCTTAGATTTTGCCTGTGTTTTAAGGTGGGGACAGCAGGGGTGTTTTGCCTGTTTATTTGTGGTATTGAGCTCCTACTTAAGTATACGTGATTTTTGTGACAGAATTGTGTTTGAATGATACTTGGTTTGTTGAATGTGGCTTGTATTGTTCCTTTTTATTGTTATATCAAATAAATCATTTTCACTTACTTACATTTTCCATTAGACATTTGTTATTAACTGCTATACCTATTTTTCCGATTGCTTGTTACCATATGTTATGGAACTAAAAATATTGCTTCGTGTTTGTTATGCTATTGTTTAATATTTGCTTCCATTTTCAAGAAATGGGTTGGATACTGATGTTTTTACATAGATATTTGCTACGCTAACATCATATTTCAATCCTTTTATGATTAATTTTATAATAGATATTTTCTTGCACTGACAAAAATATCTCTGAGGATTTGAACTCAGAAATATAGTTTACAGAGGCTCACATTGGTGTATAACAAATCCTAATGTAAAGGTAGTTATCTCCCTTAGACCAACTAGCGCATACAATTTAGGCATCCTAAAATTGTAAGCAGCCTCCGTCTTTCTTAGACATTAGTCATTGAACAGATATGTCTTAGTGTAGGCTTTAGGTAGTAGTGTCCGTTGATGATGTAGATGGAACTCAATATATGGATTAAAAAAACAGCATATTTATCTATTATGGTGATTTTACATCTTTGCCTCTTTTAATTAGTTGTGAGTACACAGATTCATTTAAAAGTAGAAGTTAGAAAAACTCCAACTGTACAATATTGTACATCATTTATTGATCTCTGAAGGTTTGCTTCTATTGATAGAAAAGTTGTCTCTATAATCATTACGTACAGTACGTACTTATGTAGTCCTCCTTAAGGATGTCTGCTGGAATGGTTTTGTGTTCAACTCTTGTATGCCCTATGAGCATGCCCCAGTGGAGTTTAGCGCCATATAAATGGACATTATTATTATCTTACATTATTATTCCAATGCAAGGCTAACTGTCATGTATTTGCCGAGTACTGCAATGATTACTCTACATAATTCTGATAATAAAATGATGTAATTAAGTCTAGAAACACATACATATAACAGATAGCTACATACCATTTAAGATTTCATGAGTTCACTGATTTTATCCTACAGATGAAATATATGTAACCTTGACCTCTGCCATTGTTGCAGGCTGACATGACACCTGTGGAAGCTGATTGCAAACAACTTTTCAAGGTTGCCAAGGAAATGGGTAAACAATATTTCCGTATATTTTCCACCAAATGTCTCTCCTCAAATTTAAACAGATCTGAGAATATTCAAAGTGAAAGAAAATTTGTCCTGTCAGTATGGGTTAGCTCACAACCTTGTCTTACAACCTGTGAATATTTTTGGTGCCATGTGGTGCCAAGGTAATGCAGATCCTCCTATGATAATGATTAACATGGTTCTATCTTTCTACAAAAACCATTGAAGGTCAATATTTTGACCTTCAATGGTCAATCTGAAAGTATCTACCTTTCATCATTGTTTACTTTCATGATCTTGTGTTGTTCCTTATTTGTAATTAATGTTTTTGTATTTGATGAAATTATTGGTGGAGGGGAAATTCTAAGTTGCTATAACTTTGTATTCAATCTATTACACTTTGAAAATAAACTATCCTTAAATCAAATCTAATCTGACCTGACCTGAGACATGATATGATGGCTAAAAGGCATAATGTGTTATTCTTACTCTGTATGTCTTCATACGCCAATGTGAAAACTAATGATATGAGTTTATATGCAGTGTAGGAAAGATGTAGAAAATCTAGCCTGTCCACAGGACTGGCAGGTCATATTTTTTTACCAGTCCTGCCAAAATCTAGCCTGTCCTCCAAATATAAATAAAACACCTTCGGCAGTAAATATTCAAAAACGTTATAATCATTATATATATGTCATTGGTTTGCTAAAATTGACCCGACATGAGGACGGACTAGATATTTTTTTAACCCGTCCTCCACAAAATTCACCCGTCTCGGACGTTGGGACGGGCTATCTTTCCTACACTGTTATATGTTGCATGAGATTGTTAGTATACTACTATAAAGGACTTCACAAAATGGACATTAATTACCTCTGTAAATTCCTTACTAATTTCAAATTTAAGTAATAATTTCATAGAGTATTCGTCTATAACCTACAATACACAAGATCAGTGCATATATTTGTGCTCTTAATTTGTCTGTTACTGAAGATATACAAGGCTGTTTTATGTTTCCAAATCCATTCTACCAAGAATGATATATTGATATATTCGTGAAAGTAATCCAGTGCTTGATGGTTCAGTATCAGTTTGGCAATCAGTTTATTCTTATCTAATAGTGTTTCAGTTGATATGAGATATTATCTTATGGACATCACATGACTTTGCACACGACAAATATAAATGCTACTCAAAAACAAGTTGATAAGCACCTGATTCTTTCATATTACTTCACTTAATCTTGATGGCATGACAGATTAACTTTAGTAATATGAAAGAATCAGGACAGTCGAAAGATTTTGAGTATTAATCTAAACTTACAGGACTGTCTCAATATTTACACTGCTAGAGAAGTATTCCACAACAGTAATCATACACACCTGATACACATTACAAAGCTTTGTCAGCAACATGAGATCTAGGTTTAACTACCTACGGGGTAATTTAAGCCTCTCACTCATGATGACATTGTATTGCTGTTAATTTTGTTATTTTGTTCATGTGTTTTTGCCTGTTAAATGTTTATATGGAAAAACAAGGTCATCTTGTCTTATCTTATCTAGACTCAGAACTGTGATGTCATGATTGATGGTGAGCATAAATGAATTAAACACATAAATAGAAATATTTGCAATTTTATTAACTTTATCTTAACTTTATTTAGGTAACAAGATAAAATTTAGGCAGAAAACAGTACTTGTTGTAGGAAAAATATATAATACTGGTAACTAATACCTGTGACCATTAATTTTTGAAGATGTTTACATCCAAACTGAATGAGTACAGTTACATCATCATTTCCTACAAGTCCCCCTTTGTATATCTGGACCGCCTCCATGGTGTAGTGGTTAGAATGTCTGCCCAGAGAGCGGAAGGTCGTGGGTTCGTTCCCCGACCGCGTCATACCAAAAGACGTTAAAATATGGTACTTGTTGGTCCCTGCCTGGCGCTCGGCATTAATGGGTACAACAAGGACTGGTCAGCTCGGAGTCAGTATAATATGTCTGAGTGGGGTATTCATGCTTCACTGCGGCATGGTATCTCAGTGGGCTAGCACTATAAAACCAGCTTCAGTCTGGGCTAGTACTAGTAGCCGCACATAAACGTACACATGCATGCACGTTGTCATATGAACGAAATATTCTCAAGCACGACGTTAAACCCAATTTCACCTCACCCCACCTTTGTATATCTACGAGGCAGTCAGAGAAACTTATTCAATGGCAGTTAACACGATTCCTAAAGGATGTCTTATGTTTTATGTACTTGGAATGACCTCTCTTGTTGTAGCTGCTCCCGATGACATCCTCATCAAGACTCTGGTGAAGAAGTCCCCCAGTTACAGACAGCAGGTCCAGAGGAAGTTCCAGGAGATGTATGACCTGGTCAGTACATTGGCAGTCTGGGGTCAGTGCAGGGGTCAAGGCAGAACCATAAGTCTGTGCAGAGTTGTGCCCCTTGCCTGCCAGGATGTGCTTGTCAATGGGTCAAGTTCATGTTGTGCTTGGCTTACCTCGAACATAATAATGATGACTACTAGAGTCAATTTGTACATCCAACATTGAACATAATGACACACTGGGGAACCAGTGACCTTCTGATGGAGGGTAGGGGCAGTGTTTTGCTTCTTTTTTTTGGTGGTGTGCGGAAAGGGGGAGAACAGTAGAGAACGGGGGAGAGGGAGGTGGTTGTGTTGTACCTGACAAACATATTTCTCTGTGGACAGATAATCTGTAATTCCTTAATTCTCAGAGGCCATTTTCTAAACATACACACAACTGGATTTAATCTGCAGATGAAAATGTAATTAGTTCCAATAGTACTCCATGTATGTAATAATACCTGGTCTAAATCTGGTCCACTGATTCAATACTGGAACATAATGATGTTAAGGGGTTGCATCAAGGGAAGGTATCATCATCTGTCATCATCTGTCAAGTAAATCAAGCATGTGTTGTCTTCATAATACGATAAAACTGATTACATAACACCTGAAAAGACTCTCCCCAAATTTAAACCTTTGTTTGTCATGAATACACAATGCTCCTCCTCAGAGCAGGTTCAAGGCGACTGACTTTGTGTGCTGGCGATTAGGTGCCTGACTCGGAGGGTATGGGTTCGAATCCTGGATGGGACTCAACCCAAAAAGTACTAGAATTTGTTCTTTACTAAGAAAGTATAATCCCAAATATAAGATAAAGTGTATGTTACTTTGTAAGATTGTTATTCTTGTATGATGAATTGTGGAGAACACTGCTGATTTGCCTTATATGCCCAGTGGAAGTGGTTGTGACGGATAATCAAGACAGAATACTGTCTGGCAGTGATCATTTAGATTCACTTAGTATAGCCATTTGAACTCGTAATGTTGCACCTTAAATACAATTGAATAATTAGGTTAACAATTATCCTGAAGAACAAACAATTGATTGTTGTGGTTTAACAAACAGAAGCCATGTTTTGCAGACGTCTGGTGCAATCACTGACTTTCAGTCACCCAGGTTTTACACCCAGTTGAACTTGTTTCAGCAGATAATTGAGTCACATGATTCTCTGACATTTATGTTTTATATTTACAAGTGCATCAGGCAGCTGATGCTAGTGTTTCAATGTTGGTTACAGGATCTGAGCAAGGAGTTGAAACAAGGACTGGGTTCTGACTGGAATCTGCTGATTGATGAGCTACTGGCTGATCCCACTGAGGGTGACGCAGGGGCACTTCACACTGCTCTCGAGGTAAACCTGCGTCTAACATGTACAACAATGGTTCATTTTAGAATCCTGCATAGGTCTCCCGGGGTATGGAATCTAAGTTAGACCATGATACTGCTGAGGATTCCATTACCACAAATCACCCACTTTTCACACCCAGTTGAACTTGTTTCAGCCGAAAATTGAGAACAATGGTTCATTTTAGAATCGTGCATGGGTGTGTCTGGGTATGGAATCTAAGTTAGACCATGATCCTGCTGAGGATTTCATTATCACAAATTATATATTCAGATGCTCTTCTTTCACAAATCCATACTTTCAGAAACTCATCTTTTGTCATTAATTGTTGCTACTTAATGTGCAGGATGGCTACTTTATACACAACAACTGTGGCAATACATTTCAGGTGGAAGCCAGATGTTCTTTAGACAGTGTATTGTATAATGTAGTAATATTATTACAGATTGACTTGGTATTTCTCTATTAAATACTATGACCTGTAGTGTCATGTCTACTCCATCACATTGTCTTAAGTTTCCAACTGTTGAATTTGATGACATCATAACAGCTGTGTGTATTTGATAACAAACACTACAAAGGTCACTTCAATTTCTCTAGGAATGTCAGTTTAAATAATACTTACAGGACTACCTATCTTTCTCCTGTCTCTTTGAAGTGGTTCTTATATTAAGCTGACAATTATGTTTTGGGAATGTAAATTAAAACATTTTGCAGATTTAAACTGATCTCTGCTTTTCCCCGTTTTTGGCCTTTCAGCGTACAGTCAACCCTCACCTTAACGCAGGTCTCAAGGTCCATGTACATATACTAGGTTCAGCTGCTAAAATTTCTTTATAGATTTTCATTATGACCAAACAGTATAGTTTCCACATTTGAAACCGATCTCTTTTGTATTTGATTTCAAATGGTACTTTCAGGTAATGATTGTAATTTAAAACCTCTGCACTGAACAGACAACAGATTTAATGGTTAAAACAGGAATAACTATGATAGAGGAGAAATGAAATAATAGAATGTCTGGTGATTAAATCAAGTCAAAGGATGAATTAAATTCATTTATCAACCTACAATATGCTAGATAGGAAAAGAAATTGTTCTTCAAGTTTTATTTTCCTTCCACATTCTTGAACTTTGTATCAAATATCAGTAAACCCAAAGAGTCTTTGTGGGGCAGTAAACCCAAAGGCAACTTAAATCAAAATAATGAAAGACATTTTTAAATACTAATAAAGGACTTTCAGTGTTAAGATGCATTTTGTATTTTATGGCCAAAGTTTTCATAAAGATAATTAGACTGAGCCTATTTATTATGAAATACGTTTCTATATTATCAAAAACATGTCTTGAAGCAATTAATATTTTACATGAACAGATGATAATGAAATATTTCAAAATTCTTCTTTCATACCCCTCCCTAAATTACCCCCAAGTTATTGTTTTACCCAGAAAATATTTGTTATTTGTGGTTCCTCTAATGTTTGCGTGATGAAATACATGACATACAAAGTTAGACTTCATGTTTAGAAGTAGAGATGCCTGTCAGTTCTAACAATTTGTCCTATGTTTAATTCTTTAAATCCTATCAAAATAGGATGAAGCATGATATCGCTTCAATGAAGACAGTGACAAATTTGCCATTTAAAATTGACTGTTCTGGATCTGTTGCTGATCAGCACTTTTCCTTAAAAATATGTCCATGCTGGGAATCATATAAAATGATGAAAATCGTCTAATTAAGTTATTTTATGCTTACAAACCTGACACAAGGCTTTGACAAGTGCAAAGAAATTGTTTTGAAGTTTTGTGATCAAGAAGGATGTGTTGTCAATCTAGTATTTCCCTCATTTTATTAGCCAAATTATGTCAACTTGAGTTGAGAATTCATCAAACTCATTGTTGTGAAGTTTACAGGAACTTTCCATGTTGGTTTCATGATCTAATACTGTGTGCCTGAACTTAGATGACTTCATAAATATTTAGTTAAGACATTTGTTGTTAATTTTGTTAACAGTTTTGCTGATCCACCATTTCTGAAATATGGAAAGTTAAGGGTCCATTTTATCCCCATTGTCACTGTTGTTGAATTTCGGTGTGATATTTGTGTTTGCTTTAAAGGCATTTCATTCAGTGAAATAATCAATATTGCATCTTCATTTTTCCAGAAGAACAATATTCCAACAGTTGTGGAGATTCTATGTTCAAACCAGAGTAGCTTGGCACAGGTTAAAGAAGCTTACCGGAAAGGTATACAATCAAATTGATTAGTACTTGATCTTTCATATTTTCTAATCATCATCTGTTTTATACTGGTGGAAATTCCAGAACTTCATATTATTGCAATATTGTTGGCTGTGACAGTAAACCACAAAAAATCAAACATCATTACAGTCCGTTTGAGTCAGAAACGGAACGATGAATTGCAAATTTTATCATTTTACAAAATTGCCACATAAATATAAATAGTACACATGTTTATCATTTACTAATACCCAACAGCTTTCTTATATTTGAAAATTTTCCGGACTCCACCAAAAAAGTTCTTTAAGAAACTATCATCATTAAAAACGCAAAAGTTGTTATCTGTCGCGGCGGATAAAAGACTTCTCTGGTAGAGCTGGTACCAACTTGTTTTTAACCCAATCGAGGATAACCGCACCGTTCATCTCGGAATGGTAGTCTCTGTTATCTGTGGACTTTGCCCTGAATACCAAGTCACAGCCTTGGAGAAAGCCTTTGCTGGAGCAACCTCATGGAGAATGATTAGTCTCTCTCCTTTCCCTAGAGGCAGCTTTCTACGTGACCCCTTATCACCCCCATTGGGTACCCACTGACTGCTGGCAGTGTGCGAGGCATTGACCGAGGTCTCATCTAAGTACACTGGCTCGAACCCTTCCTCGGGCCTCTTCTTTATAACCCTGAGAAAAATATTTCTCAAGTGAACGATATCAGGGCGTTCAAAGAGTACTGACCTATTCTCCCCCGAAATTTTCTTATAACGATACCCAAAAGAGTGTAAGAGTCGCCAGAGTGTGTACTTTGATACTCTGAGGTTGTGTTCTTGCTTCAAATGCTTTTTAAAAAATTTCAGCGACATGTATTTGTTTTCAGAATAGAGCTTGTTGATAGACTGTCTAATAGGTTCTTTTGAAAGTTGTCCAAATGTTTTAATTTGTGTAATTTTGACACGACCCCTACCTGCTTCGCATCACCCTAACAATGTTTGTGTTTCAGAATATTTGTCAGTACCCTTGCTGATACTCCTAAAGCTTTTGCTGCCCGCTTACGGAATTTATTAATGGCATAAAATGGTTTGCCCCTTTCGGCTTCAGCACGGAAAAAATCGTACACTTTAATCATCAACTGTTTCACGTCAGCATTCAACTTCATTTTTCATCAGGCATGTGTATCCCGTGCACGACGAGATAGTGGCTGTTCCGTTTCTGCGGTTTCACCCCGCCACGACAGATAACAACTTTTGCGTTTTCAATGATGATAGTTTCTTAAAGAACTTTTTTGGTGGAGTCCGAAAATTTTCAAATATAAGAAAGCTGTTGGGTATTAGTACTTGATAAACATGTGTACTATTTATATTTATGTGGCAATTTTGTACAATGATAAAATTTGCAATTCATTGGTCTGTTTCTGACTCAAACAGACTGTAAATATCATGTAGTCCTCAATAACAACTCATTAAAACATTGACAATGTAAAATATTGAATTGTACAGTATAGAAGGCACAGCACAGGTGCTGACAACAGACAATTACCCCAACAATCTGTTATTTTTGTCAAAAAATTTAAGTTGAGTGCATGTCATTCTGTCAATCTGGCATCTGATGTTCCTCATATTAACCACCTGTAGTATCCTGTCTATCTTGGATTCCAAGTTGACTGTGGCACAAACACAAACAAACAAACAAACAAACAAACAAACAGACAAACAGACAAACCCCAATGCACATAAAAGTAAATCAAGTATCTCTCTGGGTATGTTAGAGTTTGCTGTTAGCCTGGAGAGCGATGTTGCTAACAAGACCAAAGAGCCTGTGAACTTGCTGTTGATGACCCTCCTCAAGGTAAAATTACTACCTCAGCATCATCATGAACCACTACCGTTATATAAAAGTAGAAGCGTCGGTATGAACCACTATGTGAGTGTAGTAGCATCTGTATGAACCACTATGTGAGTGTAGTAGCATCTGTATGAACCACTATGTGAGTGTAGTAGCATCTGTATGAACCACTATGTGAGTGTAGTAGCATCTGTATGAACCACTATGTGAGTGTAGTAGCATCTGTATGAACCACTATGTGAGTGTAGTAGCATCTGTATGAACCACTGTGTGAGTGTAGTAGCATCTGTATGAACCACTATGTGAGTGTAGTAGCATCTGTATGAACCACTATGTGAGTGTAGCAGCATCTGTATGAACCACTATGTGAGTGTAGTAGCATCTGTATGAACCACTATGTGAGTGTAGTAGCATCTGTATGAACCACTATGTGAGTAGTAGCATCTGTATGAACCACTATGTGAGTGTAGTAGCATCTGTATGAACCACTATGTGAGTGTAGTAGCATCTGTATGAACCACTATGTGAGTAGTAGCATCTGTATGAACCACTATGTGAGTAGTAGCATCTGTATGAACCACTATGTGAGTGTAGTAGCATCTGTATGAACCACTATGTGAGTGTAGTAGCATCTGTATGAACCACTATGTGAGTGTAGTAGCATCTGTATGAACCACTATGTGAGTGTAGTAGCATCTGTATGAACCACTATGTGAGTGTAGTAGCATCTGTATGAACCACTATGTGAGTGTAGTAGCATCTGTATGAACCACTATGTGAGTGTAGTAGCATCTGTATCTGTATGAACCACTATGTGAGTGTAGCAGCATCTGTATGAACCACTATGTGAGTGTAGTAGCATCTGTATGAACCACTATGTGAGTGTAGTAGCATCTGTATGAACCACTATGTGAGTGTAGTAGCATCTGTATGAACCACTATGTGAGTGTAGTAGCATCTGTATGAACCACTATGTGAGTGTAGTAGCATCTGTATGAACCACTATGTGAGTAGTAGCATCTGTATGAACCACTATGTGAGTAGTAGCATCTGTATGAACCACTATGTGAGTGTAGTAGCATCTGTATGAACCACTATGTGAGTGTAGTAGCATCTGTATGAACTACTATGTGAGTGTAGTAGCATCTGTATGAACCACTATGTGAGTGTAGTAGCATCTGTATGAACCACTATGTGAGTGTAGTAGCATCTGTATTAACTACTATGTGAGTGTGGTAACATCTGTATGAACTACTATGTGAGTGTAGTAGCATCTGTATGAACTACTATGTGAGTGTAGTAGCATCTGTATGAACCACTGTGTGAGTGTAGTAGCATTTGTATGAACCACTATGTGAGTGTAGTAGCATCTGTATGAACCACTATGTGAGTATAGTAGCATCTGTATGAACCACTATGTGAGTAGTAGCATCTGTATGAACCACTATGTGAGTGTAGTAGCATCTGTATGAACCACTATGTGAGTAGTAGCATCTGTATGAACCACTATGTGAGTGTAGTAGCATCTGTATGAACCACTATGTGAGTGTAGTAGCATCTGTATGAACCACTATGTGAGTAGTAGCATCTGTATGAACCACTATGTGAGTAGTAGCATCTGTATGAACCACTATGTGAGAGTAGCATCTGTATGAACCACTATGTGAGTGTAGTAGCATCTGTATGAACCACTATGTGAGTGTAGTAGCATCTGTATGAACCACTATGTGAGTGTAGTAGCATCTGTATGAACCACTATGTGTAGCATGTAGTAGCATCTGTATGAACCACTATGAGTGTAGTAGCATCTGTATGAACTACTATGTGAGTGTAGTAGCATCTGTATGAACCACTATGTGAGTGAGTAGTATCTGTAGAACATCTGTATGAACCACTATGTGAGTGTAGTAGCATCTGTATGAACCACTATGTGAGTGTAGTAGCATCTGTATGAACCACTATGTGAGTGTAGTAGTATGAACCACTATGTGAGTGTAGTAGCATCTGTATGAACCACTATGTGAGTGTAGTAGCATCTGTATGAACCACTATGTGAGTGTAGTAGCATCTGTATGAACCACTATGTGAGTGTAGTATCTGCATGTGTATGAACCACTATGTGAGTGTAGTAGCATCTGTATGAACCACTATGTGAGTGTAGTAGCATCTGTATGAACCACTATGTGAGTGTAGTAGCATCTGTATGAACCACTATGTGAGTGTAGTAGCATCTGTATGAACCACTATGTGAGTGTAGTAGCATCTGAGTGTAGTAGCATCTGTATGAACCACTATGTGAGTATAGTAGCATCTGTATGAACCACTATGTGAGTGTAGTAGCATCTGTATGAACCACTATGTGAGTATAGTAGCATCTGTATGAACCACTATGTGAGTGTAGTAGCATCTGTATGAACCACTATGTGAGTGTAGTAGCATTTGTATGAACCACTATGTAAGTGTAGTAGCATCTGTATGAACTACTATGAGTGTAGTAGCATCTGTATGAACCACTATGTGAGTGTAGTAGCATCTGTATGAACCACTATGTGAGTGTAGTAGCATCTGTATGAACCACTATGTGAGTGTAGTAGCATCTGTATGAACCACTGTGTGAGTGTAGTAGCATCTGTATGAACCACTGTGTGAGTGTAGTAGCATCTGTATGAACCACTATGTGAGTGTAGTAGCATCTGTATGAACCACTATGTGAGTGTAGTAGCATCTGTATGAACCACTATGTGAGTGTAGTAGCATCTGTATAAACCACTATGTGAGTGTAGTAGCATCTGTATGAACCACTATGTGAGTGTAGTAGCATCTGTATGAACCACTGTGTGAGTGTAGTAGCATCTGTATGAACCACTATGTGAGTGTAGTAGCATCTGTATGAACCACTATGTGAGTGTAGTAGCACCTGTAGGAAGCATTATGTCAGTGTAGTAGCATCTGTATGAACCACTATGTGAGTGTAGTAGCACCTGTAGGAAGCATTATGTCAGTGTAGTAGCATCTGTATGAACCACTATGTGAGTGTAACAGCATCTGTATGAACCACTATGTGAATGTAGTTGCATCTGTATGAACCACTATATAATGCTTTGGTATATAATGTTGTGTGTTCCAGGAGGGGAGAGATGAGTCGACTGATGTGGATGACAAGAGGGTGGAGAAGGATACCACTGTCTTGCATGAGGTGAGGGGGAAAACAATAACAGAACAATAGAATAACAGCAGCAAAAAAGATAATTTCTACACACAAGACCTTCCTACGTATTGTCAAGAATTCAGTACAATATATTTCATTGTGTGTCTCTCTGGATGCAATAAATATACTTTTTGCATCCAATGTATACAAACACGTGTGTGTACTGCACATACATTTCCCCATTGTATAGAATTCTACCTGTATATTAAGGCTTAAATTCACCTGAAACAGAAAGAGACAACTTTTTCTCTAAAACAGATATACATTGTATTAACATGTCTCATGCAGTAATATGTATTTGGTCATATTTGTTTTTAAAAAGGGATTTAATCTGATATTGAACCTCCTGCTTTCATGGTGACAATCTGTAAACGTTTCATAAAATTGGTCCGTCAAAATGTCCCAGATCTAGTCAGATTGTTCAACATACTCCTGCTTGTTTTACTGTACTTCTCTCCTGTTTACCTTCAGTTTGGTGATGGTCGATGGAGCAACAAGAGTGGGAAGTTCCTCAGTCTCCTCGAGGAGAAAAGTCTGGCACACATCAAAGCAGTTCTCAAGATGTATAAATCGGTGAGTGACCTTCTGTACTTAGGCAATACTGTTCTATATTTCCATTCACAGATTTGACAGATCAGAGCCAAACCACAAGAAGATTGTCTTTTTGTAATGCTTTAAATTGATAAAGAAGTAAATACATGTGAGGCCATCCACATTATTTAGAGTGTTTTTCATTATCAACTTCAGAGGGAGAGGGTGGGGATGGGGATGGAGAAGAACCAAAACACATATAAGCTGTTACATGTACTTGTCTGAGAGTTAACATGTGTTTATAAGTTACTATCAAATAGTGGTGGTACCATGTGTCCATGAAAGGTGGGCACATCCTGCCCCACCAGTGGTACCCATCACAAACACATGCAAAGGCAAGTCAATTGTGCGTCTGAAAGTTGATGGTTTTCCATAAAGTAATTTGAAAACATTACTGTGGTTAAAAAGTCTGTGGTTTGTGAGCAATCATTGTATGACACTTTTTAAATCTTTAAATAGAACATGTTCGATTGTAGCTCAAAAGATGTTAAAAGTTGACAGTAAAGGCTCTGATTTCAATTCAAAGGCTGAAATATTTCTAAAGCTAAGACTTAAATATTAGGTACATGACATTTCATGAGATTAGTGAATTTTCCGCAGGAATTTGCTGTAACAATGCTACGTCTGTAAGTCTATGGAATGTTAGATGAAGAAAAAACCCAGAACCGATTTACTGGGTTTTTTTGGCATTCATTCATCAGATCCTATAAATGGTAATTACAGAAGACGAAATAATTCTTTTCCTAAATTAGTTCTCAGCGCTGTTGCTATTCCGAGCAACCATTCCCCTTGTGTAGCAACCAAATGGAGAGATCGAAAATGAGAGGTATTTTGGTGTAATATCCTTCTTATCTAGGCTCAGGGTCTTTTGTAACAAATGGCTTTTCTTAGCAGTTTGATTTGATTCCATTTTCCCAGAACCTCATTAACTCAGGATTCACCTATACAGTTCCACTTACTAGAAATAAGGTGTTTTGGTCGATTATTTTTTGTCAGAGATGTTAGAGTTTCAGCATACCAGAAGTTATCGCCAAGGTCTGGTTTCATAATGCCATCGTAATGCTATGGCTGTCATTAACTCCCATACTTTGATGGTAACTTACTGCAGTCATAGTGCTTTGACCCCTTCATGCAGTGTTACAGCTGTTGTAAGTTTATGGTAAAGAATTAGACTTATGATCATCTAAGTCCGACGAAGACTTTGTGACATGGTAGCCAGTACTACAGCTGTTGTAAGTTTATGGTAAAGAACTGAAGTTATGATCATCTAAGTCCGACGAAGACTTTGTGACATCGTACCCAGTACTACAACTGTTGTAAGTTTATGGTAAAGAACTGAAGTTATGATCATCTAAGTCCGACGAAGACTTTGTGACATCGTACCCAGTACTACCACTGTTGTAAGTTTATGGTAAAGAACTGAAGTTATGATCATCTAAGTCCGACGAAGACTTTACGACATCGTACCCAGTACTACAACTGTTGTAAGTTTATGGTAAAGAACTGAAGTTATGATCATCTAAGTCCGACGAAGACTTTGTGACATGGTACCTAGTACTACAGCTGTTGTAAGTTTATGGTAAAGAACTGAAGTTATGATCATCTAAGTCCGACGAAGACTTTGTGACATCGTACCCAGTACTACAACTGTTGTAAGTTTATGGTAAAGAACTGAAGTTATGATCATCTAAGTCCGACGAAGACTTTGTGACATCGTACCCAGTACTACAGCTGTTGTAAGTTTATGGTAAAGAACTGAAGTTATGATCATCTAAGTCCGACGAAGACTTTACGACATCGTACCCAGTACTACAACTGTTGTAAGTTTATGGTAAAGAACTGAAGTTATGATCATCTAAGTCCAACGAAGACTTTGTGACATGGTAGCCAGTACTACAGCTGTTGTAAGTTTATGGTAAAGAACTGAAGTTATGATCATCTAAGTCCGACGAAGACTTTGTGACATCGTACCCAGTACTACAACTGTTGTAAGTTTATGGTAAAGAACTGAAGTTATGATCATCTAAGTCTGACGAAGACTTTGTGACATGGTAGCCAGTACTACAGCTGTTGTAAGTTTATGGTAAAGAACTGAAGTTATGATCATCTAAGTCTGACGAAGACTTTGTGACATGGTAGCCAGTACTACAGCTGTTGTAAGCACATGGTAAAGTAATGGACTTATGCTATGATGCTACTAAGTATGGGACCTACGGTCATGTTAGTGCTGAAATCACTGGACAATTGTAAGTAATGAGTCACTCTAGACTGCACCTTGATCTTACTTTCTTTCCTATTTTAAAAAAAACCCTGTTAAAATTGGAATACATGTGTCAAATCTGGAATAATGACACAGACATGTAAGTGATATACAAATCTTAAAATGTCATTCCGAAAGGATTCGGTGCCTTTTCAGAAATGTATTGATCTGATGGATCTTTGATTTGATGATAACCATATCTGTATTTGGTTGACATTTGGTAATATGCTAAGGTGTCATTACTGATGGCCACACATGTAATAAGAGACAATATGTCACATTTTCAGCTTGGAAGAGGTTAGTTCAGTTGAGTTGGGAATACACCCACACTGACTGTTACTTGTGCTGTATTGCTTGTACATCCACTAAACCATTGGTCATATGCAGGCAGATGTTTGAGGGTAGCTATTTCCACTCCCCTCATTCAAGCTCTTTTCATTGTTTGTAAAAGCTAGTGTTCATGTTTCCAGTTTCATCAAACATTCAGTCAGTGTTGCGTAGGTGTAAATGAGATGTTCTTCAGCTGTTCATCACAATGTCAACTGACTACAACTATGGATGTTTATTGGCCCATGTTCACATTTGAGACCCAGCATACTTAGCTGACCTGTCAATAATGACATTGGTTATCTAATTTTCTTCAGCAATTTTTGAAGTGTTATGAAATGGTTCCATTTTGCCAAATGAGTTACTGGTATAACTTTCTCTAAATTACAGCAGTGTTAAATTTGAAAATTACATAAATATGTTTTATACATGAAAATAAAAAGCTAAAACACGATCCCCAGCCACAGAAAGTGGCTGGTGGCAGATTGACTCATTTGTTACCATCGGTTGTCACCTTCAGTTAGGTCTCATGTCAGTTGCATTAACAAAGAAAATAGTTTAGCATGACACATGACATTTCCTGAATGGCATTTCTTTGGTGATATTGAAAATAATTGACATATTGAGGCATTGAGTAGAACATGTTCAGATGATATAAAAATGTTTCCTGCAATCCTCTTACTAATCCATTTGACTCATCCCAGCTTTTTGCAAACAGTAAGTTTTGTAACAGTTCCCTGACATACAAGCATACAGTTCCCTGACATACAAGCATTGTAATTAACACGGTTTGATTCTAAGTCAGTAAGTTTTGTAAGTTTTGTAAGGGTGTGTGCACATTAAATGAAACACCGAGAACAAGTAGGGTTGGTCTAAGTTAACGATCATCACATACCCACACGTGCATTTGTTTCAGTGTTCCAACTACTGCACTTACCCCCTTGTAATACAAACCAATAATAGCAATTTGAATCTATGATCGTTTGTTAAACAACTTTTATCCTAAGTTGAATAAAATTCTGAGATTCAAATGTTCAATTGGCAACATAAAATTATGAGGATTCTCAATCTTAATTTCACTTTATTTGATTTACTTTCTTGCTTAAAGTGAAATTCTTCGGTACGTTTTCACTGCAAACAGACTATAGTTTGGTTTGTCCAACCAAAGGTACATTACATTGTAGTAAGTATTGAAATTTACCTGAAGAAGTATCTGGTAGACATTGATGGTTAATGACATCCAAGGCACAACATGGCTATTATATTTTTATTTAATGGAGAAGGGAATTGTTTTTTGAAATGACATCCACCCACATTTTGAAACGCTATTACTGTGCAGAAAATCTATTTCGACAAATTACTAAAGGGATAATTGCAGCAAACACTAAAGACAGAACTAAGTCTCCAGTGAGTCTTCTCTGACAAATTGTGCTTAACATCAGTAATCCCCAAAAATGTATCTATTTCATACCGCATAAGAAAAAGGTGTAAATTTAATTAATTTTGTTCGTTTGGGTGGAGAATAGGGCTGTGAGGTCTGTAGTGTAACAAATGTAAAATAATGACCTTTAATGTGCCAGTCATCACTGACAGATATTGCCTCTCGAGATACCGAAGGTCATAAGATTGTCTGCCTGTTTCTGTACTGCCCAAATGTTAAAGGGCCACGATCACAGTGACTTTTTATTTCTAATGGATTTTCTCCAAGTCAGGATAAAGGTTGGTGCTGATTGATGACAACACATTTCTATCTCTCTTTTTTAGTGGTAGCCATTTTCTTTTTATGAAAGATTAACGTCACATCATTTCTCGTTTATCTGTCAGCGTTTTTATAATTGGGAGCATTACTATGATCCATCACAGAGAGTTGAGTCTGAAGAATTTGTCTTTTTCTGATGATTTATGTGCTAAATGCAACCATTTGGTTTTTCTAAAATGAAGTCCATATTTGTGGTCATGTTGTAAAAAAAAAACTAATGCTTATATATGTATTGTTTAATTAAGTTTGACACCAGTACTTAAATATGTCCTATATGATCAAATATGATACAGTATTACTGTCAAGAACTGAGGTGTGCTGTGATGTTGAAACACAATGCGATAAATTTATAATCTAATACATGTTAGAATATATGATTTATACTATAAATGTATACATTCACAGATAAAACATCACAGAACATATGTCAGTTCTCTTGAATATAGTGAGTTTACATTTTTTGCAAATAATATGACTAAGCTCCTTACAGGTGTCTGGAGGGAAGGAGGTATTACACTCAGTGAAGGAAGAGTGTGACCAAGAGTATGCAGATGCAGTCGGAGCATTTGGTGAGTCTCGAGAGTATATTCCAAATGAGAGTGATAACACCCAGGAGTGATAAGTTTACTCATCAAGAAAAAAACCATCTAGAAATGCAGAAAATGACCAAAAGTCTGATTAACTAATTTCAAGAATATCAAGATCGTTAGCGGAATTCAAGCATCCTCTCAAGGGGATCCACAATTAGAAACTGGGTCGTTTGTTGCTGTATCTGATCTTGCTTACTGCAGGAAGAAATGTGTGATGACCAAATCCTGAAACTGTGATGTATGGTGTATGTGTTGCAGTGTCTACAGTCAGGAGTTCATCGGACACGTATGCAGAAAAGCTTTACAAGAACATCAATGCTACCAACCCTGTGTTTGTGAAGACCCTTGTCGCTAGGGCAGAGGTAGTCATTAACCATCAACTCATACTGTCACTTCATGTTTTTGCAGAAATACTGAAAGGCCACAGGCCAATGTACAGAATAGTAGATGATTTGGTATATCACTTATCTTTTGTCATCTCCACTGCATGAAGTATACAAGCTGTTGAGGGAATAAATTCATTTAGAAAGAATTTAGTTTATGTAATAAATCAAGCTTGGTACTTACAGCATAGGCTTTAATAACATTGCCTCATGAAGAAAATAGTGTCTGTCTTCTATAAATTCTACAGTACACATTTCACGTAGTCTACGTCCTGGAAAATGAAGTTCTGTCTTTATGCAGGAATGATTTTAAAAGAAATTGTTCAGTTTTAAATTCTTAAATCCTTAATGTTATTATCAGATGTTACCAATATCGGCAGTTCAGTCCTTAATTTGGAAGTTGTCTTTACATGCATACGTTCTTCAAACCAACTTAGTAGAAATTTCAACCAATACAAAATAAAACAAGCAAAACAAAACAATCTTTTTGCAAACAAAAGATCAGGTTAAATATGCATAATTTGTTCAAACAAAATGTTTTTGTAGTATTTAGCTAAAATACGAAGTTGCAACATTCTACGCTGATACCAGGTGGTAATGCTGTTGCTGAAGTATGTTGTCTGTGTGTCAGATTGACATGCCGAGTGTCAGGTGGTAATGCTGTTGCTGAAGTATGTTGTCTGTGTGTCAGATTGACATGCCGAGTGTGAGGAAAGCTTACAAGAAGAAGTATGATGCTGAACTGACAGAGGATATTGAAGACCGATGTTCACATCCCACAGTCAAGCTACTGAAGGAACTGGCATCCAAAACACCGGCCAAGAAGGTACGTTGATGAATGGCAGCATTGATGTGTACTTGTGCAGAAAGTGACTTAAAGGTCATGGTCATTGTACATGTTGACCTTGAAAAGATCTATGACTGAAGGGTCATGAATACTCTCTAGCAGTGCACAAGACATACAATATATTTTATTGCAAATATGAAATGGCTGGTTTGTTAGGTCAGAAGTCTTTGGAATGGAATCTTTTGATGCCCAGATGACACATGAGTTGGGTTATATTTCATTGGAAACATTTACACAGTTATGTCATGGAATAGTAGTTTAATGCTGGAAGAGAGGCTTTGGTCTGATCCATAACCAGGCTATGTAGCAAATTAGGCATCACAACTGAATTTTGATTCAAATGCACAATGTTTCAAGTTTGGCATTCCTATGGGATGCTGGTCTACACAACTTCTTGTGGCACCTTAGATGACTGTGACTACCTGTGTGAAAGATTGTTGAGTAATCTTTGTTTAACCCCCGCAACGCTTTTGCGGGGGTATTAAAATGGACTCCGTCCATGCACATTTGTCTTTTCCGGAGCAGAACTCTAAAACCATTCAATATTTCTTCACCAAACTTGACACATAGATAGATCTGGTGGTGTACTGGTGCCTTTTGGTAGTTTTGGATTTCTGAATAAAATATTTTTGGCATTTCCATTGCAACAAGTTTGACTAAAACTGAAATTGGTGGTAGTGCTCTTTTCCGGAGCTGAACTCTAAAACCGTTCACTATTTCTTCACCAAACTTGGCACATACATAGATCTGGTGGTGTACTGGTGCCTTTTGGTAGTTTTGGATTTCTGAATAATATATTTTTGGCGTTTCCATGGCAACAAATTGACTTAGACTGGAATTGGTGATAGTGCTCCTTTCTGGAGCAGAACTTTAAAAACCTTTCAATACTCTCCTTCCACTTTTCTATATATATACACACCTAAATATTTGACATAATCATAAGTCGTAGACATAATCATGAAAAGTATTTTGCCATTGCGGGGGATATTGATGACTTTGTCTTCTTGTTTTTGTGTCTTCAGTCTAAAGGCAATAAAAAGTATGCTGGTATGGCTCTTGCTCCCCCTCCGAAAGGCAAGCCTCTGAAAAGACCTGAAAACAAAAGCAAGGATGATGACTCTTCCCAAAACCCACTCAACTCAAAACGGGGAGGAGAAGGATCTAAGCAAAAGAAAGATGACAAGGACGATGAAAAGGCACCAAAGACGACTGGCACCATCACTCCAGCCAAGAACTTTGATGCCTTGAAGGAGGTGGAGAAACTCCACAAGGCCATGGATGGGTTTGGGACAGATGAACAGGTCATCATTGATGTCATTTCCAACAAGAGTAATGAACAGAGGCAGTTACTCAAGAAGAAGTACAAGGAGAAGTATAAGAAGGTATAATGTGATTGAGTGAGTGATTGAGTGAGTGAGTGAGTGAGGAAATGTCACAGTAATCAGACACAGTACAAAAGATACAAAGGTTGGGTGGTTGATTTAGTGAATGTATGGGGGATGGAAGGTGCAATAGTGTGCTCTTGAACAGATGAAGTAGAAGAAGCGCGAAGGGTGAGTTAATGGAAGGCTGAGTTTCCAGTATGTCAAGGGCAATTCCATTCTATCTTGATGTTTCAGCTGAATGTGTGGAAAAGCTCAAAGAGCTATAGATCATAGACATTTACAGTTTCACCAAAGGCTACAAGCCTTAATGTGGTGTTGACAAGCCTAGAATGATAAATGGGAACAATATGTGATTTCAACCCAGGATTTTGATATTAGAAGAAGGAAGTGTCTTGGCAGAAATTCTGTTGTTTAAATATATGTGTAAGATAAAATTATGTAAACCAATTTTCATGTGTTCCTATCAGTAATAGTAGAATCATGTTTTATATAGTGTAAGGAGATGTAAGAGCTCTTCTGCTGTGTAGATTGTGCTGATTACATGTGCATCTCACCTGTTTATCTTGCAGGATCTGATGAAAGATCTGGAATCGGAACTTCGGGGGGACTTTGAGGAGCTGGTCCTGGCCTTGATGATGGAGCCCACTGAGTATGATGCTCACTGTATACACGAAGCAGTGAAGGGTCCGGGCACGTGTGAGGGGACACTGATCGGCATCCTCTGTACCAGATCCGGAAAGGTGGGTGACACTCTCAGTACAGTGATGCATGAGTCTTTCATGTGTATTTGTATTGCTCATCAAAATGTGCATGACACTTTTATCTGTAAATCTTAAACTTTTATAATGATTGTGTATATCAATAACTGATCATCTGATCAGCTACCTTGCATGAAAGAGTTACCATTGTAAAATGATGTAGAACAAAGTACTTTCAAGGGATCCTGGAGTAATATGTGTTGCCATGTGTGTGTCACCCATTTGTCATCCAGGCATCAGGCAGGTGTGACACATTTGTCATCCAGGCATCAGGCAGGTGTGCCACATTTGTCATCCAGGCATCAGGCAGGTCAGTCATCCAGGTCAGGCAGGTGTGCCACATTTGTCATCCAGGCATCAGGCAGGTGTGCCACATTTGTCATCCAGGCATCAGGCAGGTGTGCCACATTTGTCATCCAGGCATCAGGCAGGTGTGCCACATTTGTCATCCAGGCATCAGGCAGGTGTGCCACATTTGTCATCCAGGCATCAGGCAGGTGTGCCACATTTGTCATCCAGGCATCATGCAGGTGTGCCACATTTGTCATCCAGGCATCAGGAAGGTGTGACACATTTGTCATCCAGGCATCAGGCAGGTGTGACACATTTGTCATCCAGGCATCAGGCAGGTGTGACACATTTGTCATCCAGGCATCTGGCAGATGTGACACATTTGTCATCCAGGCATCAGGCAGGTGTGACACATTTGTCATCCAGGCATCTGGCAGGTGTGACACATTTGTCATCCAGGCATCAGGCAGGTGTGACACATTTGTCATCCAGGCATCAGGAAGGTGTGACACATTTGTCATCCAGGCATCAGGCAGGTGTGCCACATTTGTCATCCAGGCATCAGGCAGGTGTGCCACATTTGTCATCCAGGCATCAGGCAGGTGTGCCACATTTGTCATCCAGGCATCAGGCAGGTGTGCCACATTTGTCATCCAGGCATCAGGCAGGTATGCCACATTTGTCATCCAGGCATCAGGCAGGTGTGCCACATTTGTCATCCAGGCATCATGCAGGTGTGACACATTTGTCATCCAGGCATCAGGCAGGTGTGCCACATTTGTCATTCAGGCATCTGGCAGATGTCACCTATGCGTCAGTCAGGAAACTAACTTGTTATCTGTATACACCTGCTTTACTCTTGGTTAATATTTCCCAAGATTACAGAAAACATCCCAACTCACTCATGTTTCTCCTTCAGGACATCAAGGCAATCAAGGAACATTACAGACGAGGTGAGCAGGATCAGAAAATGTTTTCAGACTCATTAGAGGAAAGCATTCCATTTCTTGAAATCTAATCAAATTACTTGATGCATCCCTTCATCCCAACAGACTCTGTGTGCTGGGAGTTAGTTTTATATGGATGTCCAATCTAAATTTCAAACACATCAAGATATTATAAAAGCATCAGTTCAATCAAACAGCATTTTAGTTATTGTTAATTCAAAATGTCATTCCCAGAATATAATCTGTCTTGAATATCAACTGAAACAGACTGCATAGTGGTTAAAAGGCAACATAGTGATGAAAGTTATATGAATGGATCACTGAAATCATTGTTGCTAAAAGGCAATGTAGTGATGAAAGTTATATGAATGAATCACTGAAATCATTGTGGTTAAATGGCAATTTAGTGATGAAAGTGATATGAATGGATCACTGAAATCATTGTGGTTAAAAGGCAACGTAGTGATGAAAGTTATATGAATGGATCACTGAAATCATTGTGGTTAAATGGCAACGTAGTGATGAAAGTGATATGATAGATCACTGAAATCATTGTGGTTAAAAGGCAACGTAGTGATGAAAGTTATATGAATGGATCACTGAAATCATTGTGGTTAAAATGCAACGTAGTGATGAAAGTGATATGATAGATCACTGAAATCATAGTGGTTAAAAGGCAACGTAGTGATGAAAGTTATATGAATGGATCACTGAAATCATTGTGGTTAAATGGCAATGTAGTGATGAAAGTTATATGAATGGATCATTGAAATCATTGTGGTTAAAAGGCAACGTAGTGATGAAAGTTATATGAATGGATCACTGAAATCAATAATGACACCAGGTGTTCCAGAGACCATGTCTTGCTCACAAGGCACTGGAGGGGTGGTTAGCCTGGTGGTTAAAGCGTTCGCTCATCATGCCAAAGACCCGGGTTCAATTATTGACATGGGTACAATGTGTGAAGCCCATTTCTGGTGTCATCCGCTGTGATATTGCTAAAAGCGGCGTAAAACTAAATTCACTCACTCACTCACTCAAGGCACTATCCACCAGAGTGTTCATGAAAACATTAAAGAGTGAGTAAGGAGGATGAGTAGAATCATGTCGGTACCTAGTCGAGGTAGGATAAGTTTGAGATGTATTGTGGCAATTTCAAAAGTGTTTCAATGAGTAACAAGTGTGGTTTTTGTGGTTTTCACACTTGCTTGTCCAGAATCTCTAAAATGAATGATTGCATGGCCAGGGCCACAGTGGACATGTATTAAGAGAGCTGGTTATTCCAAGATGAGATTTTTATCATGAGCTTCATTTAAATTCTTCTTCACAATTGAAAAATGATTTCCAACAACCTCCAAAATCAGGGTTTTGTATATGTTATAGTCGTACTAATTCTCTTTACATTGTTATATATCCAAGAAAAGTTCATGTGTTAAAATATGCAAATTCCAGTTAGGTTTTGCTCATGTCTTAAAATATCCAAATCTCATTCCTAAATATTGGACCTTGTCTTAGCTTGTCCTCTAAGTATATTTGCTGGTATTAATTTGTAATTACCACAAAACTATAAATGTTGTGTAAGTCAGTCTAATTCCCTTCTGAAGTAGTGAAGATAAAACCATGACAACAAAAAGGGAATTCCCCCACACCAGTGGAACAACCATATTTCCATTTGCTACACCAGGAATTAAGATCAGGTTACTTACAAGTTGCTCAAGGTCTGCTCATGAAATGATGTTGAATGGGGATGTTTTGGCTGTTGCTCCAGAAAGAATATAAGGCCTTGTAATAATAGGATGTATTTCATCTGAATTACATGTTTTAAATATAAAGAGTATTCTGTTCATTTCTTTTGTCATTTGGATTTTCATCTCAAAATGAAAAATTGTCTGCTTTAAGGTTTGTGTTTCAGTTTTCATTTCTTTTAGATGAACCTTTTGTTGTTTTTATGACTTCCTGTCAATGTACACTGTTTTTGTTTCAGCTTATACATCTGATCTGGAAAATGACATCCGTTCAGATACCAGTGGGGAGTTTGAAGAGCTCTTGGTGCAGCTCTTGAAAGGTGGCCGAGATTCAGGGTGGGAGGTCAATCAGAAGGAAGCAGAAGATGATGCCAAGGCTCTGAACAAGGTAGGCTTCATGTTAGAGGCAGAGGATGATGCCAAGGCTCTGTACAAGGTGGGTGGGATGTTAGAGGAAGGAGTTGGTGCCAAGGCTCTGTACAAGGTGGGTGGGATGTTAGAGGCAGAGGATGATGCCAAGGCTCTGTACAAGGTGGGTGGGATGTTAGAGACAGGAGTTGGTGCCAAGGCTCTGAACAAGGTAGACGGGATGTTAGAGGCAGGAATTGGTGCCAAGGCTCTGTGCAAGGTGGGTGGGATGTTAGAGGCAGGAGTTGGTGCCAAGGCTCTGTACAAGGTGGGTGGGAAGATAGAGGAAGGTGTTGGTGCCAAGGCTCTGAACAAGGTAGGCATGATGTTAGAGGAAGGTGTTGGTGCCAAGGCTCTGTACAAGGTGGGCGTGATGTTAGAGACAGGAGTTGGTGCCATGGCTCTGTACAAGGTGGGCGTGATGTTAGAGACAGGGGTTGGTGCCAAGGCTCTGTACAAGGTAGGCATGATGTTAGAGACAGGAGTTGGTGCCAAGGCTCTGTACAAGGTGGGCGTGATGTTAAAGGCAGGGGTTGGTGCCAAGGCTCTGTGCAAGGTGGGTGGGATGTTAGAGGCAGGTGTTGGTGCCAAGGCTCTGTACAAGGTGGGCCTGATGTTAGTGGAGGGTGTTGGTGCCAAGGCTCTGAACAAGCTGGGCATGATGTTAGAGGCAGGGGTTGGTGCCAAGGCTCTGAACAAGGTAGACGGGATGTTAGAGGCAGGAATTGGTGCCAAGGCTCTGTGCAAGGTGGGTGGGATGTTAGAGGCAGGGGTTGGTGCCAAGGCTGTGTACAAGGTGGGTGGGAAGATAGAGGAAGGTGTTGGTGCCAAGGCTCTGAACAAGGTGGGCATGATGTTAGAGGCAGGTGTTGGTGCCAAGGCTCTGTACAAGGTAGACGGGATGTTAGAGGAAGGAATTGGTGCCAAGGCTCTGTGCAAGGTGGGTGGGATGTTAGAGGCAGGGGTTGGTGCCAAGGCTCTGTACAAGGTGGGTGGGAAGATAGAGGAAGGAATTGGTGCCAAGGCTCTGTGCAAGGTGGGTGGGATGTTAGAGGCAGGGGTTGGTGCCAAGGCTCTGTACAAGGTGGGTGGGAAGATAGAGGAAGGTGTTGGTGCCAAGGCTCTGAACAAGGTAGGCATGATGTTAGAGGAAGGTGTTGGTCCCAAGGCTCTGTACAAGGTGGGCGTGATGTTAGAGGCAGGGGTTGGTGCCAAGTCTCTGTACAAGGTGGGCGTGATGTTAAAGACAGGAGTTGGTGCCAAGGCTCTGTACAAGGTGGGCGTGATGTTAGAGGCAGGAATTGGTGCCAAGGATCTGTACAAGGTGGGTGGGAAGATAGAGGCAGGGATTGGTGCCAAGGCTCTGAACAAGGTAGGCATGATGTTAGAGGAAGGTGTTGGTGCCAAGGGTCTGTACAAGGTGGGCGTGATGTCAGAGGCAGGGGTTGGTGCCAAGGGTCTGTACAAGGTGGGTGTGATGTTAGAGGCAGGAATTGGTGCCATAGCTCTGTGCAAGGTGGGTTGGATGTTAGAGGCAGGGGTTGGTGCCAAGGCTCTGTACAAGGTGGGTGGGATGTTAGAGGCAGAGGATGATGCCAAGGCTCTGTACAAGGTGGGTGGGATGTTAGAGACAGGAGTTGGTGCCAAGGCTCTGAACAAGGTAGACGGGATGTTAGAGGCAGGAATTGGTGCCAAGGCTCTGTGCAAGGTGGGTGGGATGTTAGAGGCAGGAGTTGGTGCCAAGGCTCTGTACAAGGTGGGTGGGAAGATAGAGGCAGGGATTGGTGCCAAGGCTCTGAACAAGGTAGGCATGATGTTAGAGGAAGGTGTTGGTGCCAAGGCTCTGTACAAGGTGGGCGTGATGTCAGAGGCAGGGGTTGGTGCCAAGGGTCTGTACAAGGTGGGTGTGATGTTAGAGGCAGGAATTGGTGCCATAGCTCTGTGCAAGGTGGGTTGGATGTTAGAGGCAGGGGTTGGTGCCAAGGCTCTGTACAAGGTGGGTGGGATGTTAGAGGCAGAGGATGATGCCAAGGCTCTGTACAAGGTGGGTGGGATGTTAGAGACAGGAGTTGGTGCCAAGGCTCTGAACAAGGTAGACGGGATGTTAGAGGCAGGAATTGGTGCCAAGGCTCTGTGCAAGGTGGGTGGGATGTTAGAGGCAGGAGTTGGTGCCAAGGCTCTGTACAAGGTGGGTGGGAAGATAGAGGAAGGTGTTGGTGCCAAGGCTCTGAACAAGGTAGGCATGATGTTAGAGGAAGGTGTTGGTGCCAAGGCTCTGTACAAGGTGGGCGTGATGTTAGAGACAGGAGTTGGTGCCATGGCTCTGTACAAGGTGGGCGTGATGTTAGAGACAGGGGTTGGTGCCAAGGCTCTGTACAAGGTAGGCATGATGTTAGAGACAGGAGTTGGTGCCAAGGCTCTGTACAAGGTGGGCGTGATGTTAGAGGCAGGGGTTGGTGCCAAGGCTCTGTGCAAGGTGGGTGGGATGTTAGAGGCAGGTGTTGGTGCCAAGGCTCTGTACAAGGTGGGCCTGATGTTAGTGGAGGGTGTTGGTGCCAAGGCTCTGAACAAGGTGGGCATGATGTTAGAGGCAGGGGTTGGTGCCAAGGCTCTGAACAAGGTAGACGGGATGTTAGAGGCAGGAATTGGTGCCAAGGCTCTGTGCAAGGTGGGTGGGATGTTAGAGGCAGGGGTTGGTGCCAAGGCTGTGTACAAGGTGGGTGGGAAGATAGAGGAAGGTGTTGGTGCCAAGGCTCTGAACAAGGTGGGCATGATGTTAGAGGCAGGTGTTGGTGCCAAGGCTCTGAACAAGGTAGACGGGATGTTAGAGGAAGGAATTGGTGCCAAGGCTCTGTGCAAGGTGGGTGGGATGTTAGAGGCAGGGGTTGGTGCCAAGGCTCTGTACAAGGTGGGTGGGAAGATAGAGGAAGGTGTTGGTGCCAAGGCTCTGAACAAGGTAGGCATGATGTTAGAGGAAGGTGTTGGTCCCAAGGCTCTGTACAAGGTGGGCGTGATGTTAGAGGCAGGGGTTGGTGCCAAGTCTCTGTACAAGGTGGGCGTGATGTTAAAGACAGGAGTTGGTGCCAAGGCTCTGTACAAGGTGGGCGTGATGTTAGAGGCAGGAATTGGTGCCAAGGATCTGTGCAAGGTGGGTGGGAAGATAGAGGCAGGGATTGGTGCCAAGGCTCTGAACAAGGTAGGCATGATGTTAGAGGAAGGTGTTGGTGCCAAGGCTCTGTACAAGGTGGGCGTGATGTCAGAGGCAGGGGTTGGTGCCAAGGGTCTGTACAAGGTGGGTGTGATGTTAGAGGCAGGAATTGGTGCCATAGCTCTGTGCAAGGTGGGTTGGATGTTAGAGGCAGGGGGTGGTGCCAAGGCTCTGTACAAGGTGGGCGTGATGTTAGAGGAAGGTGTTGGTGCCAAGTCTCTGTACAAGGTGGGCGTGATGTTAGAGACAGGAGTTGGTGCCAAGGCTCTGTACAAGGTGGGCGTGATGTTAGAGGCAGGGGTTGGTGCCAAGGCTCTGTACAAGGTGGGCATGATGTTAGAGGCAGGAGTTGGTGCCAAGGCTCTGTACAAGGTGGGGGGGATGTTAGAGGCAGGAGTTGGTGCCAAGGGTCTGTACAAGGTGGGTGTGATGTTAAAGACAGGAGTTGGTGCCAAGGCTCTGTGCAAGGCGGGCGTGATGTTAGAGACAGGAGTTGGTGCCAAGGCTCTGTACAAGGTGGGCGTGATGTTAGAGCCAGGGGTTGGTGCCAAGGCTCTGTACAAGGTGGGTGGGATGTTAGAGGCAGGAATTGGTGCCAAGGATCTGTACAAGGTAGGTGGGATGTTAGAGGAAGGTGTTGGTGCCAAGGCTCTGTACAATGTAGGCATGATGTTAGAGGCAGGTGTTGGTGCCAAGGCTCTGAACAAGGTAGGCGTGATGTTAGAGGAAGATGTTGGTGCCAAGGCTCTGTACAAGGTAGGCATGATGTTAGAGGCAGGTGTTGGTGCCAAGGATCTGTACAAGGTAGGCATGATGTTAGTGGAGGTCGTTGGTGCCAAGGCTCTGTACAAGGTAGGCATGATGTTAGAGGCAGGTGTTGGTGCCAAGGCTCTGTACAAGATGGGTGGAGTGTTAGAGACAGGAGTTGTAAGTTTGTGTAAGTTGATGTAAGTTTGCATTCTGCTGAATAGAAACAGTATGATTCAGAGATAATTTTCTGTTTCCACTGTACAGTATGTGTAGTTTCTGTCTTGTATGTTTTATCTAATGGGATTGGGTGGTAAGACTCGCTGGCTTGGTTGACACATCTCATCATATCCTAAGTGTGTAGATTGATACTCATGCTGTTGATCACTAGATTGTCTGGTCCAGACTCGATTATTTACAGACCGCCACCATATAGCTGGAATATTGCTGAGTGCAGCATTAAACAGACAGACAAACCTTATATGTTTTATAAATGTATTTGTAATATGTTTTGCACTTGTATTGATATAATAGCTCTACATTCCTGTTCTAAATTTCAACATTGTTACATCCTTTCATCAGTTAGATATGAACATTAAATCATATCTATTTAATTCTGTTCATATATTTCCATCGTGAATTAACATATATGTTGGTGTAGCAGAAAAAATATCTAATCTCTATACCAAATCATAGGTACAGTCCTTCATTACTGAAATCTGAAGACAAATAATTGGCAAGTATAGTGTGTTTAACGTTTGACCAAATAATGAAGAAATTATTTCCATCAGTGATAGCATGTCTTGGAAAGAAAGGTTTCCATCTTGTAACAACACAGTTTTCCCAGAAAATAAGATTTCTAACTGTAAAGTGACTGCATCTTTAAGAGAGGGCACTAAGTGATTTTTCTACTTGTTAGTGATTTAGAGTCAACCTGAGAGGTTAGTTTACACAAGCCTTTCATAAATCAAGGCAGATAAGAACAATTTCTGCTGGGGCATCAACACGGAATAGGGAGGCTGCCATTATGGGGACAGGAAGATCAATAGGGAACCATCTTGAACCGCCCAAACCACATCGCTGTGATTAATTTGAGGCAAAACTTGCATGAAAAGTGATAATTATCCTGTAAAGCATAAACAAATGCTGCCATTAATACTGTTCACCGACTATTTTGACTGTCACTTTAAAAGGTTATAATTGTTGAATTTCAGGGATTAATATGCTCTATTTAATGGTGGTTATGATGTTATGTTAGTGCTATCAGATCAAAGTTAAATGTCATATTCGGTTGAACAGTTTGAAGTTTGCCTGATGTGGAAAATGTCAGCGTGACATGACTAATCTTACATCATTGAATGCTCTCTGTGCCTAAATCTCCCATGAATACAAGAGAGAAAGAGAGCTGTTAACGCAAACAGAGTGTTATTTTATTTCATGATTCAATTTATTGTCATGCATAATTCAGTTTTAGCTAAACAGTATCGGAAAACACAATCCCAATGTCAATCTATTTTTCGTTAACTGTGCAAATTTGAGTATTATTGGTGCTGATGGAACTGAATTTGTTTGAGTTTCTCAGAATATTAACCCTTTAGTGACAAACACTTTTTCATTAATGCAATGCAGGGAGTAGTGTTGATGTTTTGGGAAGAGAAACAGTTAAGTGCCAATAGTTGGAGCTAAATTAAGATCTATTGATGATTTGGGATGTTTGTATTTTTGTTCTGATGCAATCTTCTTAAAATCCAATCAGTTTTTTAGGAATAAAGCTAAAGCTGCCTACTGTTATCATGTATCCACAGAGAGACTAAACCTAACTAAATTGATTATTAACCCCAAACACCCAACCCACACAACTCTGACATCAACTAACACTGACGCTCCCAGCCCCCAACTCTGACTTCAACTAACATCGACCCTCCCAGCCCCCAACTCTGACTTCAACTAACATCGACCCTCCCAACCCCCAACTCTGACTTCAACTAACATCAACGCTCCCAGCCCCCAACTCTGACTTCAACTAACATCGACCCTCCCAACCCCCAACTCTGACATCAACTAACATCGACCCTCCCAGCCCCCAACTCTGATATCAACTAACATCGACCCTCCGAGCCCCCAACTCTGACTTCAACTAACATCGACCCTCCCAGCCCCAACTCTGACATCAACTAACATCGACCCTCCCAGCCCCCAACTCTGACATCAACTAACATCGACCCTCCCAGCCCCCAACTCTGACATCAACTAACATCGACCCTCCCAGCCCCCAACTCTGATATCAACTAACATCGACCCTCCCAGCCCCAACTCTGACTTCAACTAACATCACCCTCCCAGCCCCCAACTCTGACATCAACTAACATCGACCCTCCCAACCCCCAACTCTGACATCAACTAACATCGACCCTCCCAGCCCCCAACTCTGACATCAACTAACATCGACTCTCCCAGCCCCCAACTCTGACATCAACTAACATTGACCCTCCCAGCCCCCAACTCTGACATCAACTAACATCGACCCTCCCAGCCCCCAACTCTGACATCAACTAACATCAACTAACATCGACCCTCCCAGCCCCCAACTCTGACTTCAACTAACATCGACCCTCCTAGCCCCCAACTCTGACTTCAACTAACATTGAAGCTCCCAGCCCCCAACTCTGACTTCAACTAACATCGACCCTCCCAGCACCCAACTCTGACATCAACTAACATCGACCTCCCAGCCCCAACTCTGACTTCAACTAACATTGACGCTCCCAGCCCCAACTCTGACTTCAACTAACATCCACCCTCCCAGCCCCCAACTCTGACTTCAACTAACATTGACGCCTCCCAGCCCCCAACTCTGACATCAACTAACATCGACCGTCCTAGCCCCCAACTCTGACTTCAACTAACACCGACCCTCCCAGCCCCCAACTCTAACACTCAATTAACATTGACCCTCCCATCCCCCAACTTTCTTCTATGACCCGTTCCCATGCCCAAACTCAACCCTACCTCCAAACTCCCAAATTTTGATTTTCTTCATTTAGAGTCTTCTCCATAACCAGGTGATACCCTTTTCCTTCTTACAAAGCTGCATAAGCCTATAACTAATTTGTGATAGGTATTTGTTAACTTAATGGTGTTTTCAGGGTCTTGGTGCCTACATTCACTTACTGCATGACTAGTTGAGGCATCCTACTGACCAATATTGGACAGTGAATGTTTAAAAAAAAGTCAATTAAGAGTTATGATTTCCCTAAAGACTTATTTTACCCTGAATTACAGCTCAAAGAATACAACAAGCAAATTGATAAGGTGCTTAATTCAGTTCTACAATGTACTTTTTAATGAGCAAGAAACTTCTAATTTGTTTGAAGAATTATACAATATATCCAATCCTGTGACAAGTCTCAAGCAGTTATTTTTGAATGTTTCTTCTGTCCTCTCAAAACGTTATCAAACAGCGCTCCTATAGAGTCACCAGGCAGGAGGTCTGCATTTGCCATAGGTGCAGACAGTTGAGGATTGGGTGGCTATTGCTTATGCTGTAGACCACTGGGACCAGTTTCGCATGGCTGGAATATTGCTGAATGTAGCAATAAAGCACACTAACTCATTAAACAGATGCTCTCTGATATGATGGTCAACGCTAAAATTGATAATACTGCCTTCAGTTTCTATGGAAATATATATTTTGTCTTTCCTTGTTATCATATTACTCTCAAGTAACTTTCCATCCATCAACTTTTATGTCAGTCTGACAAAGATAACATTTTTTTCACTCTGATTGCAATCTATTTGTTTTCAATGATAGAAAATTAACTTGATAGCAGGCAAGGATGTGTTAATGTTTCTTTTCAAGTGTTTCTTTTTTTGTTGCAGGACAAATCGATCAAAGTTTCAGATGAAACCTTCAAACGTGTGATGACGAAGAAAAACAGATCACAAGCCAAGGCGACATTTGCAGAGTACAAAAAGCTATCTGATCAAGAGATAGTTGCTGCCATCGCTGCATCTGGCGATGCCAAGGATGGATACGAGGGTCTTGGTTTGTGCTGTTATTGTTTATAATTCATTTATCGTGTTAGAGTTTTCTGCATGACTTGGAAAATAATTTAATCCCAATCATTTTTTTTTCATTTATTTTATATTATTACTTTTGGACTGATTGATTAAGTAGCAATATTTCAGCAAAGTCATGATTGTTCATGCCAGAAATGGACTTCACACATGTACTCTATACCCATGTGGGGAATTGAACTTTGGGGGGACCAGCGAATGCTTTTACCAGTAGGTTACCCTATCGCCAGTATTTTTAGGAAATATATACACATTTAATCTGATGTTTTTTTTAGAAATGTCTGAGAAATTAAATTCTTGATAAAATCTTTCCTGGATTGTATTTACTAAGAAGTATGATTCGAAGGGATGAAATATATTTGCATCATACGCTTAACATGTTATGCATCTGAAACAGTTATAGTTCAGTGTCTTTGCTAATGGTAGGTAAGTACAGGTCTAATTAAATGTTGAGATTAATTATTTATAATGTGAGTTAGAAAGGCTGGCCCTTCATCACAATTTGCTGTTGTGTCCCTTAGATGGCCAGAAACCAACGATGCTTGAAACAACACCTGCATCGATTTGGGCTTTCCTTCTACATTATAGCGGCGGTGGCATAGCCTAATGGTTAAGCGTCTGCTCATCACGCTGAAGACCTGGGTCCGATTCCCCACATGTTATTGCTAGAATATTGCTAAAAGTGGTGTAGAACCAAACTTTCTCGCTCGCTCCCACATTCCACTGCATAATACAACTTAGATATGGTGTTGGAATAATGACCAGACTAAATACAACTTAGATATGGTGTTGGAATAATGTCCAGACTAAATACAACTTAGATATGGTGTTGGAATAATGACCAGACTTAATAAAACTTAGATCTGGTGTTGGAATAATGACCAGACTAAATACAACTTAGATATGGTGTTGGAATAATGACCAGACTTAATAAAACTTAGATCTGGTGTTGGAATAATGACCAGACTAAATACAACTTAGATATGGTGTTGGAATAATGACCAGACTTAATAAAACTTAGATCTGGTGTTTGAATAATGTCCAGACTAAATACAACTTAGATATGGTGTTTGAATAATGTCCAGACTAAATACAACTTAGATATGGTGTTTGAATAATGACCAGACTAAATACAACTTAGATATGGTGTTTGAATAATGACCAGACTAAATACAACTTAGATCTGGTGTTGGAATAATGTCCAGACTAAATACAACTTAGATATGGTGTTGGAATAATGACCAGACTAAATACAACTTAGATATGGTGTTGGAATAATGTCCAGACTAAATACAACTTAGATCTGGTGTTGGAATAATGTCCAGACTAAATACAACTTAGATCTGGTGTTGGAATAATGACCTGACTAAATACAACTTAGACATGGTGTTGGAATAATGACCAGACTAAATACAACTTAGATATGGTGTTGGAATAATGTCCAGACTAAATACAACTTAGATATGGTGTTGGAATAATGACCAGACTAAATACAACTTAGATATGGTGTTGGAATAATGACCAGACTAAATACAACTTAGACATGGTGTTGGAATAATGTCCAGACTAAATACAACTTAGATCTGGTGTTGGAATAATGTCCAGACTAAATACAACTTAGATATGGTGTTGGAATAATGTCCAGACTAAATACAACTTAGATCTGGTGTTGGAATAATGACGTGACTAAATACAACTTAGACATGGTGTTGGAATAATGACCAGACTAAATACAACTTAGATATGGTGTTTGAATAATGTCCAGACTAAATACAACTTAGATATGGTGTTGGAATAATGACTAGACTTAATAAAACTTAGATCTGGTGTTGATATAATGACCAGACTTAATAAAACTTAGATCTGGTGTTGGAATAATGACCAGACTAAATACAACTTAGATATGGTGTTTGAATAATGTCCAGACTAAATACAACTTAGATATGGTGTTGGAATAATGTCCAGACTAAATACAACTTAGATCTGGTGTTGGAATAATGACCAGACTAAATACAACTTAGATATGGTGTTTGAATAATGTCCAGACTAAATACAACTTAGATATGGTGTTGGAATAATGTCCAGACTAAATACAACTTAGATATGGTGTTTGAATAATGTCCAGACTAAATACAACTTAGATATGGTGTTGGAATAATGTCCAGACTAAATACAACTTAGATCTGGTGTTGGAATAATGACCAGACTAAATACAACTTAGATATGGTGTTTGAATAATGTCCAGACTAAATACAACTTAGATATGGTGTTGGAATAATGTCCAGACTAAATACAACTTAGATCTGGTGTTGGAATAATGACCAGACTAAATACAACTTAGATATGGTGTTGGAATAATGACCAGACTAAATACAACTTAGATATGGTGTTTGAATAATGACCAGACTTAATAAAACTTAGATCTGGTGTTGGAATAATGTCCAGACTAAATACAACTTAGATATGGTGTTGGAATAATGACCAGACTAAATACAACTTAGATCTGGTGTTTGAATAATGACCAGACTAAATACAACTTAGATATGGTGTTGGAATAATGACCAGACTAAATACAACTTAGATATGGTGTTGGAATAATGACGAGACTAAATACAACTTAGATATGGTGTTGGAATAATGACCAGACTAAATACAACTTAGACATGGTGTTTGAATAATGACCAGACTAAATACAACTTAGATATGGTGTTGGAATAATGACCAGACTATATACAACTTAGATATGGTGTTGGAATAATGACCAGACTAAATACAACTTAGATATGGTGTTTGAATAATGACCAGACTAAATACAACTTAGATATGGTGTTGGAATAATGACCAGACTAAATACAACTTAGATATGGTGTTGGAATAATGACCAGACTAAATATAACATGAAACTTCATGCTCGGTGTTCTGTTTCAAAATAATTTACTGATGTGAAGTCTTGAGGTAATGTAGCTTTGCATTGAAAACACAGTAGGTACATCTGCTAAATCACTCATTAACTCACTCAAGCATTCAGAGTTGTAATTTGGAAGAGTTGTAATTTGTTGTGTTCATGCAACAAGTCATTCTAAGCAAATAACTTCCATTTGTTTACTCATAGGTTAGGAATGTTTTCCAATAATTTCTGATGATTATGAAAACCAGAATTTCTGCTGATCACACTGTATTTCACATAACTTCTGTTGCCATTGGGAGTAGGTTGCCTAGCAACACCATCACTAAGTGAGTGACAATTGAAAAAACAATAAGGTATACTCCAGCCAAATGAAAATCACACATTATTTAAAATCTGTGTTGGCGTATTAGCGTCTGACAAAGAGGTGTTTTTTTAACTTTGTCAAAGACGTCTCTGGAGATTTCATTATGCTAATAAAATGAAGTACATTTTCAGTTACACAAGAGTTCAATCAATTCTCTTGACTTGTTTTTCATTAAATCTAAATTTTGCAAAAGTACCTCCTAAAAATAAACTCAAATAGTCCTTTACGTAAAATTGTTTTATACAGTTTTGAACATATCACTCCTAATGAAGTTAAGAGAAGTTAAGAAAATTATGCAAGTTTTACAACTGAAGAGTCTATCATTCCATGAAAATATTTGAGAAAAATAATATTGTCCAAATAAACAAGCCAGGGCCCGATTCCTCAAAGCGATCGTCGCACCACTACAGTCATAGGTTTATGTTTAAGTATGGAAGTTACGATCATCTTAGCGCTACGATCGCTTTTTGGAACGGGGCCCAGGACTTAATCTTCTAATGTTGCCAGACCAAAAAGGGTTTAAAGCCATTGTTTGTCTAGAAGTGACATAAAAAGCTAGACTATGTGTCAATGATACAGAGATGACTGTTCCTGTTCTCATGTACATAACAGAATCAGTAGCAAAGTAGCAAAGAAAATAGAATAACACATGTTACTGACACAGACTGAAACACTCCCATCAAAGACTTGATGTCATATAGTCTCAAAGTGCAAATGTTGCCTTGGAGATTCAGGATGCCAAACACCTATTTCCTTCTGAGCATCTTAGCAGCTCCTGATGTCCTCTTGACATATTGATGAAGAAAAATCTGTTTTAAAAAGACCCCAAATAATTAACCCTGAACTTGTGAACATTATACTCCAAACTCCAATTTGCCATAGGTTCATAGAATACACATGTAGTTTATGTCTAGAATACAGCTGAAATGTTTGCCACATGATGAATAACCTAAAACATATGTTCTTCATACCGAAATGACCCAAGTACTTTTGTATGATATATGATTTTGGACAGGCAGGCAATCATGCTTAGAACTTTGTAGGTGCTCAGTTTCATCAGCCAGAATCTAAAAATGTAATGAAATGAGAAATTTTCTTTCAGCTAAAGCACTTGAGGACCCAATCAAGTTTTATGCTGCTCGCCTACACGAAGGTTTCAAGGGGCTTGGCACTAATGATACTCAACTTATTAGGATTCTTGTGTCAAGGTCGGAGGTAAGGGGAGATAATTACACTGGAGTTATTAAGCTGACCTGTAGCAGATAGCATGTTAACTACATTGATGAGATTAGCCTACATGTGGATAGTTCAAATTTCAAGTGACCTTTGTATACAGTTTTGTTAATTCAACTAATGTCTCTTGAATATAAGTTTGGAAGTTATGCTTTCAGTTTTTGAGTGCATCAGTGAGTTGAGTGTTTATTCTTATACAGTCAAACACTATTTTGACAACTTTTCGAGTGTCTTGGTCCATCTGTATTCCTTATTCAGTCGTCATATTGAACCTGAGATATCTGGAGGTATTTATGTTGGTCCTTTCAATGTCGACACATCAGCGTTTGATGGTGTATTCTTTTGTCTTACATGTTCTCTTTTCATAGATAAATGCAGAAAAATTGTGCTGTCTACACCATATTTTCTTTTTTTGCAAATAGCAATAATAAGACAAACAGGTGCAGCCTTCCTTATGTGTTACAGATCTCCAAAACATAAATTACACCATAGAGGATGGAACATGTATATTTTGGGCACATTATACCGTTCACAAGAGGATGTATCTAACACTTCATATAATTATGTAATTGTAATGTATAGTAGAAAGCTCAGTTTCTTTGCCAAATTAACTTGCTTTATGATGCTAAAGCATATGTAATTGAAATAACAAAACAAATTGTATTTGTACTTATATTGGATGTACAGTCGGAAGTGAACAATTTACATGGCTTTTAGCAGAGTTTTCTTATGGATGTTGATAGGGGTTTGTCACTTTTTTATATTTAACTGTTATGTATCACAGATTGACCTGGCTGACATTAAAGCCAAGTATGCTGAGCTGTATGGAAAGACTCTCAAGGAGAAAGTTGAAGCGGAATGTTCTGGTCACTACAAGCGGACATTGCTGACCATTCTCGGGGAGAAGTAAGACCGGCAGCCATCTTGAATGTCACATCCACCTTGTGTCAGACAGCACCTCACCTTCTGTCCATGTCTTCTTAACTGTGTATTGTCATGGCAACCAGAATATGAAGCTGTTTTGAATTAGCAGCCTTAATATTAGAATGTATATTTTATATAATACTTTGGTTCCATACAGGGCAAATTTCTTTAGCAAGGTTTATTGAGTTGTTTAATAGAGTTTTATATACCCACCTATTAAGTCTGTGAAAAACATTTTAGAAGTAATAATATTAGAATTTGAAAACAAATGTGTAAAGTAATGATGTATGAAACCAAAACATCATGATGATGATGATGATGATGATGATGATGATGATGATGATGGACAGTTGGAGGACATGGACATGTTTGATGTTGTAATGTTTGATGTACTACAGCAACAGCATGGCCTTCAATGCAATTTGTTGTCTTGCACAGATGTGTACCACACTATGTCTAACTGTGATATACCCGATAATGTTGTGAAATGTTGCCCATTTGAATGACACTGACTTAATGTTGCACATAAACAGATGACAGTGTATGACATGGAATATTGTGGTATTCAAGCAATGAATGCCTATGGTGTCATCACGATGTGCATTACGCATTATATTCACAATACTATACTCTAGTGTCATAACATATCATACCTAGACTGAATATATAGACTGTTTTATATTTCCATCAGATTATGTTGCTTCAATAATCAAATGTGAGTGACGTGATGTTGAATGTTAAAAATCACACAATTCCAAATATTTATTATCATAAAGAAGTTTTATTTTATTTTTTTGTTAGGTCTACATTATCATAATAGTGTATATATATTTATTTAAGCTGACTTTTCAGTCAGTATTTGTATGTAAGCTGCAAAGCTCTGCACAATGTCAATAAGGGCCTTTAAGTCTGAGATGCTGCAACTCATTTTATCAAAACCATTCTATGCTATAGTCAGAATGCAAATTCCAAAATATTATTACATCAGCGTGCTAAAATTCATAGATACAGTAAGTAAAAGTAAGTCGTTGAATGGCATTTAGAAGTCCTACACATAAGGAAGAGAATTTATGATGATAAGGAATACAAAATGTTTCAGAGTATACGTTTAATCTTTTATCTGTTCAATGAAGGAATCAGCATATACTCCTAATAACTGTGTTGCTTATAATAAAAAAGTTGACATCCATGGATTGTCTTTGTAAGTAAAACAGCAACCAATAAAATAGGTGTACTATTTTTTCATTGATGCCCAAACATAGTTTTAAAATTGGTTTGATCTTGAAACAGAAACAAGCCCAGTAATTTTTTTTATAAAAACGTGTTTGTATGATGTCTTATGTGCTTGTATTTTTTATTTGACATATTGATGGCTTTCGTCTGTGAATCTGGCCACAGTTGTGTATGAGTTGGAATGTTATTCTTGTATTTTTAAAACTTTATTTAAGCTTTAACCTATATCTAAATCTTTGTTCACATGTTTTGTCAGTTTTGTGTTCCTCCTTGTGTATGAAGTGCCAATGTTTTTCAGAAAATATATAAAAAATGGTAATATTTTGAATAAATTCTTTGCCAAATCAGTAAACAGTATAACTGTATTCAAATTTGCCAAACATAAAGCTTGGAGTGTTCAAGCTGCTGCTGTTGCATAAAAAGTAGAACTTGAAGTTTTCCTTGCTGATAAAAATCACTAAAACAATATGCCAAGAAACATAATAGTCAAAGTTAATTTGGTTATATTCCCGAACACTTCAGGTATGCTTGCCATAACATTCATGAATGTTCTTTGCACAAACCAATCTTCACTTTGAACGTTGAACATTGGCACTTCCAGAAATTCATTTTGTGATATCAATATTTTAGTGTTTTTTTCAATAAAATATTCAGTCTGTTTTCATTTGCTTCTGTTATATAGAATTCATTTATGTAAATGTTGAAATTGACATGAATTTGCTTTATGTTTACTGTTGAATATTCATAAGTACTATTTACCCCAACAATGTTTCTATTTGCAAACTGATATTTGAGAGTACTGTTAAAATTCACAATGGTTCTGGTAAGAAATGCAACTTTTCAAACTTTTGCCTAATTGTTGTATGTCTTTATGTGTGGCATGGTATCTCAGTGGGCTAGCACTATAAAACCAGCTTAAGTCTGGGCTAGCACAAGCAGCCGCACATACACATACACACGCATGCATGTCGGCATATGAGCGAAATATTCTCAAGCACGACGTAAAACCCAATTTCACCTCACCTCACCTCACCTCACCTCACCTTTATGTGTAATATACATGTACCACCTCTATATGGAATACTTATGTGTGCCACTTGTAAGTTCAACTCACCTTTCCGAGTAAACTGGATCTCTCAAGTTCAGAATATAGCTGTAAAAGGGTTGAGCCAGTGTTGTAGGGGAACTGAGATGCCCCTACGGTGCCCAGTGTGCTAATTCAAAATATCAAGATCCGAGAGAAATGTTCCTCCATAAGAGACACCACACTCTAGAATATTTAATGATTATACATAGAACATAAGTAACATAAATAACATAAGTTATGAGTGAATATAAGTAATGATCACGAACAAGTGTTCACAAGAGTTCAACATGTCTCGCCCTAGCGACAGCCAGTCACCATTGTCATGTACAGTTGGTTTGTGGACACTATGTTTTCCAGTTGTTGCGTTTCTGTGATCTGTTCGAAATGAAAAGGAGGGACTATTTGACTTCAGCGAGTGAGAGAATATTCAGCAGCTCTTCACTGTACTAGGGCAGGTCATGCTTATACTTTTCGCAAACACCTAGTATCATCCCTATTTGATATTACCATAGCTAACCTCTCATCGCGTGACAAATTAACTGAATAACTGCTAGCAATATTCGGGTGTTATACCTTGTCCGTGGTGCATTGTGTTTGCCTTTGTTCATAACTTGTTGTCTCAACCTGTGAATAATCAACATGCTTTATCCTTCCTTTCGTGAGTGTCCATAGCTCAGTATACATGTACATATGTTAGGTCACCTAAAAAAATCTTCTTGTTTCTCATTACTTTTTAAAAAAAATTTTAGGTCAGACGGGCGAATTTTATTTTTTATTTTTATTTATTTTATATCCAAAACCACTTGATTTCTATGGAAATATACAACTTTTCAAAATCTAAACTTAGAAGTGAGAAAAGAATTCATGCACATTTTGAGAGTCAAAGTTGCATTTTCTCTAGTGTAAAAAAATAAACAAAAATCTTTTTGTGTCGGGTGGTAATGAGAAACAAGACTATTTTTACATATGGCCTAAAGATGAGATTCAAATTTTGATTCCTCAGTGGTCCATTTGTTAAATCAAGTCTACAGGAAGATCCCTAAAATTTCGAAACTCAGCCCTCGCGGCACTGTTACGACCAACAATTGGGCATAGTCGCAGAACCGTGAGAAAACACATGGTTCCATTTGGGCTTCGTATTGTCTCGAACACCAGTTCTCTGTAAACCTACACCCAGTGATATGAAAGAAATGCCAACATCAACTTGACCGTATAAACACACATGCTTCCATTTCGTTATCTTTTGAAATCTGAACCAATTAGTGCCACGCGGATCACATCATGACGTACATTGCCTTCTAGAAAAAAAGACAAAGAAAAAATCCAATTTAACATCATCATTACTAAGAATGTTTTTCTATCTCAAAGTGTTTTTATAACAGCTACAATGCTGATTTTATCATATGTCATATCTTTAAACCTTTCCCAAGAAGTCAGAAACGAGATGTTAAGCTGAAATTAATACAACTGAACAATACATTGCCTATGCTTCTCGACCGCCTACGGGGTCTAGTAGACAGAGTATCTGACATTAGAGGCGGGCGGTTGCGTAGGCGATTCGATTCTCGACCGCGTCAAACCAAAGTTTTTCTTACCCTGCCGGCATTTAAGGAATAAAACATGGGCTCGGGGGCTCGTTATCAGTCTACTCAGTATGTGTGGGGCATCCATGTTAAACTGTCACATGGTGTGGGGACACCACAAATGGGGTTCACACTTTGTACCTATGTGGGCTAGCGCTATTGACCGACGTTACATTAGTATAGCTGCCTCTCCCCAACATATGCAATGTATACTGACATAATTACTACATTTATTTTATACACGCTATTTAAAAGGGCCAGGTTAGATTGCAAGACTGCAGCATTACTCAGTGTAGGTGTGTCGGAGGGGATGCATGTTGTGGCATTGGAGGATCCACTCCATCCCCAACCTCCAACAACCGGCATCTTTGTAAATATAGTGTTAATTAAATTTTTTTAACAACATCCCTTTATATAATCCTTCATCCGCCTCTGCCTATTCGTATACAATTACATGATACATAAATAACCAATGTGTTCACTCGTTGACATCAAAGTTGGCTTCAGTTGAATAAATGCTGATTGTCTTGCCATATGCTCTCTCCAGAACAATCCATGATATACGATCACAAGTGTGCAGTGGTTGATGGACACGGGTTGTAATAATTGTGTGGGCTCAGAACGCCAACTCTCGCCTTGTCTGAATATCTTCGTAATGAGATATTGGGTGGCCGCTCAGTTATCCAAGCCATCAAGCGTTTTATTTCAAACAGAACCCCTCTTTATAGGAGGATTTCTTTCAACTAGTTTATACTGGTTGAAAGTTGATTCCTGTGGAGGTTCGTTCAGGACTTTCGTTTGGGGGAGATTATCTTTCAATCTGTGCTGAAATCATTCAGATTTTGTCTCTGGAAGTAGAAGTCAAACACTGTTTTTTTTAACGTTTTTCAGAACATGAACCATTAGTGGTTATGAAACTTGAGACATTTTTTGGATCTTTTCAGGGGAGACTTATCTCCTCTCAAAGGTGGCCACTGTCATAATGTACACCCCAGTGGCCAAGGCGCTGTTAGGGGCTGAACTGAGCTGCGTGCCATTGTAGTGAATCTCAGAATCCTTTGATCGATGGTTTGAAGCCAAGAATCGCCCCGATTCACTCAAGGCTTATGAACAGCACAGCACCCCAGGGTTAAAAACTCAAAGCAGAAGACCATTACGGCTTATCTAATTAAACATAACAAACCCTTTTTCTCATGAGCATAATAAATACGTACCAAAGTACATTCTGCGATGCGGAGCATATGTTTATAACTTAGTGACACCAGAAGTTCGCGAAAAGGTGACCGGATCCTGCGGTTGTTGGCACCTGTAATAAACACATGCAAAAGCAAGTCAGTTCTCCACCTGTTGTGCAAATCAAAATATGGAAGTTTATCGGACATTTTTTCCGTCATTGAAGCGCCACACTTGAAGTGCCCTCCAGATATGTACCATAAAACTATTATTTTGTTATGAAATATATATTGTGTTAGGCAAAATTCAAGGCCCGAAGGAAGCAGAGAAAAACGAAACCCGAGCATGTTAAAATTGTGTTAAAATTACATGTTTCCAACCTCAATGTCGAACGTGGGTGCAATTTGCAGACAGGGATATGTTTTTATTTGACTTATATTGATCGTGGATTTTTTCCATGTCAATAACTAAGCTCATCCAACGCCACACACAGTGTCAGGTTGCAATTACGGAGACCCCAGAGAGGGGATGCCTTACCACGATGGCACACAGAACATGACTAAATATGATTATTTCTGGTGAGAATATAAGAAGACGGAACTTTAAATATGAATTCATTTAAGTATCGGATGGGGGCGGGAAAAACGATATATAGTAAACGCGATGTGAGTAATGCCTAAGAGACGTTGGTCTTACGACTTTGTTGACACGTAAGGCGACGTGAAGCATGGCGTGAGCGGATCGGGCCATCGTTCTGGCATCGCGATGTCTGTAATTAGAAGTTCTATACTGCGCCCTGACATGGCTAAATACAATTTATATCCCGACATGACGTCGGGGGAATATGCAAGGAGATCGAAAGCGGTCTTTTCACGATAAATTGAATTATTTTACGTTCTTCGTCAAGTTACAATTAGACATTGGCGATGTGTACGGTGTAAGCAGCACAAATTGCAGTGTTTTTACACATGGTGTGTGTTTCACGATATCCATATAATGCATTTTGATTTTAACGCTTTGGTTCGGATTAGGCTTGGATTGTGATCAACTGAATGGAGTCAGATATCACCTCTTTAAGCTGACTAGAGTTTATCTGACATTTTTTAATATATTCATAATCGCTATTATTTGTACATTAGGTAGGACATACAGTGAGGGTATCATTTGATATGTATGTCTATTGATAGTATACTGCCAAACAATATTACACTTGAGGCGGAATGAGCCGGGATACTGTAAGAATGAAAATTTCTGAAGATTCCTGGAAAATCGAACTGAATTCTAAAACTTCATACTACATTCCGAATGCATTCCAACTATTCGAACATACTGCATTCCGAATGCATTCCAACTATTCGAACATATTGCATTCCGAATGCATTCCAACTATTCGAACGTGTTCAAAACTTTGGAAAAATATCGAACGGCATTTGAGGTGCATTCGAACTGCATTCTCAGTAAACTTACTGCATTCTAATTGCATCCTAAGTATACTTACTGCATTATAACTGCATTCTAAGTATTCAAATTCAATTCAAATTCAAACTTTTATTCCGTATAAAGTCCATAGGCCCAAGTACAAAATAATAATGCAAGTGACAAAATGGTTTGATACACCTTTTAAGCACTTCTTAACCTTAAAGCTTCTTTTACAAATTTTGCTAAGTTAATTAGGATATTCACTTTGTCACAACTTAATAACATGTTAAATTTATAAATAGAGGGATCTAAGTATTCTGAACATATTTGAGGGAGAATTGAAAAGACAAGCCACTTCAAATCCCGTCAGAATGTCTCGAAAGCGCCTCGAATTGTATTTCGATTGCTACTGGACTTCAGGTGGAATATTCTTTAAATGTATAGGAATATTTCGATTGAAGTCGGAATACAGCTCGAATGTACCTGGAATACATTCAGAACTTCCCGAATGCTCTTCAAATGAGCCCTGGCGTGATCAGAACGGCGCCGCACGGCATAAAAACGTGGCCACCTGTCACTGGAACGTCATATAGCATTTGTTAGTTACATTCTTACAAATTGTTTATTTTGACATTCCCGAATGCGGTTCGAGTTTTGGAAATATTTTTTTTCTGGCTGATTCTCCTTGATTCCTGTTGATTCGAAATAAGTGTGAAGGAGCCTTTAATCTTTTGTAAAAGGCGGAGCCCTTGAGTAGCATAGTCTCTTACGGCAACGTAGTTTGCCGTGCTGGGTTACCTCCCTTAGCCGTACTAGGCCAGTCGTGATTTTGAATTCTTGTTACGTTCCGATTGAATTCCCCAGTGTATCGTTACCAAACTCGTGCTAGCAGGTGGGTTTCCTTTATTTTTAAAAGCATATCTGTAGACCAACTATATCATGTTTGAAACGTATTTGTTTGACGTAATCTACAGCGTCTTCTATTCTCCCTGACGTAACGTAATGTTCGTGGCGACGGCGGGAGCGGGTTGTCAGGCTCCATGACTTGGCTGTGGTACATCATCGTTCCCCGTTTGTGTTGTCAACACGGTATACTGCTTTAAACACGGAACCAACAAAATAAAATAAAACATCTGATGAAGTTTCGAAAAGAGCTAAGCAGCATTCGATGCATACATAAATCGTGTCCTGTTTAATTATGCCGTTCCTTGTCGTCAAGCGCACAATATATATATTACCTTGATGACTGCTGAAATGTATCTTATCCAGATCGGAGTGGCTGCGGTGGGTTATGTTCTCAATATTTACAAAATTCTCGATATTCCACTACATCAATGAGAGGACTCACTAATAAGATGATCGGTTTTGATTCCCATTTAGCTTGGTCACTTTAACCTTTCCTCCAACAATATAGCTGACATCCGGAAATATTTCTGAAATACTCTCACTCAGACTCATGCCAAAATAGGCTCTCACACAGTCTATGACTTAGACTCGCTGACCTGGTTGACTGCGTGTCATCGTATGCCGACGTGTGGGGTGCTGCTCATGCTATTAACCACTAGTTTGTTCGGTCCAGACTCGTTTGCTTACAGGCCGCCGTCAAGCAGCTGCCATTTAACGAATAATGCATTGAACACAAAACTTAAGCCAAAACATGTTGATCCAGTATATGTGATAATCATTTGACTCTGATATTCTAAATGCGGCATAAAACACCAAACAAAGTCAAACAATATTCCATAGAACAATGGTTGTCGTCCATCATATTGATGGAACTAACATTCCCCATCCCCTCCATGTAATCTGAGCCGACACCGTCACTCAATAATACAGGCATTGCAAATGAGACAACTGCACGCTTTTATTTATATCAATTGTTTTATTTGGGGCTCGTATGATTGACTCTACTGCGGCAGTGCTCAATGTTTTATTACAATGTGATATTGTTCGGCGTGGTCGCCACACGGAGAGTTAACCCCCTGGCATTATAACTGCCGACATTACGTGGGTGGTACAACACGTGATGTAGTCTCAGGAGATGGACGTGTATTGATGCGGTGTTCCGATAGCTGCAGAAAGGGGTTGTGACTTACGGATGGAAATACGTTACAATTTGAAATCCGACCATACTGACTTATTGGGAGGTCATTTAAGACTAAACCCAATGGATTGGGTGCTTTCGTGTCAAGAAGCCAAAACTCAATAGATCTTGGTAAAAATAGGTAGTCCGCGTACATATAGGCTGTATGTCTTTACGAAAGGCTAGATCTGATTTATTGAGGCTACTTTGTGAATAGAATAGAACAAATAATCTAGTGCTGCACAAAAAAATCTGTTGAATACGTTATTGTCGGGTGTTGAACCTGTCTCGTCTATATTATACCCATTGTCATACAGGTTTAACTGACAAAACATTTTTGTGTTGTGATATTAAGTTTGCATTCTGAATAATAACGATTTGTGTATTGAAGAAAGTTTCCACTTTTCAGTGTTTTATGTTGCCGGTAACCTAGAAACCGATTAATATACTTTTTCCGTCAGACGTGGAAGATCAGAAGTCCCATTATCAGATTCAAGTCAGGGAATCTTTCTGGCAACTGGCATTCATTTGATGATAGCATGACCTCTAACTTTGACCTTTAACTTCTTACAGTAACGACTCATCAAAAGATGACAAAGCAAAGGCTAAAAACGAGAAGAAGAAAGCTGGTGAAAAGTCTGAGAAGAAAAGCGTTTACTTAAACAATGGCCCCAGTACAAAGGAGAATGCTAAAAATACGAAGGGGAACAAAATCAAATCAAAGTCAGAGAAGTCCATAGATGAAAAAAAGAAGTCTGGCTCCAAGACACCGATGCTGGCAGAAAGAAGATCACCCGATGGACAGAGCGATGAAATAAATGATAAGAAAACTAAAGAAAAAGATGAAGCGAAGGAAGACAATGCATGGGAAACAATGGAGGTGTGTATCATATGACAATATCATTGCGTAGTATATTCCTCTTATGATATTTTTGACCGCCTCCGTGGTGTAGTGGTTAGAGCGTTCGCCCGGAGAGCGGAAGGTCACGGGTTCGATCCCCGGCTGCGTCATACCAAAAGACGTTAAAATATAGTACTTGTTGGTCCCTGCCTGGCGCTTGGCATTAATGGGTACATGAAGGGCTGGTCTGCTCGGAGTCAGTATAATGTGTCTGAGTGGGGTATTCATGCTTCACTGCGGCATAGTATCTCAGTGAGCTAGCACTATAAAACCAGCTTCAGTCTGGGCTAGTACAAGCAGCCGCACATACACATATACAGACATGCACGTCGTCATATGAGCGAAATATTCTCAAGCACGACGTTAAACCCAATTTCACCTCACCTCACCTCACCTATGATATTTTTTGTATAAGCACAAATGTGTGTATCAAACCATTAAGGGTATGTCATCCATGTTCTAGCTGATTTCAGTATACGAAACGCCATTATCTGTAATGGTATACTGAAAAAGTAACATGTAAAAGTGTATTCCATGTATACTCAGACAGCGTCGTTTCAAAGTTGAAGGGGCCTACGTTAATACTGCGAGTTATCTGAGGTTCGTCACTACCGAAAAATAAACAAAGAAAGGAAGAATACGAAGTGACCAGGTTTTTACTTTGACACACGTTGGTCACATCAAAGTTGGACATAACGATGTTTGACTGTGTACATCTGACTGCAGCACATGCACCAGTTAAAAGACAGTGATTGATGAGAAATAATCCACCAGCCTAGTTAACTGAGGACCGAGTATAACCTGGAATCACGTATGGACTGTTCAGGAAAAAATGGTCAACTTTTTACAAAATATCCAAGAAAGGTGATGTTTGGATTTTTTTTGAGGTATTTATAAAACCAATAGGTTCACACCCCGTTGAGTTGTGCAGCCTTTACCTCAAAGAACTAAAGTTATACCAGGATCTCAAAATGGACCTCACAGTCTTGATATATGAGCAGGGGCGTAGCTACAATTATAGAAAAAGCCCGGGCTTACTCATGATTGTTGCTAAAAAAGTAAGGCAAGCCCACAATACTATCTAAATATAATGCCTTGCAACCTATCGGACTTACACGAAAAAATTGGTTGCTACGCGCCTGATGAGTAATCGCTAACTACACAGTTGTTTACCCATGTAATCCGCTCAGCGACGTCTGTGCCACAACTCATTGCCCACACTCATACCCCGTCTAGGTGACACATTTACGTTGAGATAGATTTATTTTCAGGAGAAATCCTCTGTCTCAAATACAAAAATGGTCAATTTCACACGCTGCTTAATCAATTAAAATGGATGTTTGTGCTGATATCCACTGGATGTGTAGACTTGTAAGATATATGATTTTATATCATGCATATTGTCAGTGCTCAGTTAAGCGGTCCATTGTGGGTGATACATATTTGTATTGTTGTGTGATAAATACTGTCCCCAAAACATGGTACTCATCTGTAATATTCTTCTCAAAGCGTAACTTAAAAAACATTTATCTGTAAATAAGAGATGTGGTGAGGCAAAATAGGCATCAAGATTATTGCACTTTTGTAGAGACAGTAAACAAGAAATCGAATCCATAGCTGTATATGTCCCTTCTACTGGACCTGATTAAACACAACAACAACGGAAACAAGTACAGGCTGACAGTAATATAACAGGGTAGTTTTAAGAGTGGGCTATCACCATGCGCTTAAATACATTTAACACACCGCTGTTGTAATTGCTTCTCCGCAAATAGAAAACAACCAACAAATTATTCTTCATTACGTCCAATCTCGAGTCATTATAATTCAGTCACTCCAAGATCAAAGCCACGTGGACCTTCCATCATTACCAGCGTCCTTTGTATTCTATAAATTTCCTTCAACATGTCTCACTTTAATCTCTTCACGTAATTACTAAAACCTCTGAAAAAAGGCTAAATAGCGCCATTTCAGTACCAGGGCACAATTTGAGTCAAGATCCTGTCTCGCAGATCAAATATGTCCAATATTTGTCCGGAGTGTAGGCAAAGCATTAAAATCCATTTAAGTCATCCTCCCTGTTCCTGTCGTGAGTTGCGAACAAACAGTTTGGGGCAAAACTCCACGTCCCTGTTCGATAAGACCATAATCCTTCCCACTGTGAGCTCTTGCGCTAACTGTGTGGGCAGAGACTCCCATCAGTCGTGCTGCTTTGGTATTTGCGCTCATTGGATCGGGCTGGTATTGGAATTGCTTTGTGCCGCACAGGCGACACCATATCATACAAATAAACGTGTAATTTGAACTACGTCTCAAGGGATAAAACCCATCTAAAGTTCAAGATAGTCGACAAAAGCATTAAAATGCAATCTCTGAGCGTAATACTCGCGGAGAAAGCAAATTTCATGACACAAATATATTTTCTGCTGTACAAACATATGATTTGCAAGCGGGTTCAACTGTTTCTACGCTTTGCAAATACGCTTAGCCTGAAGATGATCTGTTTGTAAGTTAGTTAGGTGCTTGTAAATATGCAGGATATCTCTTCATGCAGTACTCGACCTTGCTGAGCTTCGGTCGCTCCAGAAATATGATTTAGAAAAATATGATTTATTCTTCTAGAGCTAATAGACATTTTTAGATCCGGCAGGAATCATGGATCTCGTTTGGGGAATTTGATCCGAATGTTGAGTCCCTTAATGACTTAATTCACTGTTATGCATTACGGCGGCCATGACAAGGCGGAGATCCGTTCCGCAAATACTTGGTGTCATATCATCAATTAACAATGTGTATGCATTGAAATTTGAGGCTTCATTTGTTTGAGGGGAATTGAGTCCCGATGGGTCAAATCAGCGACTGATGACGTGATGTTCAGTTCTTCTGGGGCCGTGGTGTAGTGGATAGGGACGTCGTGTAGTGGAGAGAGCGTATGTCATGAGCACGGAAGGTCGGTGGTTCGATCCCTGGCACCGTTATTAAAGAAACATAAAGTTGGTAATTGAAACCTTACCTGGCTCTCGAAGTTGGGAGGATATGACAAATTTGTTCGATCCCTGGCACCGTTATTAAAGAAACGTAAAGTTGGTAATTGAAACCTTGCCTGGCTCTCGAAGTTGGGAGGATATGACAAAGTAGTTCGATCCCTGGCACCGTTATTAAAGAAACATAAAGTTGGTACTTGAAACCTTACCTAGCTCTCGAAGTTGGGAGGATATGACAAAGTAGTTCGATCCCTGGCACCGTTATTAAAGAAACATAAAGTTGGTACTTGAAACCTTGCCTGGCTCTCGAAGTTGGGAGGATATGACAAAGTAGTTCGATCCCTGGCACCGTTATTAAAGAAACATAAAGTTGGTACTTGAAACCTTACCTGGCTCTCGAAGTTGGGAGGATATGACAAAGTAGTTCGATCCCTGGCACCGTTATTAAAGAAACATAAAGTTGGTACTTGAAACCTTGCCTGGCTGTCGAAGTTGGGAGGATATGACAAAGTAGTTCGATCCCTGGCACCGTTATTAAAGAAACATAAAGTTGGTACTTGAAACCTTGCCTGGCTCTCGAAGTTGGGAGGATATGACAAAGTAGTTCGATCCCTGGCACCGTTATTAAAGAAACATAAAGTTGGTACTTGAAACCTTGCCTGGCTCTCGAAGTTGGGAGGATATGACAAAGTAGTTCGATCCCTGGCACCGTTATTAAAGAAACATAAAGTTGGTACTTGAAACCTTGCCTGGCTCTCGAAGTTGGGAGGATATGACAAAGTAGTTCGATCCCGGTAGCAGTATTCCAAAACACATAAACTTTGTACTTGTAACCTTCCCTGGCACTCGAAGTTGAGAGGATATAACAAAGTTGGTTCAGTGTAAGTACACTGGAAGGTATCCATGTTGTCATGCGACCTGGGTTTACAATGTGCTAGCACTATAAACATCCGCACAAGGCAGGACTAGTACAGGCAGCCACGCACCCACACTAAAGACAGATTTCGCTATGTTTATGCAGTAATCTTAAACGTAAGTTAAACCCCATTTCACCTCACCTCACCACTTTCCTTGCTTAAAAAGGTTTATTTTTTTCATTTTAATCAATTTTGATCACAAAAGTCCCAATCGAGCCGTTCACGAAAACCACAGCCACATGGTAAGGATTCTTGCCCGACAACCTTAAAAGGTTATATTCATTTGACTGAGTTATGTTCGAAAGATTTGGTTTTGTCAGCCCCCCGTGTATTCACATAAAGAATTTGTCTCTGAGATGTTTTTCGCTCAACTTGTGTCTGCCACACTTAAACAGTCAAACCGATTCTTGATGCCTCCATGTCTTTTCTAGCCGACAGGAACGATCAAGGCGGCGACAGACTTCAAGCCGGAAGAACAGTGCAAGATACTGTATAACGCGATGGATGGAATCGGTAAGGCTGGGAACTCTTGTACTGTGAAATGAAGTCTGTTGTGGAGAAGACATACATGTAATCAGATTTGTCCGCTATGATGGTTACAACACTTATACAGAAAGCATGTGTAAAGTTTTAACCATTGCATCGTTCACCTTCGCCAACCCAAATACCCTTAGTGTCTACCCTACCTTACACTACACAGTGTTTAACATTATAGTGAGTTAATATTTAACGTCACATCGGCAGTATTTCAGCAATATTGTGCCGTTTAACGTTATAAGACAGGAAGAAGAAGCAGGAGAGGAAGAAGGAGAAGAATAGTCACAATGTAGGTGATTAATTAGCGATTCATTTCATTACGGAGTGGGGACAGTGGGTAGCCGCGTTCGCTCGTCACGCCGAAGACCCGGGTTCGATTCCCCACATGGGTACCATGTGTGAAACCGATTTCTATTGTCCCCCGCCGTGATATTGCTGTAAAATTGCTAAAAGCGGCACGAAACTAAATTCACTCACTCACCACTCATGATGGAAAGTGAGTAGTTTTGTTACCACTTTGCTTTCCTACATACGGGGAGATTCTCACATAGCACACGATAATCCTTGCGTTGAACGCAGAGGTTCCTATTCTCAGTATTTCATCACAGCATATGACACAGCTGTAAATGCCCTGTTGATACAACTACGAATTCGTCATAGAATGTGTTTGTACGAATAGGTACGGACGAAGAGGCCATCATCACTGTCCTGACATCTTGCAATAATTCTCAGAGACAACAACTGAAGAAAACGTACAAGAAAACATACAAGAAGGTGAGTCGGGGTCCGTTATATGCCATTTATGAATAATGCTTCAACGTCATGTATATATGATATACGCCATGTCTCTTGAACGAGAGTCCCGTTACTTGACGGCTACACTGGCTTCCATAAGAGTAACTATGACAAATCATCTTGTAACGTTCGGTTAATAGTGCTTCGTCTGAAACTTTCAGCCATAACGTCATATTACTAGTATGGCTATTCATATCTTTAAATGCCGAACGAGTTTTCATAAAGATTATTTTAGGTTTACAGTGATGTTTTGCTTCATGAAAACTCTCACAGTTAGACACAGTCATGTCATTATCATTCACTGTGCTGATTATTTGTAGCTTAATCTATGATGGCCGATGAAATAACAACGTTAACCCTACTTGAAGTAATGGAAACTTTCAGTCATATCTCAAAGTGAACGATATCACAGTGACTGAAATGACAGATCTTCATCACACACACAGATCTTCATCACACACACAGATCTTCATCACACACACAGATCTTAAATTAGAACGTATCGTGAAGAAGATCTGGGTTCTACTCCTCCCATGACCACGAATGGTTCATATATATCATATTTTCATATTATCCAAACGTAGAAAAATCCCCCGACTTCCTCCTCCTCTTGGAGTCTACTGTGAATGGCGTGGAAGTATAGTATAGCAGTATAGCTGGGTCCAGACAAACAAAGTGATGCTAGTTCTGCGTTTATTGTTTTAGCTGTGAGTCTCCTCTTTCATCAAGCCCGGGCCTGGGAGCCATTTTCATGAAGAGGCCCATTAATACAAACCGACAAACACTTAGATCAGAACTGTATGTCTTTTGTATGTACATGCATTCTACTTTTGGCATTTCGAAGCCGCCATCCATTACTGTAATGCATGTGTTCTCCCTAACAGTTAGTCGAATGAAGTCGTTCACTTACTGATAAATAGAAAGAAAACAAGGGGGACAACCGACTTATCACAGATGTGGTGTAGGTAATATACTTGGGTTCTGTATATATACGAGATAATCATTATGCTGTTTTGAAATTGCAGGCGTTGGCGTAAAGTAACGTCTTTCGCAACACCATGTCAACGACGTTAGCACGAAATTTTAGCGGTGATTTCCTTTTTTCTTTTGTCATTATGATATTTAACGAGGAAAGTATTTACACGTGGAGAATAATCCAGTCCCTTGCTTTCCGTCCATTGTAAAGACGTTTTAGACCAATCAGAATGCAGCTCCATTGAAACTTCTGAATACACAATTGCATAATATCATCTTGTGATGCAGGACTGTTAGACTTAAGTTTTATAATCTAACGGTTGTGAGTGATGTAACGCTGCTTGGATTGTACTGTAGCTACATCATGGTGTCAGCTGGATGTGGGAGATAAGCATCAAGTGATGCCGGTCTTTGATGTTCACTACTTTAGTCAAACCCACGAGTTCAGTTATGTTGACACCTAACATAGACAGAGCGAACCGAGCACCTGCTGCCTGGATTAACCCCTCGCTCTAACTGTCCATTGCACTCAGCAGTCAGCGCCAATTAACCACTGGCTTCCCTTGGTGTTATCTTATCACTATTGTGGTTTCACGTGTACTTATACAGGTATCTCGGGTTCGAATCCCCACATGGGTACATTGTGTGAAGCCCATTTTTGGTGTGCCCCGCCGTGATGTTGCTGGAATATTGCTAAAAGCGGCGTAAAACCAAACTCAGTCAATCAGTCAGTATATAGGTATCTGTGTCCTATTTTTTACATTCACCTGATGAACGGAGTAAGAATACACTCCGAAACGTGTTCCTCAAAAGACGTTGACATCCATAAAATTCTTGCCTTCACTCTTGGTCTGTCAGTCGGATCCGTGATAGCGGTGAACTAATTCATCTGCACTCTACAACCTATCGTTTATTATTGACCGGAAACATTGCGTTGGCTGGCACGTGCAACTCTCGCCTTGAAGCAAGGTCGCAGTAAGAAAACATTAAACGGTAGAATTTATGTACTGACATGACTTTGATTTGCTATATATTCTATATTTGACATATAGAAACAATACGCCCGGAATAATATGATCTTGGGTTTCATATTTAGTGTGATTTAGAAAGAGATTATCTGTTTTTACAAGTCTAATATTATCTGTTCATGACATTTCATAAAAGACGAGACTGAGGCGACGCTATAATGATGACCAACAAAAGAAAATTGACCCAAAATGATTTGTTCCAATAACGTGACTCACCAATTTTAAGGTGGCGATCACTATTCACCTATCACATGCTCACTATCACAAACCGAATAGCTTGCAGTATACTGATCCCGACTGAATTGTAAATGTAATAAAGCGATGGCTGAAACAAACGTGAGTGAAAACTAAATCACTCTGTGAATGATTTCCGTTATAACACACAAGATGTTACTGTTGGTGAGGTCACTGTGCGAAAACAAGGGCCGGTGGATATGACCCCTTCTATGTTTGTCCTGGCCCCATCAGAGGTCCCATCAGAGGTCTAGTTGTCTTCCTTCATTTGGCATTATGATCCAGTTTTCGTCTGTTGTTGCATCGTACTATGACTTACCGATTAGCAATAACAAAGAATAAACGATAGATATAAAACATTAACTATCATACAACTGTATGACTAAGGTGATGACTTAGAAGTTTCCCGTGGTCAGTTTTGCCTAATTATCAAACAATACACCTGCAGCTTTCGGTGTCTACAGTTTGCACCTGTTCAGCTGATCATGCCCTGTCTACCAAAATGTAAAGCATCACACGGTTTTTGCTCAAAAGTTTACACAATCAGTATTGGTTTGTTCGTTTCCTGTTAAACGAGGCACTCAGCACTGTTCGAGCTGTACGACGACGGTTTCTTAAGGCAGATCAGTCAAACGAATGATTGATATTGTGAGCAAACTTTCATCGTTGGGTAAAGTAAAGTCACCGAGCCTAACCACAGATTCATTTAGTCTCCTAATACGACAGCCATGGGCTGGTTGTGGTCTAGTCTAAACAGAATCCCCAGGGAATCAGGTGAGATAAAATAGTACAAAACCCGGAATAGACTTATCATTCTGGACGCAGACTACCCAGCTGGGAGGAATCCTAAAGGATGCTGTTCCCATATATCCCACTTCAGCGAGTAATGCTGTACCAGGCTATAGCGTGTTGGACTAAATCTACCTACTGACCATGAGTGTAATATTCGGTTTCCACCATCCTGTCAGTGAAATGTATAGTCTTCCAGCACAGCTATAGTCCAGCCGATTAGTATTGACCAGTCCAGTGAGAGTCTTCATGAGGACGAGTTAGCGAGTAAATTCAATAAGGAAATGTGTGTTTAGGTGAGAATCAGTTTGTTAACTGTTGAACCCTTGAAACGTCGGGCGTTGATTACCTTGGGAAATTGATTTCCTAAGTCCTTATTCCCAAATGAAACCAACTCATCAGCGTCATTCTGAGGTGTAAGTGAACCGTCTCGGGGCCACAGTTCCAAAAAAGCTTTTCCTGGATCTGTGATGTGGGTTAAAAGTTCATTCTTGTGTAAGGATTCGATACAATTCGTGGTCTATCTGATTTAGTTATTGTATTAAATCCTGCTTCATTTGATGACTTGACATTATCAGACAATTTTGTCTGGTCAGGGTGTTGCGGGTTATTGTATAACAGGAAGAGCCCGTTGTTTATTATACTCTTTTTCAATGTTAGACAGTATGTGATTATAGTTTATTGAAAAGAGTGCTTTGTATCTGTCGGGAAAATTTGGCCGGATGTAGAATGATCAACGCCGCTCACCAAACGGGTGCATGCTTGTCTGTTGACATCACTTGACCAACATTCCAAAGCAGTTGCATGTATGTATTTAATGACAATTAGAACTGATAACATATGGAAGAGAATCGTGTGGGTGTCAGATTATAATGTGTTGTGGGGAAGACAGTATTTCAGAGTAAATGCTTAGTACTCCATCAGTTGAATGGATCATTTTCACCAGATGAAGGAGTAAATATATATTCCAAAACTGTGTGTTCCTAATAACAAAGAATTTGCAATAAATGAATTCACTCCCCCATTTAAATTTATGTTTACGTTTGGTGAGTTTACTTTCCTTTTGCTTTGCAGGAACTGATGGCCCATTTAAAAGGGGAGCTTACCGGGGACTTGGAGGAAACGGTGGTCTTGCTGCTTATGGAACCAACAGAGTTTGCTGTCGAGGGAATGCATCGAGCCATGGATGGAGTTGGAACTGACGAGAGGCTTTTGCTGTATGCCTCCCTTGTCCACAGCACTACAGCACAGGTAGATAATGATGTATTTGCAAAAGTCACACTTGTCCACAACACTATACCACAGGTAGATAATGATATATTTGCAACAGTCACGCTTGTCCACAACACTATACCACAGGTAGATAATGATATATTTGCAACAGTCGCACTTGTCCACAACACTATACCACAGGTAGATAATGATATATTTGCAACAGTCACACTTGTCCACAACACTATACCACAGGTAGATAATGACATATTTGCCAAAGTCACACTTGTCGACAGCCCTACACAACAGGCATTTATTGATATATTTGCACACCACAGATAGATAGTGTTGGATAAGCAATAACCACCATTGTCCACTGTGCTTGCGTGCGTGCGTGCGTGCGTGTGTGGAATAATCTACGTCGCACTCACGAATAAAAGAAGTTGTTATCCATAAAGTATGTTCTATAAATCGTTCTTCGGACAAATAGGTAAGGTTGTAGGAATGAAGACAAGAGTTATTTATATCAATCTCAACAACACATTCGAAACATGGATAGCCGCTATTTTTCATTTTGTCATCAGTGAAGGGTCATGAAATCGCTCTGTGAATCTTGCCTCCACAGAACCACCTAAGCTCGCTGCTCTTGCTTTAATGCAGCATTTGTGATCCGACTGGGAATACCTCATCTAGTCGTGATGAACGCCTAAGGCCTACTGGCATGCTTCAAGATGGAAGACCGTAGCGTGGGGTAGCCAGTATGTTCAGTGTGTCTCAGTCTGTAATTTGCAGACACATGAAGTAAAATATAGAACCCCCGAAAACCAAACACATCGATGTTTACTCGCGTCAGGTCACTATAACTATAGACTGACAAGACGATAAGAAATTGTCTTTATGTTCGGCGACCACTTCTAGTACCATCATTACACACGGACACTGACAGAATCACCGAAGGTCTCGTGTGATGGATGTGGACGTGGACGTGGACGTGGACGTGGACGTGGACGTGGACGTGGACGTGTATGGAGACGTCCTGTACAACGTCAGTTTAAGGCAACATGTCATATCTGAGGCTATGTCTGTTGTGATATTGGGCGGTATCATTATAACTGCAAGGATGCCCCTGCAAATTGTCCATGGACAATGCAACCGAGACAACTTACTGGCGCCAAAAGTTTTGCCGTTTGCGTGCCACGCCGACCCACGCGTTGTATTTCAAGACAATTTAGGCTCGATCCCACCCCGCACTTAAAGCAACTGACTACCTGCAGCAGCAAGACATCCCCAGAACACGGTTCCCGCCATGAATCCTGCCCTTTTCTAATACAGCACGCCCGGGACATGATCGAGTTGCGTGAACGCCGACGTCAAAGACCACCAACTTCGTTACGGGCCTAGGCGCTGCAAGATGAGCGGACAAGACATTGGTTGAGCTTAATTCGGGCCATGTCATGCTGTATGAAAAAAAGTTGACCAACCTGAACTGTTTAACTTCTCATCTCTGTCGTCTACATCCTTACGACAGACAGCCAACATGGTCTACTCATTGTGTAACACATGGTCCTTTCTATTCCATATCCATCTATGGCTATAACTCATGTACTACTGTACTACATCATAACTGCACAGAACAGCAATACATTACAATGTTATCCTATTGGCATTTTTGAAACAGTATAGGAACTCGGTCTCAAATAACACACTTATGGTGGGAAGATGCCATTTAAAAAATAGACTAGGCTAACGGGACGCTGTGGCCTGTGGCCTGACCAGTTCCATCACACACAATACTAGGATGCGTTCAGGGGTTTGTGTGTTCTAGGCCTGATTAGTCCCAGGATGCTGGAATAGTGCTGAATGTGGCATTGCACAACATTCAGTCAATGAAACTATGATTCGCCGTTATATCTGGAGCTACACGGAAACCACACATATCCAGATTTGAATACTAAATGTTAATATTAAAAGTTGAGTTATTTGAACTATAGGGTTAAGTGACTATTATCCAGCCTTATGAACATGAGCAGGCTGTTCTTCAGTCTATCGATCTCCTCTCCTCCTCTCCAAGTAATCCCCATGCATCTTTCAATCTTCTGAATCCTCAGTTCACTGCTGACAGCATCTAGTGATTCCACTTTCAGCGCACACAATGAGATCAGTATTCAATATCGCTTAAACAGCCTATCATTAAAGATACAAACATATCTGATAGCATTATTTGTGTCGGGAGCTTGGTGTTGACACGACTTGAAAGGAGAGAAGCTCTATCGACGATGTTTGTCAGGGGAACTCAAGTATGGAAACCTTGCAATGCCAAGGCGCCATCTTAACTTGTCGTTGTGTACGAGCGAGTCTCTGCCTTTGGCTGTCGATGTGGCTCCTTGCCCTTTTCATCTGTCCCGGGGTGAGAAGCTGACATAGTTATCGCTTTCATGTCTGGATCCAGGGGGTCATGAGTAATCCCCAGCATCTTCGTTCTCTCCAGCAACTCCACCAATTAGCTTTCTTGTTTGAAGGCTCGAGTGTTGTCATATGTTCTTTGATTCAATTGCAAGAAAAGGCAATATTCATTTATGGATTTAAGGAGCTAACACTCGCTCTATTGATAAATCCATCTGTATTGTCGACATATGTATTTTGTGTTCATCATTGATCAACCAGAGGTTGACAGCATGAACAACTATCCACCAGCTTGGCTTCATGATGCTTTCAGCTACATCAGCTGGAGGAAAGCCCAAAGTGACGCCCGTATTAGACATTTAACACATGAAACCCACAAACAAACACGTTTCTGACACACCTATAAACATAACCATGGCGAATGTGGCGTTCGAACACACGACTAAATCAGCGAATTGTCACGCCTTGGACTATTAGGCCATCCGTACCCTGCTTGGTCTGGTGTGACGATTTTTGTTGTTAAACACAGCAGTAGTCCATTAATACGACGGCATTCTGTCAATAATCAAACCAAGACCATATAACATTTGACTAAAGTACAACAGGTAGTAATTCTTGACATTTAAAGAGTAGTCGAAGAAATGACGATACTAGCTGTTAGTACAGCAACACGTTCCCGATTTGTACTTTTGATGAGTGTAACCGCCTCCGTGGTGCAGTGGTTAGAGCGTCCGCCCGGAGAGCGGAAGGTCGCGGGTTCGATCCCCGACCGCGTCATACCAAAAGACGTTAAAATATGGTATTTGTTGGTCCCTGCCTGGCGCTCGGCATTAATGGGTACAACAAGGACTGGTCGGCTCGGAGTCAGTATAATGTGTCTGAGTGGGGTATTCATACTTCACTGCGGCATGGTATCTTAGTGGGCTAGCACTACAAAACCAGCTTAAGTCTGGGCTAGTACAAGCAGCCGCACATACACATACACACGCATGCAAGCCGTCATATGAGCGAAATATTCTCAAGCACGACGAAAACCCAATTTCACCTCACCTCTTTTGATGAGTGTAATCGGGCAACATGTCTGGTACAGATGTACGTGCACACTGTGAGTGTTGGAGCTAGCTGTCTTCGCCGCCGTCGAGTGTTGTCTAGGGCGCCGTAGTTCGGTGCGCAATGCCCTTCATGGGTCCCTGGAATTGTCTGATGAGAACCATCCACATGAATGTTGGTTTCACCAAAGTGGTGAACGTCTAAGACTTGCTCTGGATATTGTTCCAATCGGCGTTCAACCCAACCGAATCTCTGACTAACATTGAGGGCCCTTTTCTATGGTATGGAATTGGTATCTTGCATCCTACAATTATATACCCCTGTGCTATCAACGCTGTGTCGGTTGAACTTGAATTCAATACAATTCTGCCTGCAGACTCAAATTCCATCCGATTATTACTTTGTCGGAATCATTAACTGTCATAAATGTCAAGTATCTGTGTCATGGGGCCACTTGTAATGGATACAACAGAAGGTCACTGGCTCCATTTTTTGACCATAGAAAAAACGTTGAAAGATGGCACAACCCCTCCAGCAATTGACCAACATCTACATATATACGGACTGTCGAGAAACAGATTTTATAATTTTATATCATTTTAGTTTAATATTGATAACAAATGCCTAGGCTTAATAATATACGTTTTGTTTTGTCCAGCCCATTCGTCTTGTAAAATCCCATTCATAGTGATAAGTCATAAGTTGATGTTTGATATTTACAGTTAGCAAAGTTTAGCCGTTTTGGTTTCGTGATAATTTACATTCACAAACATGATAATAAATCGTTGTTATTTTTCAGGATCTGAAGAGTCTGTGCAAGAAGTATAAAGAAGGTGAGTCAGCTATGCATTATATGCATGGAGGTTTTACAGATACCATGTGTCATACCAACGTCTCATAAACAATCCTGGACTTCTTGCAAACAGTAATATTTCCATGCCACTATAGCTCTTCGCTGGCTTCGTACAATCAGTAATATTGCCAAAACTACTGGATAGGAAGACGCGTGCAACTTGGCAGTTTGCTCAGGTTGGATGGGATTCTCGTCAAATGCAACATGTGTTATATTTGGGATTAAACTTTTTCATTAAAGATTCTAGTACTTTGTTAGGTTGAGTCACATCTGGGGTTCGAACCCACACTCTAGTTGTACGTGGTCCGTGATCTAGACTACCAGTTTTTACCCAGTCATATGTCGCAGACGTAATCAGGACGAATCTGGAATACGAAAAACACGATCACTAGTTCCTCTTACCCTACGGGACGCAACTCTACACAGAGAACTGCAACACTGAAGACGAATGGGTCCTAGGAAACATTGGTTTGTGTAGAAAGTAATTGTTTGTTTCTTCTGAAGGGCATCCTGACTCTATCGCGTATCACCTTATATATCATTTATTTAATCTCCAGCGCACAAGAAGGACCTGAGTAAAGCGGTTTCGTCCGAGACCAGTGGCCTGATTCAAAAAGTTCTTCTCAACATTTTGGCGGGAAAACGTTCGCAGACGACACAAGTCAAGGAAAAAGATGTTGAAGAATCAGCCAAGAAACTTTATGGAGTATGTAGTTTTGCTTCTCTGTTTTGTTTGAAATCTTTGAATTCTGAACATCGGCAAAGCGTCATCAATATTCTGACAATTGCTTTTTTTAAAAATCAGAATTACTATGGATACGTTCATATCACTTGACCCCGTTACAAAGCAGTATATAAAAGCTTTTATCCCAACGGCGCCTCGTACCGCTTAAAACTGGTTCGTATGGTGTGAATGGACCTTAAGGTTTGGGGAGTAATACGTCTGCTGGAGAACTGGAGTTACGCCAAACATTACATTAATATCATTGTAGCTAAACTGCATCATCTCGGTGTGAGATACTGTACCAGCCGCCCAACACCGCTTGTACAAATCTCATTGTATTCACCACATGATTGTATTTACGCAAACCTGCACTGTCTCTCAGACGACTACAACAAACGGATCTCGTGTAACGTTGTTCCATCGTGACAACCCAGCGTGTTTCCACGTCAAAGACGATACTATTTAATTATTATACGTGCATAAACACAGTGGTGCAAAAAACGATGTACCTTGAAACTACAGAAAATGAATTTTTGGAAATGTTGATATGTTCAATGAAATTGTATTTCAAAGCGAATCCTACCAGGGATCCATGTCGTGATTCCAGTGTGTCAAATTGACAAATGTTTGCTCAAAGTGTTTTTCATAACCACGATTAAGATCCCATGCAATGTTTGTTGTAAAACAATGAAGATATAATGTTTCTTATACACCTGTAGGTGAGAAACCCATGGGAGAAAACTGGTATCAAACATATGTGTGATATCGATTTCTAAGGCTGTGATTGGCTACTCCATGAGGATGACCTAGGGTCAGATTATGACGGACTCTTTTCCTGATGACATTTCATTGAAAAGTTACTCATGCTTCAACCAAACCTGTTACTCGTGCCAAGCATTATTACACTTACCTGTTATTTCGGTGATTGTAACGTAAACAGAGGATTATTTTTATGTTAACAAATTCACTCATGACAATCAGAAACAAAACACTCTGGGTGAAATAAGGTACAACGTGAAACGTGTGTTGCAAATGGCGACACATAGCATTTCGAATCAGTTCCACATCTACAGGCACAGTATATCTCCACAATTAGCCCATGCAGGATGTAATCAACTCACATTTCATCCTCGCAATACCGTAACATCAGTAGCATCATAAGTGGCAGTTTAGGGCTCTGTAAAAACAAGATGGCTGTGGCAAAGAAGAGTAGTCCCCCCTCGACAGTGAACGTCACTTCCCCAATGTCACATTCGAGCACTCGGATTACACTTTATTGAGACACTAAATATTTTTGACTCCGGGCCATCGGAGAACATTGAATGTCATCTTTTACACAAGTACAGATCTCCAATGTGCAAAGATATCCAAACAATCTACCGATGACAACAACTATATCCAAAGTCAATGAGCGACACTACAAAACTATTATAATGACGCCACACGCTCAATTAGTGTTTGCTTGCAAGATGTAAAATCACCTACGTCAAAATGGCAACGTCGTCGTTTATGGGTGTTTATTCAATTGTCATTGATCTTATCTAGTTTGAATTGTCATCATCGTCTTGATAATACACAAATGTGGCAGAAACCTTTTTGTGGAGGGTCACCTTGGAGATGAGTAATGATTGGGAAGCCAAGCGACGTCACTCATTCATAAACGTTGTGTTGTGTATTAAATTGCGGTACTATGAGAAAATATGAAATTGTATCTATTCAACTATGAAATGGTGCGATTTTATGGTGTATAAGAAACAGATTACTGTGCTCGTGTCTGTCAGATACCATTTATCTTACAACTCGTTTATCAAAACGTATCTAACTCGCTTTCGCTTTAGATGCGTTCACATAAATGGTTTTCTCACAGACATTCGTGTAGGAATATCTCTATATGTATGTTCTTATTCATCTTTAGCGGAAGAAAAACCGACAGCCGCTTTAACCGATGAATTGTGTACGTGGTATTGGGGTCTTTTTCTAAATTACCAATCGATAAGATAAGGCAAATATCTAATATCAACATATTTTAGAGTGAGTGAGTGAGTAGAGATTCACACCGCCTTTTTAGCAATGTACAAGACACTAGAAATGGGCTTCATGGGACTGTACCCATGTGGAAAGTCGAAACCACCAAATCTCTCTCTCAGAGTAGATGGACACTTTGACATTGTATCAGGTCATGGTACAGAACCCAACGTTACTATATGGTTTCTCGTGTCTCCTCAGACTTGGTGATGACGTAATCGGTGGGACGCAGTTTGTGATGTAGACGTAGGTGGGTCGCAACAGTCGCCGGCGTCTTGTTTTATTCTTAGGTTTTGCTTATCGCAGTAAAGCCTGTTCGGCATTCAACTCTGTCAGCCCGCCATGTCGCTGGAATATTGCTGAGTGCGGCGCTATCCAGCCAACTATCGTCGCTGTTAATCGTGGATCCTATGTGGTAGCTTTACATAAATTAGACTGTTTTGGAGAGAACAACTAATTTGTGAGGTTTTGTATGTGGATGAATATTCATATTTCCTGACACGAATTGAAGTCTTTGTATATACTGACTCAGGAATATATCGTGTACATATATGATGTATATTTGTTTATACCAAACGTCGCAACTACTACTGCAACAAAGAAGTTGTCTATCCATAAAATGTGTTCCACTTCATCATACCAGCTTGTAAATGCCACTTAAGGAAGTTATGTACGTTTGCCACTACGTAAATAAGTACTAAACGTGGAAGGACCTGTGCTACTTCCAGCATGAAACTGACACAACGTGATACTGAAATACTGAAACACCTTAATCACTGCAACAACTGTATATTATTAATATGGACTGTTTCTGGAATGCCACCTCGAAACCGGTAATTACTCGATAATGTGATTGTACACGATACAGCAGGTATCATAATTAATCAACTCTAAAGTTGGGTACTGCAGATATATGTCTCTTGATAGTTTCTGGCTAAATAAGAACGTATTGGAGTAGAACATTTCTGTTATTTCAGTACCATAACCAGATGAAACAGACTAATGGATCATACGATTTCACATAAATAGTTATATAAATGGTCAATGAAGTGGTTACATGTAGGTACCCATCTGATATACACATGGTTTCCAGTGAAATGAAAAGATTTCGTCAAATACATTGATGGCAGCTACGACATGCGTGCGTTTAAGAAATAAACGACAAAGTGGAGGTGTTTATCTCACAATAAAACACTGCAGGATTAAATATACAAGGTGTGCGGTCTTCAGTGGATTTTTTTTTCCAATGCAGTGTGTTAATGTACGACAGACAACGTTCGTATGATAAACAACTCTTTTCAACAGGGGTTAAGTTTGGTATTATCTGAATATTCTCAATAACACTACAACACTTGACAGCCATTTTCTGTAAACTTTTCCCAGACAGATTGCTATATCTTGCCTACTTTTGGTTGCGATTGTTCGCCCAATGCATTGCCCAGCAACAACTCATCGTCCTAAAATATAGCGTTGACCAATTTAAGAGGTCTTCAGGTTGTAATCATATGTCCAAATGTTCAGACACAACATCATGACAGAACAATGTTTGATCGTGAAATATACCCCGTTTTTTCGTCCCCGTCCTTTGACGTTTATATATATCGCTGTCATATATCTGGTACATCCTGCATTTGCGTGACAATCTTGTTTCGTAGGTCTGCAATCGTGTCCACTGTATCTGTAACAATATTGTCACTGTCCTATTTGTATAAATTGTAATGTCTACCGTATGTAGCAACCATTGGCGGATCAAAACCACAATCGCAACTGTGGAGGCAAGGACAGGGGACAAACAACCTTTTAAATAGTTGTCGCTTTCGTATTACAGACTAATGACAAAGAACACAACCTTTGGGACCCTTAGGAACCCTAATACTGACCTTGGTTACAGAAAGAGCCTTTATAGTGCTGTCAGTGCTCCTCCTCCATGACTGACCATGACCTGGCATGTCACACAAATAACTGCTCGTGAGCCTATGTCAACTAGCAGAAACACCTACCCACATCAAAAACAAACAAACAGCTGTCCCCATAATATCAGTTGAGGTTCGAAATCGGCGCATCAGTAAACCAAACAACGTAAGCACAACACGGTATCTGTCTGTCATAGTGAGTATAGTTTACAATGCCTTTATCAATATCCCATTAATATCAATACCGCCGACATTGAAACGGTCGCGTACCGATCCGTCGATTTTTTGATTTCAGAGTAGTAACCGCAATCAAGGTGAAGGAATGAAACCTATGGCTTTAGTATAACGAGCAAACACTATAGCCAGATGGCCTCTCCACCCATCCCTACATAAAAGGTCAGATGACCAGGAAACAACACAATTGGTGAAGACAACTCTAACTTGTTGTCGTCTTGAATTGATTGTCCAGACATAAGCCTGACCAATGTTGGCGTGATAAATGTTGACCTGTACAGATAGCAAATTCATCGAGCTGAGAGTGGCTGATCTTTATTGGTCTGGGAGACCGAGGTCATGTCCAGTCGGGGAGATAAAACAAGACCCACTAATCTCCCACTCTGGCGTACATTTCGGTGAATGACTTCATGGTGAAGAATATAGTTCGGGAATATAAAGATTAATCACGTGACAAATGACCGACACAAAGGGTATCGTCTGATATGTCAAGACATATAAAATCCCGTAATGGATATTTTCCCGATTTGATAAACACATTTAACGAGATTCTGACCACCTTTTGCCCCATTCTTTTGTTTTATAATGACTGGGTAAGAAAATGCGACAAACGAAACTATGACTTACAGTCTACCATAAGTATAGATGTGATATTAAATTACCCTATACAGATCATCTTCAAGATGGCTTGCTGAATAGTCAAGCAGAGCTTGATTGAATTGGGTTTTCGTATCAAGGCTCTTTCTGGTCTGCTATTGGAAATTGAATAATTCAGTTATATCAAACAAATAAGGTTCTCCCAAATGAAATGTCGGAAGGCCCAGATTACACACCATAACAATCTCTTGTCTAGACATGGTATTGGAATACAAGCCCGACAGAGACAAGGATGATCATGGTGGACATGCTGTAGAGGTAGGTTGGTTGTTCAAAGCCACACTCAGCAATATTCCAGCTATATGGCAGCCGTCTGTAAATAATCGAGTCTGGACCAGACAATCCAGTGATCAACAACATGAGCATCGATCAACGAAATTGGGATACGCTGACACGTGTCAACCAAATCAGCGAGCCTGACCACCCGATCCCGTTAGTCGAATCTTTCGACTATCATTGGTAACAGAAGACCAATTCTAACCCCGATCTTCACTCACATGCTGCACAGAGCCAGACGAGCAAGGGTTTGGGTTTGATGCTAATATTTTACATTTTGATAATAAATTGGGATGGTAATAATGGTATCGATGATTCTACAATGACTAAAATATGTGCTTCATGTTCCCAACCCATTTTAGGTTTATTCGACTTAAACAGTATGCAAAAAATCTCTCTTCGGGTGAAAGTTTCCTATTACCCTGTCGTATGGTTGCGTCATGAGTGTCAACCACATGGGCCTGGTTATCATGTTTAAACGCCAGGATGTAGACCTAACTTGATTCTGTGAAAATGATACAAGACATCTCTTATGAGCATTATAGACAAGTCCGGTCGTGTTATCGGGTACTGCTTCGTGTACATATGAAACCAAGGTTTTCCGCGAACAGACTTTTCAACACCCCAGACAATGTCTGTACCAAGTGTGCGTGTATTGAATGTCTTTAAGTCTTTATTCAGCATTGGATGCCTCGTGGCCCAGATTACAAGCTGTGTTGAAATACAAATTTCTGTGTGGAAGATATTTCTGATAAGTACAATGATAACACATGTAGAAAAAATAGTTATATTGTACAAGAAATGATAATGCAGTTTATATAACATATGAAATCATGTTACGGCAAAAACTGGGAATCATTTTGCATAAAGATTTCTTTTTAAATCAATGCAAGTCCCATCAAAATATCAACATTTGTTGAAGACATAAGTTGTTGTTGTTTTCCCCGGGAAGGATAGTGATGAAAAATAATTTGGAATTAATTTTATTTCTGCTAATATTATAGTAAGGACAACCCAAAATAAAATGAAATTCATCTTCGACAGCCATATTGTCACACTTATCACATATTAGGGCAGATCGGTCAACGCTCTCTTTACTTTTCTTATAACGTTAGTTCTGAATCTTCATGTTATGAGAAAGTATACGAAACTTCGTGAGAACAACTTTTAAATCTTATCTGTAGAATTTGATAATACATAAAATTCTGAAATTCGTCAAAGGCATTTAGAAGTTGGTGTAGTAATACAAGACAAATCTTATGGATAACAACTTCTTGATCTATTTTTCATAAAGTTTCTGGGCTAGTTCTTGCCCCTTCTTCAGGTGTTGAATGTCATTATCCACCTGAAGAAGAGGCAAGAACTAGCCAGGAAACGTTGTGAAAAATAAATCAGAAGGTTTTTATCCATAAAGTAAAATTCTGTAGTTAGTAATGATTTATAAGAACTATAGCGGCAAAGAAATCTTGTGTTGATTTTTTGACACCAATTCTGAATTTCTAAACCTATGCATCGCCGTTTGAACAATCTTGGAAAATATTTCCTATCTCCACAATCTTGGGCGATATAGATATATGAGAATTTGTACTGCCGTGCTCATCTTGATCTTTCATCATAGTATAACAAGCGTGTGGGTATCTATTCGAATTCATACGGATCAGTCTGCACCAACAGCGAACGCATTTACAAAAGTAATTTGCACAAAGTTATGCCGCCCAATCTCTCCCAGTACTGCGCTGGATGAGCAGTAATTACTTATACCAAGGTATCTTTTAAAGCATCTTTTATTGAATGGCTGGTTGTGATTAATGTAACACAGTGATGGGGAATTGTTTTGTATAATTACCGCTGTAGGTACAACGTACGCAGAGACCAGCTGATATTGACAACATACAGTGTATTAATTGTCTTTCATGAACTTTAAGCATTGGCAAGCGAAAACAATTAAACACGGAAACCCGTATCTTGAGGCTGACTATGATATACTTGGAAATACCAATACTGTTCCAAACGTCAAGAAATCGGCTTTTTCATGCCATGCTATGGTTCCCCAGTGTGTCGATTCGTCCAGGACTAAACTGACCAGTCGACCTTGTCAACACAGGCGGAAGAGCTACTGAAAACTGGGACTGTGGTAGTGACGTGCGAATTCTTTAACCACTGGGATACCCAATTGCTACAGCATACTTCCAGAATCACTCCATTTGTATTCCATCGCATGAAGACGACACTTGCCTTCGCGTGACTCCATTTTTATGGATAGACAACTTCTTTAATGCAATAGATGCGACGTTTGGTGTAGATGCTAGCATCTATATCAAACAAATACTACGCCGAAACGTTGCATCTATTGCCATAAAAAGTTGTCTATCCATTAGAATTGTTCCTCTTCATTATACCAGCTTATAAATGTCACTTGAAGAAGGTCATGTGCCTCAACCATTCTTGGATAAATTGTAAAAACACACTCACTCACTCACTTTCCACATTGAACGAACACTGTGTGGTATGTAAGAGTTAGTTCCAAATGCCCTTAACATGCTGTTAGTTAATATGTGTGATACAAATGTGCGATTCATACTACAGCATGAAAACACAAACCTTGCTGACCTTGGTATAGCTTGAGGATGAGATGGGAGGAGAAAGGAGGGGAGTGGCCCTGGTGGTTTTCACAAACTTACTGACATTCTTACAACTAGAGCCTCCATTTAACCGCAGTACACGTTCTCTGTTCATCGTATCATGTTTAGGATGTTTCTATTTGCTGTATGTTGTCTCTTCATAGGATGGTGAAAACGCATTCAAATATGACGTGGAATACTGCGCTGACCTGCTCACCACCCTCAGCCCGAGTCAAGCCAAGGCTGTGTTCTCCCGGTACAAGGAGGTAAGGTGCAATCAATACCCATAGGCGCAATATGGTGGCATTGATTGAGAGAAAGCCATTGCAAAATCCTCGGAACGTTCTTCATCATTTTACTTTACATTTTCGTTCGCAATTTACAGTGGTGTTTTTTAGAAAGTTTGTTTATAGAGAGCCAGTCGATTCACGACCCATTGCAAATTGACGTGCAAATGATTACTTCCTGGTTTACTCTTTGGAAAATTTTAAAGGATTCGTTTTGTTGGAAATCGATGTTATTTGTTTTGTGCATCTGGACGGAAGTTTGCAGTTACTGAGAGATAGTTATTTTCAATATATTGCGCTCTCAATCTGTGCAATGATAATCATATATAGGCTTGTGGTGACAATGTTTGTATCAGCAGTGTTAAATGAAATGACAAAACAGGATAAGCATAAACTAGTTTTAATTTTTACACTTTAAGATTTAAACATTCCCGCTCTAACACCACCCTGCTGAACCACAAACTGTACTGTCCCCAGGCAGTTCTGAATCATGTGATCGGCCATTTTGCGGAAAATAGACCTCGTGGCCATTGTCATCCAGAACTAAATTTGACCAGTCGACCTTGCCAGCACAGGCGGAAAAGCTACTCAAAACTGGTAGTGTGGTAGTTGTATGTGCTTAGTGGTAATGAAAGGTGACGGATCACCAATATAGTTCTAGCCAATCCCGTGACTACTTGCGGTGAATGCTAGCTATGATCACATGGGGTAGCGCCACCTATGTTTCTTAATATTTATACCCCCTCGAGCATCTTCCATTTCCAACATTCAAATCCGAATAATGTTTTATTACGGAAAGGGGCAAGATTTGCCGATTTTTTCAAACTATAATTACAATCCACTATGGATGGGATACCACAAAAGCTCATTATTAATAGATAAAACCATCAGCGTGTCACTGGTAAATGTCACGCCGGCCTATATTAGAAGGGGAGTGGCTCAGATGGATGACTACAGGGGCCTATTGCGTATGGGTTGTCACAGTACGCTATAAAGATGGATAATAGCAACAACTTATTAGAGATGAATGACTACAGTTATTCATGATAGACGGGTATCCATAGTTTCTAATTATAGACACGTCGTCATATGAGCGAAATATTCTTAAGCACCACGTTAAACCCAATTTCACCTCACCTCACCTCTGATTATAGACAGCAGTAAACTAGCTAAATTCCTTGAAAGTTCGGCAACCCATGAGTGTTAAGTCAGGGTTTAAGCAGTATAATAATATGATTTACATCCCAGCTAAACAGATTAATGTGTAGGGATATTTGGATGGCTCGGACCGGTGACAATCGGAGATGATACGGTTACACCAAGAAACATAAACCTCGGATAAATCTGTGATTCGAACCTACGACACGCTGATCCTGGTATTACCGTAGCCGCTGACATTCAGCAAGGGCTGGAGGAAGACTCATTGATTTGCCTGCCTTTGGGGGTCGGCGTAATTGCTGCTGCAGCTGACGATGATGACGCAAAGCTCCATCACAAATTGAGCAAAAATAGAAATGAGGAAAACATGCACAGCTTTATTCTATTACAGCATTTAATTTACACATCGCTTCACAGAGCCCATCGGGCCTTGAGCGGTTTAAGATAAATATTTACATAGTCTTACATCTCATGGAATGGCGATATGGTGACAACGATCACATGTCGTGCAAGGCACCTCTACAGTTCCTTTCAAAAACATCGCTAAAGGTCAGCATCTTGTTGATGGTCTCCAGGCGGCCGTGGTGCTATTTTAGACCCGATGTCAGAAACAAAACAACTCACCAAGACTCGGATACTTCATGTGTTTGTTTTGAAAGCAATGCCAGCGCATACACTACTTTGTGTTTAACCGCATACTTTCAATCTTTCAAACTAGTATGGATCTCTGTGAGATCCGCTTAAAAAAGTACCGGGTAGTTGTCTGGGATAAAACAGTTACGGATCTAGAGGCACCGAATTCATGCCCTACACATCGTACGGCCCCTATACATATTGGTGGGTGGGAACTGTAGATTCATCCACAGTGACACGCAAGCTCTCAACCCTTTAAGCACTGTTTGTGATCAGACTGTGAATACATCATCTACAACGAGTTATACGCCTGAAGGCCATTGGAATGTTTCAATCTAGTAGAACTCAGCGGGAAGCAGTCAATGTTCACAATGTATCCAAGTGAATCATTTGCAGACTTGGGAAAGGTTTTCTGCTGACACAAATTGCTAATGATCTGCCCCTCACAACAGCATAGTTCGTTGGTCGATTAATCAGAAACCAGGCTTGAAGAAACAACGCACAGAAAGTCAAACCGCTGTTCTCCACTTGCCACTCGTGATATGTTACTGACCAGACGAATGGAAATCGTCTGGGTGTAGGCAATATGTTTGCCCAGGGACCACATCTTGTACCACTGAAGGAATCGCAGACAGCCTCGTGTAGCTGTTTCAGATTGGTCAAGATTCACTCTGGACTTTACTGGTCGTGTCCGAAGGCGTCCCTGACAAACATCATGCGAATGGCAACGCGAGTCAACGTGAAAGGCTTCGGGGTGGATGTATAATGATCTGGGACAGGATCGCAATGACTGCCACAACGCAACTGCTTATTGTCCATGGAAGTGTTATCGGACAAGACTAGCGACACAAAATACTTTCACCCGTAGTTGTGTTGGTGCGCCATGCTGGTCCACCTTTGAGGAGTGGACAAGACTCTCTTAGGTTGTCACTGGGAGATTGATTTCGACATTACGACGCCGTACAAACGAATGTTTGACCAGAAGTAGAATTAAGACGAATTATTGATCACATCTCACATCTTGTCGACGTTTTGCACCCTTACAATTAACACGTCCTGTTTATTCCATGTTACAGTCGTTTCACTGTTCAGTACCATCACTCGAGGTGTATTGCTGAAATCATCTGTTATTTACGATTATCTATCCCTTACTTATTCTGTAGAGTATACATCAAACCATGTTAACTGAATGTTTATGTTGAGATATAATACACCACCTTACCAAACATAGGTGTAGTGCTGCCCAACTAAGAAACAGGACAGGTATGTGTAGGTGTGTAGGTGTGTGTAGATGTGCCTAGATCACTGTAGGTCTGTGTAGGTCCTGTTGGTTTTTCTAAGGTCATGGTGAGTCCTTGCAGTCCCCGATAGGTCAGGGTAGGTCAGTGTGGGTACTTATGGTTCTGTTCAGATCCGCGCTGTCGAAAATGTTCCCGATGTTGTAATCTCATATGATGCAGACAGTTCAGGCTGTGTGTCTAACAGTCGAAATTGCTGTCTTGATGTTACCCTGATGGTGTTGTGAGTGTGCTATGGAAGCGTTGCTGTATTCCAGCTGTATGCATTTATCCACAAATGCTCTGATACCTTAGTGAAGACGTTAGAACTTAGATAATATCAAATTTCCCTCCCTGCTGACACCTACTCTGATAGAGACCAGATTGTATGCTGGTGACTTCCGGAACTATCTCTGCGCTAAAAGCAGTTGGTAATGGTTGCTGTCGTTTTTCCTTTTCTTCTCAGTGTACGCTTTATGAGATTCTTTGGGCGTCAAGTTGATATGACTGGTGTTGTCGAAACCATATCACATTAGAGGAAATTACTTAGAGAATAACATATCAGCTTCGCGTGATTATAGATTATCTGTCCTGAGCAATGTCATTATTGTACAGACGAGATGATAATCCCTAATTCATTGTTGCTCGAAGCATTTCCTGTATACTTCCAGTTCTTTTCTGAGAACATGTAGAAAAAAGTGTGTTTTACATAAATCCTTTCTGATATCATGAAAAGAAGTTCTTCAGTTTGATCTTAATTGCTCGCATAAATTTGGCATAGACTTCAAACTGTGAAGCATGGAATGCGGGAGAAGGACATATAGTGTATAAAGGATTGGTTTAGGGGAATTAACTCGATTCCAGTAACAAACGCATCTCAACCGTAACTTCGAAAGTTTAGATCGTTTACAATAATAGTGGGAACAATATGTCTGATTGAAGATGATTAAAGCTTGACTCCACGAGGGCCATACAGTGTCGTTTGCTCCTTGTATTATCGTCTACTCCTCGTATTGTCGTCTACTCGTATTATCGTCTGCGCCCCGTAGTGTCGTCTGCCTCCGTATTGACGCTCAATTTACTGTTGTCTGTTCGCCGTTTTGTCATCTACTCCACGTATGATCGTCTCCTCTCCGGAGTGTTGTCTGCGTCCGAATTACCGTCTGCACCCTGTACTGTCATCTGCCCCAGTATTTTCGTCTGCTCGTCGTGTGGTCGTCTGCTCTGCTTACTGATCTCGCTATTGTCTCGTACAGACTTACTCATATTGAATCTTTTGCTTTCACTGATTCAGTGAGTTTCTTTCAAACGAGTCGCGTCCTCTGATCGCCGGCTATCCCGCTGCATGTGATCCCTTTTCTCGCTGCATGTAATTAACAACCGACTGGAAATAATCGATGCCAATAGTTTGATCTTCATTTAATAGCTATATTACAGCCTTCTTGTAAAGGTATGGTTAACGTTTCATGTAGCACTGTATCAGTGTTCAATATTTTATGAGTCTCAAAAGTGTTTCTCCCGAAGAGAAGGGATCATTTTGACAAAAGTCTTCAATACCTGCGATTTGTGTATATTAAATGAAACAGCATGTGTGGCTAGCAAAACGTAGATCGTATGCATTATTTATGTCCTGGTTGATGGAGATGTCGTTGTGGGAGATGATTGATGTAGTTGCTGGTGTACATGTAGCTGATGAGGATGTCTATAGAAGTTTCAGCAGACAGTATCAGTGTATTCGGGTCAGGAAAGGGGTTTGTTTTCTTTAAGAAACTGGCTTGTTATTGATAACTTTCGCAAAGGTGAATAATTTGATAATGTTAATTCTGGCTCAAGCCTTTCAGACGATCTTGTTGGAATTGTCTGTAGTAAAAAATACACCATTCTCTTAATCCGGAACTGGTTAGACGGCTAAGTTTCTCTGGAAAACATGCCCGTGTGTGTTATGTGTTTCAGATGTGACAAGCCGTGTAATCTGGTATGTGTTTTATGGCGTACAATAGATAAGAGCGTATAATCATCTTTACGGGGTGGTTTACACTGAATATAGAGTCACACCAAAGTCTGTACATTAGGAAGCTCATATTGCTGTCAACAGTGAGGTCAGAGTGTACACAGACATTAACGCTGACTTCGTGTACTTGAGATGAGGTGCCTGAGAATGTGGGTTCGAATCCCGGATTGGACTCAACCCAACAAAAGTACTGAAATCTGTACTGTACTGTGAAGTGTAACCTCAAATATATCATATGTGTACTTTGTTACAACAGCCACAGGACCACAATTTAACATTGTGTACATGAATTATATACTAGGCACAAAAAGAAACTGTGCATACAAAAATCTAAACTTATCAAACCTGTGTAGACACATAAGGATTTAAACTCAGCGATTAGTGACATGTATCCAACATGCATGCACGTGCCACGTTCCGTGACGTCAGTGGGTTCGTCCTTGAGACGTGCAATACGTTGTTGCACGTGCATTCCGGGAAAGAGAAACAGAGCAAATGAATGCCACACAATACTTTCACTTTGGAAAGCTCAACCCCTGCCCTTGCGATCGTTCAAAAAATTAAACGGCTATTGAAACGCATAGCATACCAAGGCTCACGTCTGCACAACGTCATGAGGCCATTGGCATGGTCCGTGGGGGAATGTCTCAACGACAAGTAGCTGCACATTTCCACTGCCACCGGAACACCATTACTGCACTGGTGAGACGCTACCAGAACACAAATGACGTCATCGATCGGCCACGTTCTGGACGTCCACGTGTAACAACGCCAACACAGGACATATGGATAAGGGTGACCCATCTTCGCCACAGGTTTCAGACTGCAGTGATGACTGCCCGAACCATCCCAGGACTTCGCCGTATCCACCCCAACACAGTTTGACAACCTGACACAACGTCATCGACAAGCTCGCCGAATGTGGTGCCGAAATCATGTCCGCAGACCCTTCTTTTTGGTGGAGAGATGTTGTTTTTACAGATGAGTCCAGGTTTAACATTTCCCATAGTGATGGACGTCAACGTGCCTATAGACGCGTGGGAGAACGTTATGCACAGGCCTGTGTCTTGGAGAGGAATCGCTTTGGTGGTGGTTCCGTGATGATTTGGGGTGGAATAACAGCACGCCAAAGAACTCCTTTGGTGATTGTTCAGGGCAACTTAACTGGTGTGGGCTACAGGGATCAGATTCTTCGACCTGTGGCAATTCCTTTTTCTGCAACGTCATGGCCCTGGGTTAACATTCCAACAGGACAATGCCCGCCCTCATACGGCAAGGGTTGCTATGGATTTCTTGCAACACCACAACGTTGACTTACTGCCTTGGCCTGCAAATTCACCGAATCTCTCCCCGATAGAGCATGTTTTGGACGAGATGGGTCGACGTCTACGCCGATTTCCTCATCCGCCAGATAACGTCCTTGACCTTGCAACAGAACTTTAGAGAATCTGGCGTGACATCCCACCAGCCTTCATTGCACGTTTGATATGCTCTATGCGTCGTCGATGCACTGCTGTTCTCAATGCCGATGGTGGACATACCCGTTATTGAGCTTGTGACATGGTCGTTTGACCCCTGTCCCGCTTGTGGACTCGTGGCGTCATTGTGATTGACTTTTCAATTGAAATTCTCCCGACTTGTTATGGTCTCATGATCCCTCCATTAAAGTTTATATGTACCTTTGACATCGTTATCGTACTTATCAACTGGGATAATATTTTGACAATGAGCAGTTTCTTTATGTGGCTAGTATATATATACAGTGGCATATAAGAGCATGGTAACAATATATATTTATTGTGTATACAGTGGCCAAAACAGAGTGCATGGTAACAATTTGCAGTACAGTCTCTGTGCAAACCTAGTAAATCATCGTATTCAGAGATTGCTTTGACAGCCTTGAGTCCATAATGCTTTCTGGCATTTTCCCACAATCCTAGCGACTTCGTCGACAAGGTGGGCGTTTTAAGGTCGAACAACACAGACTGCCAAGATGGAACAGGTGTTGTTGGGTCCTAGCTAATGGTTATAAAAACAGGTTATTGTTTATATAAAGTCGTTAACATGCTGGGGGGCCTCTAAAACACATCAATCGTGTGAGTGGGCGCTCCCAGACAGATATAATTGCAGACAGATGATGTTAGCGGTTACTCGATAAGACCCGAGATGGGTTACACGGTCATTGCTTAAGCTGGGAAAAGTAAGTGTTCTCATGAAAATTATGTTATAAAGTTTGTTACTGATCTGAAGAGAAGGTCTAGTTTATTAGCAGTATTCAACGGCGGTGGACACTAGAAATGGGCTTTTCGCAGTGTGCCCATGAGGGGAATCGAACCAAGGTCTTTGGCGTAACGAGCTAACGCTTAAACCACTCTAACCCAGCTGCCGTGAATGAGTGAGTGAGCAAGTGGAGTCCAGTTACATGGTGGTAGCACTGTTGCATACATACGTCGACGAGCACATATTATGAACGAAACACCCCCAAAACAGAGATTGACATGCAACTACACACAATTGTACAATTGGTGTTCCTTAAAGCGCTACAAGCAGGTTAATCAAAGTGATAGTAAATAATACAGTTGTGTATGATCTGGTTTAATAAATACAAGGTATTGTGTCAATATGGGTTCCGCTTTGATCATATGTTGAAGATACATCGCGAAAAGAGTCCGTGTTAAGCAGATTCCGCTGTATGTTACACCGTGTGCCATATTGTTAGCTATGTTTTTCGTCTTTGAAACAGAATTTCGACGAAATGAATGTCACAGGAACAAGCATTTAATTTGCTATTTTTATTGCCAAGCAACCCCTTCTTGTGTGACTTCAACGACCATCTTCTACATTTTTGTTAAGAAACCATTAGAGGTGGCCATCGATCAATCAACGGTGTCACGACGGGTTTCACGCTTTGTACACGACACCGCTGTTACAACGAACACACAACACCTCGACTGAACAGAACATTCAAAAGAAGGAAACTTGCTCGAAACAGTTATTACAGCACAGTCAGTCGCATGCTGACAGTATGGATATATTTAAAGTGAATAGAGTGAAGAATATTCTACTTGAAGTATCCATGATCTGTCCCTCATGAATTGACGTTGAACGACCCCGTCGAAACTCCAGCCTGCAACAATACTTGCCTCGCAACAGACACTGCGTATTACATTATCTGTGGTCTGTTTCACAGAATCTGCTTGTGGTTTTTCAATCGCACGGATAATGTATTAAGCAAGATTGAACTAACCTATGTTGACAAAATGATATGTAATCCTCATGACGGTCACGTGAGCTAAATCCGTTTGTCTATCTTGTTAACATCTGTGTCAATCCAATTGGTTTAAAATGGTATTTATACACGGTCAGGTCCCTTGTGTTTCCCTTATGACAAGGCATCTGTGTTTTCAGCAATGACCATGTTAAAAATAGGTTTGTGCAGGTGCTTCGAGACCGATTCTTGGTTAATGTGGTTATTTTTGTTACGTTTCCCCAGAAAATTAACACTGGCAGTACTATCTCGAGTATATCAATCCTAGATTAGCAGAAGAATAACTTTCAGGGTTATAGTCGGGGACTATCACTAAGAGTTAAATAAGAAAATGGGTGTAAACCAGCGCTTATTTTCCAGATCATTTCACGAAAAAACATAGTTTTACCAGTGGCAATTGCAACACTGACAACACAGCATAGACGTATTGGAAGAATTTCAGTCAAAGAGAAGGCATATGTTTTCTTAATGTATTCGAACTTCTATCTTTTTTAACTCCACACTGAAATAGAATGAATTTGAGATGTCGCTGTGCCTTTGCCTGTGGCATGTGGGGGCGGTGGGGTAGCCTAGTGGTTAAAGCGTTGGCTCGTCACGCCGAAGACCCGGGTTCGATTCCCCACATGGGCACAATGTGTTAAGCCCATTTCTGGTGTCCCCCGCCGTGATATTGCTGGAATATTGCTAAAAGCGGCGTAAAACTAAACTCAGTCTGTGACATGTGACAGAGTAACACTTTCACACTACCTGCATCATAAACTGACGTTCAAAAGAAAGTACACACCTGGTGTTTTGGGATTATTTGAAAAGTATTGTGATTTTGACTGGCAACTTCGCATCTGTGGTGTTTTGGCAACATATTAGGAAAGTCTGTGACTTTTATATCACTTTAAAAAATGATTTCAAAACATTTACGTCGCTTTTTTTAAAGTAATCCAAAAGCACCGGGTGTATACTTTCTTTTGTACGTCAGTGTATATTCAAATAGCTGTCAACCTTGCAGGACCTGTCCAAGGTTTCAAACTGCTGCCTTATGGCCCAGCTGGTTCCTTCATTGGAGAGAATCATAGTTTTGGCAGACATTTTTGTGCTCCATACAATACACTACAAGAACGATGATATACTGAGATGTAGTGAGAATAAAGGAACAAGCCAGTGACCTCATGTTTTTTTGTTGCAGCTTTCTGGAGAGGATGTGACGAAATCTATAGAGAAACACATGGCGGGTTATCCTGAAATGGCTTGCCTATCGGTTGGTAAGTCAGCTATGGCTGTCACACCCGGGATAGTATTCATAAACTGAGGGGCAAAAGAATGCACCGACTTTTATTATGTAATGGAAACTTGAAAGACTTCCTGCAATAGTTTGTTTGTCAAATGTAATCCGTGGCTTGGCTATTTTGTGTAAACAGTGGTTTATTGAAGATTGAGGTATAGAAAGTCGGTGCAACGGACCAGCCAGTCCTGACTATATATCCCCCGAAACAAACCCAGGGGGGTTGTAAAGGGGAAATAGCTGTGACAGTTACATAAATAGGTCACTGAAAATCAGTGATGACACCAGTGTTGATTTTTCAAGCTTAAGGCTTTTAAATAAAAGCAATATTTATCTAAAAATATTACGTAGAGATAGTCCTTGATATCTGACTAATTCTTGGTTTGTGATAAAATCGGTTGAGAGATTTTATCTTTTCCCTAAGTTTATCTGCATCTGTATCTGTTTTCAACACTCCCTATCAATCGGTATATTTGCATAGGTAACACTGCCACATTTATTACAGCGCGCTACCTTCAAAGCCCATATCTGTACACAGCGCACGTGCTGCACGAGGCAACCAGCGGCACCGGCACCAACGACAATCTATTGATGGCCGTCATCGTCGGCAGGTCAGAGGTGAGTTGACCCAAAAGTGAGTGAGTGAGTTTGGTTTCACGCCGCTTTTAGCAATATCAAAAATGAATCCCTACCCTTTAGTATATCTCCACAAACACTACTACATACTACACTACTTATATCATACATGTACTCTTATAACATTCAGTACCTATCGGACATGTACCTATGGGTATTGTGCGTGGAATGCTTTGGTCAAACGAGAGTCGTAACGGTGACTGATACTATAGATCGTGGGGTAAACGCTGACCTTGAATTCAAGTGGAGGGAAAAAAGCTCATAATATCAAAGACTTGTTTGAATGGATTCGACTTGATTATAGAGCTGTGATAGAGCTGATATTATGCTGTCAAAGATGTAAAATATCACATACATATCGACTTTTGTCTGTTTACTTCACAATTGTATGCACTCGTGTGAAATCAAATTGTCGCAAGGGTATGCCTTTGGTGTTGGACGATACTGACTCCAACATGGCGTATTCAGACTTACACTGCACTTTAGTTGTACGTGCCTTCAAACTACTCGTGGAAGCACTTACTTCGAAAACCTGTTTACTTACGAGCTCGTACACCGTCATTAAAGAACAGTATTCTGGACAAAGAAAACATTCTTTGGCCAAAGAAATTTAATGTCATTGCCTTTTTTTCGTGCGATAGATAATATTGAAGAACATGCACTGTTTCACTGATCATATATGACCTTATCGTTTATCATTAATCATTCATAAGAAATATGATATGTTTTTCTTTCATTTATCAGTCTGCTCCTTAATATAGACGCATCAGGTATCAATTTCGAGTGACCTGATTATTATATCCATAAAACGATCAAAGACCTTTCTAAAGATGAAGCTCTTGTGCCACGTGTCGGAAAGATTGTCGAAGCCGATGAAACTAGTCTAACCAAGTTACAATAATCATTGTCACACAACTAATAATGCAAGCAGCATATATTGATACAATTAAACTTGATTATCTTTAACAGATCGACCTGGTAAACATCATGATGGCCTACAAAGCTATCTTTAAGAAGTCCCTGGAAGATGTCGTGCAGAGCGAGTGCAGTGGAGATTACCGGAAGCTGCTGTCCGCCATTTTGAAATATCAATCTTGACTTGCGAAATATCCCGGATGTAGCATTCCCCATCTGCAAAGACGCTAAATGAAAGACGACAACTCTGTAAGATATGCTGGATCACATGTGCCCTATATAAGCACATTACTGAAAGCGTCAATTTTATATTTACTTAGTATCAAAGAACGTATCGTATGGCGTTCAGATTCATTAGGGGAAATGTAGCGCATGTTTCTGTGAAAAACAACCACGAAGTCATCTGTCTAATGGGTTTTCCATTAAAAGCTAATACTGAAGCACATACAACAGCATCATGTTCCGAGAAACATCGATTTTGTGTAAAAATATCTCGAAGAAAAGCATTACTTCTAAGCAAAATAGCGAAATATATTGATATTACTGATTTGAATCCTTTTACTGAAATATGTTTATAATCACAGGCCAGTGTTTACTCATTTGTTTGTTTATTCCATCGTTGAAGTATATTTGTTTCATATTTCTCGGTATGTATGTACATAGAAACAGATTAAATGAAGTCAGTCGGTATAACCATATGACCTTTTCTGCCAGATTGAAATTGAATTTTTATAATATTTCATTCAGGTACATGGATGAAATATATCAGGTTATATTGTAGCGGATTAACAGCTCATGTGGATTCGGGGTCGCCCACCCAAACATTTATATTCTTGATCCGTTGATACTGTTTGATACCGTCTGTTCGTCTGAAGGTTGGAGCACACATTTCCTCACCCTCGGTTTACCCGCATCCGTTACACAATGTATATCGATTAAAGGATTTAATGCCTAACTGACGTCAAATGTATAAAGAGACCCTTAGTAATTGAAATATGTACTACCGACAAAAGGGGGACTGATGAAATGATAATGAAGGTGTAATAACAAAAGAGGTCTGTAAAATATATTTCGGGCGCGTTGATCAATGTCTGGTGCGTCCATCATGATGGGCAAGACATGTAGGACACATTGATGGTATGGTGTTGATTAACTTGCATTGGCGCCATTGGCGTAACATGATGAGCTTCACAAGCTGGGCAACGTCGGTCGCTCTCTGGCGTACCCTCTCGGGTGACCTGCCAGAGGACACTCCGGAGATAACAATTGAAAACCTGGGCCGATGTGGCCTGGAATTGCCGTCGTCTTACAGTACAGAATTTCTGCTGATAATGCTAGCGAATAGGACAACGACACGGCGCACAGTTTCGTCAACGTAGCGGTTGAAAGACAAATGTCCTCACCAGTTCGCCTTTCGCCTACCTGATTGTGCGGGAGTATCTACTGATAACAGGTGATTTGATTAAATTGCCTAGTGTAAACAATGTACAGGACCGTTCATAATTTATGGCTAGTGGGGGTGATGATGACCTTTATGGAGAAGCATGTACAATGTGAGTGACTCCCCCCTAAAATTTATGTACAAAGTAAGTGACTCCCCTCCGTGTCATGTACAAATCAATGTCCCCGTCCCCTTCCCATATTTTTTAAGCATAATGTTTTAATATTCCATGTACAAAATTGCTGCCCCCTCCCTAGTACATGTGTACGATATTGATGACCCCTCTACCTCCCCAGAACAAAATGATCCCCCCCACCGCAACCCCCATTAAAATCATCATCACCCCCTAGCCATAAATTATGAACGGTCCCTAATGATACGATCTTTTCAAGGTCTCAATCCGCCTTCCACTACTTGTCCAAAGGGGGAAAATTACATTTGTTGACAAACAGATGGTTGACATAGACGTCCTCGCCTCGGTCTTACAACAATTCGCCATTTTGTCTATATATTCAGATACTGTCTCTGAGTCATTTCTAACAGTGCACACGCAATTTGGCTTGTATGTGCGCGTGCATCACGTGCTGGTCATGCACGTGATGTGGAATTTCAGTGTGGCTTTAGATTCAAGGCCACGGTATTGTAAATATACCCCTTAACCACATCAAATCATTAGTTCCCTGTTCATTATCGGTAGTACGTCAAGTTTATTGCAGGTGAAGAGTATATCACCCTCAGTCTTGATGCGGTCATTACACTTAGAAAAACACCCATTGCTGAAATCGCCACATTATAAACCTTCAAATTGTTCATATTTAATAATATCTACGCGATATTTCTTCTATATTACCTATAACCACGCGACTGTCGCCAGTCACTCAGGTAATACCAGCCAGTATTTGGTGGAAGGATATCGGATGTGTATTTATTAGTTTCACTCGTTTACGTGCTGTTAATACGACGCAATCTGGCGGCAGTCGTTACCGTTACATGATTGGTGCTCGATACACATTTCATACGTTTTTTTCTGTGTATGATAGAATATGCCTTTTTCAAATATATGACGTCACTTTCCAGCAACTACATGAGGCGGATTGGTGATGCGATTTTCAGTATCATTACTCCATTTTCCGAATTATTGTCGTAATATGTAACGTCAACGCCAGAATTGAGTGTTACTCAGTGTTATCAAGTGTTATTCAGTGTTATCGATAGATGCTTCTGAAATTACAAATCAAAAACGGAATTTGACGAAAAAAACCGAGTTGACCGGAAGGTACTGATTGCATCAACTACGCTAAACTACAGTTTATAACGAATCAAGAGACTCATTTGTAACACACTATTAATATCACGATTTCATTCTTGAGACCATCTGCTTTGTGTCAAACAAGGGAACTTGTTGTTTTCGGGTTAATTCTAGAATACCTTCACAAACTGACATTTCAGACACGGGAGACACTTTTTATTGATTTAGTTATTCCACAAGGGAGATCAAATCAGGGTAATCATATTTTCATCTAAATATATCGAGTTTGTGTATTCCATCGACGTTCTCTGAGCATAAATACATGTAATGTACAATGACAATAGGATATATTGGTCTATAATTTAGTGGACAGTGTTAATGTTTTATGTTTCTCTGCATGTGAAATTGTTTATAGGTAAATGTTTGATTTTACACAATTATGCATTCAGTTACCGTATTAAAATATTTTTTAAACAAATCAATATACGTACATTGTTATTAAATTGTGACTGTAAATATGTGCACGGAACTGAAAATATCCGTCCAGATCAATGTTGATCAAGCATTACCTAAAATACGAATCAAATATGAAAATAATGTAGCCACTCTTGTGTAAATATAAAAAAACCCAACAAACTATTGTCTCGATTTATTGCATATATGTCTTATTATTTTCCATATATTGCATAATAATGGACCTATTTAAGTAATAACCTTAAATCTTGACATTCGTTGTGGGCCAATTGGAACCGTTGTTCTACCTTGTAGAATGGATGAAACAAATGGATGAAACAGGATATAGGCTCTATGTGTTCAAATCAACGTAAATAACGATGTGGCCGAGGAAAGGTGACTCGTTTCTAGTCTGATTCTTTTCCCAATATAAATATGTTAATTTCCCGAAAGGAGCAGTCCCGAACAAAAAGGAGGTCAGGAATTCAGGGTCTTTGTGTTTAGTTAACTGCAATGTGCAATGAATGACAAATTTCACGATTGTTTCGTGGTAGCATTATGCATGGTGTACAGCATTACAGACAACACGCCAGTCTGTTGTAAGGTATTATAACACATTCACCTGTTTGCAATAACTATGGTTTCATCTTCCTTGAATGATCTACATGATGTTTTTGAATGAATATTGAGTGTTTACTACTAAACAGATGAAAGTATAAATGCCATAGATATTTTGCCAACGTATAACTGTAAATTGGATTTATTTTGAATGTGTCAATATTTTCATGCATAAGGTACACACACATGGCTATTTGCGTCAATACATATGTTTGCAGTGTTACATGTTCTTTGGGGGATTTCTTTGAATGGTGTTTGCCATGTTTACGAATTGCTTAAATATTTTTTGTTGTGATATTAAAAAAATCACAAAAACGTCACACAAAACAAACAAACTTGGATTAATTCGAACTTATAACAGTACACAGCATGTTTTCAATCGTTAGTGTTATCATGCATAAGGTTAACTACTAGAGCTTTTTTCATTGTTCATTGTCCTATTTTTTATGTATTAAAATACGAGATTCCAATGCTAATACTAGAGCCAGTTTGTTGAGAGTAGGGTAAAACACCACATGTGGTTGTGCCAGCTATATTAGTATGTTGTTATTTTCATAATCCATTTGACCAGGCCAGTGAGGGAATTATCACATGAACGGAAATATACTAGATTTATCTTCTCCGTTCAGTTTCAGTTGTACGTCTCCAGACATCAATATTTGTGTGACATTAAGATGTTGATGACAATGACTGTAGTTGAAGTAAATATCAATTTGTTTACTACTAGATCAAAGGCAATCATATACCCCTTCATTACCTGTCGCCCAAAGTCATTCTTAGTCACTTCATGCATATTCATTACAATACCGGATGTTACGTCAGTATAGACTTCCGGTACAGAAACCAGTTTGGTCGAGTGACTATTCCATGTGTTACAGAACAAACACTGTTCAGGGAACATAAGGCTCATGGTGTTTTGCTCGATGGAAACAAACCTGTAATGACGCAGGGTTAGTAAAAGAACTGCATGCAGGTGGACTTATTGAAGTACCGATATAGCGGACATGGAAAGGAATCTTATCAGTCCCCTTGTATGATGTATGTACACTGATGTAGATGACAACCATACCTGTGATGCCAGTATTACTGAAGTGTTCGTTTATTCTTTATATATTTACTGTTGTTAATATCGCATGCCGTGTTGAAAAGATTTATCTACACCATCTGTCAGCATTTTTGAATAAACTATATCTGATAATTATGTGTTCTTCTGCTAAATGATCATTACTCAGGGCACTAGTGAGTGAGTGGGTTTAGTTTTACGCCGCACTCAGCAATATTCCAGCTATATGGCGGCGTTCTGTAACTTTAATAATCGAATTCGAACCAGACAACCCAGTGATCAACAACATGAGCATCGATCTACGCATTTGGGAACCGATGACATGTGTCAACCAAGTCAGCGAGCCTGACCACCCGATCCCGTTAGTCGCCTCGTACGACAAGCATGGGTTACTGAAGATCAATTCTAACCCGGATCTTCACGGGTTCAGGGCAATACAATCTCCTTTTACATTATGAGGAAAACGGCGATTGTTAGTAATACCAACCAGCGCCAGTTAACTACTGCTTTTCCCTGTCAAGTGTCCAACACTGTTATCTTATCACTGTAATGTCCACTTATGTGCATATAGAAGTACGTATTCATTCACCTGGTGAAGGAGCAGGAATATATTTGGAAACTTCGTGTTTCTTTACCTTAATTGCAAGTCTTTGCTGTTGTATTACCCAAGCCCAATTAGCGTTGCCATTCTGATATTGGCAGTAACATGTTAGTCTGACGTTGACAGATTGCTGATCTCAGATGGAGGTCGTGAGACTGACGTTACAAAACTGAGGTTAGACTGATGGATGCTGAGAAAACGCTTTCATATAGCTGTAACATTGCTGAGGGCGGCGTTATACAATAACTAAAACTATGTTTAATCCTTGTGTATAGTTTCATGAACAGTATATTAAAAATGAGAAGAAAGGTCAATTTCTTGAAGAGTATATTAAAGGTGAGAAGAAAGGTCAATTTCTTGAAGAGTATATTAAAGGTGAGAAGTAAGGTCAATTTCTTGAAGAGTATATTAAAGGTGAGAAGTAAGGTCAATTTCTTGAAGAGTATATTAAAGGTGAGAAGTAAGGTCAATTTCTTGAAGAGTATATTAAAGGTGAGAAGTAAGGTCAATTTCTTGAAGAGTATATTAAAGGTGAGAAGTAAGGTCAATTTCTTGAAGAAGTAAGGTCAATTTCTTGAAGAGTATATTAAAGGTGAGAAGTAAGGTCAATTTCTTGAAGAGTATATTAAAGGTGAGAAGTAAGGTCAATTTCTTGAAGAGTATATTAAAGGTGAAAAGAAGGTCAGTTCAGTTATGATTCAATGAATAATTTTAATTCAGCGAGTCTTTGCCTGTCATTTAGGGGTTCACTCCCATTGACTTAATTATAAGACAGTAGCAGTTATTTCAGAAAATCGCTCAATTACAAATGGAAATGAAGTCAGTGGTGAATTCCTTTCACTTATGTAAGAGCCGACCAGTCTGATATTTCCGGCGCTGTGTTGCTAAAGGAACATAGCCACTAACTTTAAACAGAGTAGTTTTTTATCAAAGAGGCAAACCTTCTCACAAGAATTAGAAACGCATCTATCATCACGTTCGTTGCAGCTTTAACGATCCAGCAAAGTGACATTTATGAGCATCAGAACCAGTAAACAGAACTGGCACGGCACTGACTGACACCTATGTTGCGCTTCCGCATTCGGAGAAAAATCTATCATAAAGGAAGTTAATACGCATGCGTGAGGATATTCATAAGGCAAACTATCACGTTCACAGGATCCTGTTGTGCAAATGTGTGTGAAGGAAGCTGTATATGCCAGGTTGTTTCAAGTATGCGAGAAAATTATCAAAGCGGTAGATTTAACAGTTTCGTGTAATCATATTGGGGGAATGTCAAGGTATCTCCTTCGTGCCATTACATATGAGAATCCCAAATCATGTGTGTTTTTAAACGGATCTATACTATACAATTACATGTATAGACTGGTGATTAGGTCAATACCTGTCTTTATGGACCCGCGAAAAGCAATATTGACCGAGGACGAAGTCAATATTGCTTTTCGCGGGTCCATTAAAACAGGTATTGACCGAATTCGCCAGTCTATAATTGTATAGTATGTAATGTATGTACCAAAAAGACACATGATATCTTATAAGTAATATGTATTTTTCCATAGACCTTCCTTAGTTTCACATAATGGTGGATTGTTATTCAAGGAGCTTAATGATAAGTATTTATGTGGTACATTTTACATACTGGTGAGAGGAAGGGATTTCTATACAATTATAGACTGGTGATGAGGTCAATACCTGTTTTTATGGACCCGCGAAAAGCAATATTGACCGAGGACGAAGTCAATATTGCTTTTCGCGGATCCATAAAAACAGGTATTGACCGAATTCGCCACTCTATAATTGTTTTATTATGTAATTACCGAAAAAAAGCTTCTTAAATCCAAAACATGTCCATTTAGTCAAAAAAAAAGTAATTTTATTTTCACTGCAAACCAATAACGTTGTGTCAACAATGCTGTGACATGTAAACAACATAATGACGTCATAGCTTGACGTGAATGACGTCATAGCTTGACATCATAGTAACTCAGGTCAATATGACTTTTGGTTGGAGTCAATATGCTTTCTGTCGATGGTCACGTGACCACCGCCTCTCGACCAATTAGGTAGTCGGAAAAATATGCTTGCATAATAAACATATTTATTCCTGACCCCATACTTTTGAGTTTACAAAATACCTAGAAACGTTCAGCAGTCTCTACAGAACACAACTGTACAGTAGGACATTAAGTTAATGGTGTTGAACTACCATCTCTGGTCATGTGCCTCATCTAGTGAATCGTTATAGGTTCATGTGATTTAAATCAATCTGAAATCTGATGTCAACGTTAATATTGTCTCACAAACTGTTGAGTGGCTGTGTACTCACGATTATAATTGAGGAAATTCCTTTCATCTTTATTTCAGCAAACATCAAACATTGCTCGTTTTGAAATTTTCCGCTTGAAGGTTTAATGTCTCCGGATAATTACCGTGAGGTCTCTGATATGGCCTTACGCTGTTGGTGTGCGACTTGTAAAATCGGACGGTGTACTGTAATTTGACTTTTCCCCTAAAATTCTATTTGTGGAGACCAAAACACATCTACACTTTCTCTCTAGTATTAATATTTACATCGTTCTTTTTACATAAAAGATGTATAGTTTTTTCAGGTACACAATGCCATTTTAGAAAGTGGTCAAATGTCTAGACCGCGGACTTTGTGTACCCCTTTCAGCTGTGGGAACCGTGCCAATTAACACTTATGAGAGGGGTACACAAAATCCGCTGTCTAGACTACTAGTTGTCCGACTTCCATTTTTGTGGAAGCCGCGGTGGCTGAGTGGTCTAGGCGTCTGACTTTGTGTGTTGGCGATTAGGTGCCTGACTCTGAGAGTGTGGGTTCGAATCCCGGATGGGACTCAACCCAAAAAGTACTAGAATCTGTACTTTACTAAGAACGTGTAATCCCAAATATAACATATGTTAGGTTTTTCAGGGCCCATCATTGACGAGATTGCGCCAAAACACGTCCACGAATTGGAGATCTATTGACTGACAATTTGATGTTTGCATTAAGATGGTTTGAGAAGTGTCTTCATGCGAGAATCCGTTTTATTGGAATATGATAGGATTTCTCTGGACCAAATCGTTTGTGATCGCGACCCTGTGTGACGTAGGGGCCACATGAGATGCTCATCAAATTAACCGGGAGTAACATGGTTAGACAAATGCCATGATAAATTAATACCTCCAACGCGAGGGAGTAATTAGTTTCGAATACCTGTCGAAACAGATTCCATGGGGGGTTAAAGGCAAAATGGTGACGGAAATATTGTTAATGGATCACTACACATCAATGATGACTCCAGGATGAGTAATTAGACAACAGCAACATTTCAAGGACACAGCATGGGCAATTCTCTTCCCACAGAGGTTACTCCTGTCATATCTTCCTACGTAACCTCTGTTCTAATACGGCCCTTTCATGGTGTGAGCGTTCAAGACTCGTGATTGGAGGCAATCAGATTTAGTTGTGCAATCAGCGACGTTGTTTCAAAAGTGATCATTCGCAAGGCCTCGGTAATTTCCGTATACTTCGAGAAAACTAAACCTCTTCCCCTGCGCGATGCGCAACGTTTCTGCTAGACAGAACTCAGTCATGTTATGGCGGATCAGTGGCGTCTCCATCGCCCTCGTTGACAACGGACAAGCTAGCCATTAAACATCTTGTGTGTAACTTCAACACAAGTCCCCGGCAGATGGGGGATATTTGTGGCCTCACATTTGCTTGTGTTAGTCAAGTTGAATCTAAGTCGATGTAACACGTGTTCTGATTGGATAGAAAGAAGGGAGATAATTCGTGTTGCGATCTTTTGCCGCTAGGGGATTTTACGAGAACCGGGAAATATGGCCGTATTAGAACAGAGGTTCGTAGGAAGATATCACAAGTAACCTCTGTGGGAAGAGAATGAGCATGGGCTAGCATCACACATATTGCTGACAAGCTGTGTGTCGATTTAAGTAATTACCCCGAACTATCATTAATTGTCTTAGTTTCGACAGATATATTTTCAATCAAGAAATGCAGCAACCCACACATATATCTGAATATTTAGGGGCGGTGGGGTAGCTTAATGGTTTAAGCGTTGGCTCGTCACGCCGAAGACCCGGGCTCGAATCCCCACATGGTTACAATGTGAGAAGCCCATTTCTGGTGTCCCCCGCCGTGATGTTGCTGGAATATTGCTATAAAAGCGGCGTAAAACCAAACTCAGTCAGTCAGTCAGTATCTGAATATTTCTCGGTAGGGCTACTTTAAGTCTTAACAAATTAATCACACGCATTAACATCTGCAATAATATGAAATTACCTTTGTTGGATACAAAAGCCCCTCTCTCTGATATGAGAATTTTAAGGGTGCAGATGGGTGCAGAAATCAATGTTTCTCAAACCTGAACACACATCTTTCTGTGACCAGCTGACCGGAGTAGGAGGGCACGCTATTGTCAACAATATTCCAGTCGTGTTTGCAGCTGTACATAATCCTGTGGTTGACACCACGAGCACTGGCTCTGACCGTCTGGGCACTATGACACGCCATCTGGCAGATCAGTCAATGTAAACCCCGCTCCTCCGTAAACCAGTCGGCTGTCAGGACAGGCAGAACCTACTGAAGATACATATCTGATGAGATCTGCATCTTGGACTCGTGTTCATGTACACGGTTATATCTACATTGTTTATACTCTATGAATTCGAATGATGTAACACATTAGCACCTCAAAACAGTGGAAAACATTGGCACTCGAACAACTTCCCTGATATTGTACTCATTTTCATCGGCATTATCATCCAAGTCATATACACGGCCAATGATTAGCACTTCACAAGTAACCACACCTGATTTTCAATTCTAAAATCTGTATACAACCCATTGGCTAAAGCTAGTGACTGAGAGTCACTTATCGCCTCAGTATGCAATATTTAGATAAAACTGTTATATAACGGCTTCTGTGTGTTGCTCTCCGTGGTTGTGTAGCGTGTTGGTTTAATTAGCAGCAGCGGCAAATGCATTGTGTGCGTGATGAAGCTAATAGATTGTAAATATGTTGTGTTGGCATTTTGGACAAATAAGTAGTAAATATGTTTCGTGTGGGATAAATAAGTGGTAAATGCATTCTTAGGGTATTGGTCTGTCAACTGATACGTGTCGTGTTTCCAATATAGAACCAATGGTAAATGCCTTCTGTGTGTGTTCAGATAATAGATGGAAAATATTTTGTGTTTGCGTAAGTAACAAGTCATTGTTGTACTCACACTTTGAAGGAAAGAATAAGAGAGACATGACTGCGTTTGCCAAACGCTTTTATTTCACTCAACAGTTTTTACATCACAGAAAGTTACAAATATACAGCTAGTGACAACTGATGTTATAAGCGAGACATTGATCTTGGTCGTCTAGTGAGTGTGGTCAGGCGGGGCACGAAGAGGTGGATCTGTCGTCACTATCAGCATTGTTTGAAAAATAACTCTTAAACAGGATAATCAAATAATTTTTGATTTAGGATCAACCAGAAAACGGTACATCTAGGATGTTTTCAGATTCAGACGATGGTGACAAGATGGACTACCGGAACAGCCGGGCGAGCTCACCGATACAGCAGAGTTGAACATGGGGACATACTGTTGTGCACTGGACAACTTTGTCATAACAAGTCGAGCACAACCAGCTGTACCAGGGGACTAGGAGTAGTCTTGAGCACAACCATACAATACCAACAACTTAGCAACTATATGCTAAATAACAGTTCCTGTGATGGTGACTGTAGAAGCGGTAGATTTGTTCACCTAAGTCAAACGAGCGTTAAGGGTATGAAATTGGTTCCTGTGAAACATACCAGGAAAATAGTGCGCTGGGTTCGCAAATATTTAGCACAGTAGAATTGGTCTTTGGGCACAGAAGAGTCTACGAATACAGGAACATGGGTAATGCAAGCAGAAAAAGACGCACTGTGGGCGCACCTATCAGCAGTCGGGAGGTGCGGGTGTGACAGGGTGGCTTAGTGTGGGTAGGGCAAACAGGGGTGGGACTGAGCATTACGGGCTGAACTAATGCACATATGCAACTTGAAATTCAAGTGCTTGAGTCACGACCACATTGTTCCATAGAAAACATAGATATATATATACCTATTGCAAATATATACGTCGATGGCAAATAGATTATGATCAATGCTGTAAAATTTCACAGAATAATTGCCTAAAATAGTAAAATATGTATCTAGGCAGTGTTTCGAAATGATTAATGTATTTTCGGAGAATATCACGATTTGCTAGCAAGTTCAAGTAGTTGACAATAACACACCGCGACATACAATGACTATTTATAGAACACAGCCAGGTGAGCTAAATTTGACATGTACAAAGGACGTGGTGGAGAACACACAACATATATAGCTAACCTCGCAGCTTATTGCCTCAACAGTGAATGTGCAATGCGCAACACAGAAACGCCGTCGTAAAACTCCACACTCTGCCAAATGTTTAAAGTATGCAGTTTTGGTTTTAAAAATAATACTTTGTGTAAATAATTTCGATATGCACACTCTCTCTCTCATTCCTCCCTTTCACTTTTCGTTCGTGCAATTTCGGTTCTTTACGCCACATTCGGACGTGTTCGTTACCATATTATCACTCGTGATTTTCCGGAATGCAATGAACGGAAAAATACGTGTGGTGGCGAATGGTTCATTTCGGATTTGTTCGAAAGTTGCGGAAAGAACCGGAGTTGACGACCATGATATAGTACCTCCTTGCGGTATGAATGGCTGCATAATATTGTGTGAAATCTGATTCTATAACAGGAAAATAATGTAATAATATGTTATATATTGTTTGTACAGTTTCAGTGCAATAGTCATAAACAAAAAATACAGTATTACACTGAAATTATCACATGTGATAAAATTATAACGATAACAATTGCAGAAACCGAGCCAGAGCTTTTATAAGGAATTATTACAACCAGTTTCTAACAAAAATAGTATATTTGTATGTTTCTTCTGAAAACTTAAAAATGGAAATGTGAAAAATGTTGATTGATGAATTTCCATCAATATGAGAAATAAGTGAAAAATCTCTTTGAAGAATGGCAAAATATATAAATATTTAATTCATATCATCAAAGATTGTCATAATTTTTTTTGGAAATAAGACTGCCATTTTAGATAATTCAATTTCGTTGGCACTTCCATGTGATCTTAACTTAAAACGGTATCACAAATATCCAAGTTTTAAAAGAAATACCATTTCGACAATTTTGACAATGAATCACCCAAATTAGAAGGATTGTTTAAAATACGATGTTTCGTTTAATAACAATTGAACAAATTTTGTAACTCGATAATATTTTATTTCCTTGCTGTCAGAACGCTGAAACGCAATACCTGCCCTAAGCATCGAGACACTGGCTGTGACGGTAACCGTCAAAGCAAGAGAGCTGTCAGCCATTATGTCCAATGCAACGGGGGGTAACTCTGCGTTTACTTCCGGAAAGCAATGCCACTAGCATGCTGTCTCTTGACCTTGTACAGCTTCTGATGTTTTGCCTTGTTTACAGGCTGGTCCCTGTAGGGCTGTTCCTTAGATCCATGGAGGACTAGGGTCCATTCCTTGAAGACTCCTTCCTCGTGGTTGGTCTTCAGACCGATGATTGGTTCCAGGATAACGTCCAAGGTCCAGCGGCCATGGGGCATCTCGGCCCAGGTGTGTGTAGTCATGAAGGGCCATCGGGTGAAGCCGTTCTTGCTGTCGTCGTCGTTGGGTCGCTGGCTCAAGATCATCGATCTATGGACAGAGAAGGATACAACTACTGCCTGAAGTGAATAGGGAATTGTGGGCCACAAGGTTCTCTTCGTTTCCTGTTGCGTTCGAGCATAATCACAACATTTTCAAGATTATATTTGAGATTGGGTCGGTATTCACAAACAAATCATCTGTTTACGAAAAGGAATTGTCGAAATACATCATTGATTGATGATCGGTGGAATGTGAACGTTAATAGTCCAAATAGTACAAATATGTGTTCTACGTTCTTGTTCTATTTGTAAACAACTAAAATAAAGTTGATAATTTGTTATTTCGGTGGCTACTGGTCTCACTCACGTGGTATTCATGGGAGAGGTGAGGTAGATGGTGACGGTCCCTCGGAACGTTGCTCGCAGAGTGACGAACGACTGCACATGCTCCAAGTAGTTGACTTCGCTGTCACTTCCGGCACAACCGTCGGTGTCAATGGTGATACGGATGGGGTTGGTCATATCGAAATACCTGAAAATGACAAACATTGTAACTTTTTGGAGGGTATCAAATATCGGTGATTTAGTTCAATGAAACCATCAGTTGTGCCTGTGTGTTGGTGGAAGGTATAAATGTTGACTTATTGTGTAAATACTGTTGATACACGGTTCTTGACCAAGAAGTCTAACCTCAATACAAATAAAATGTATCTACATGCTCTCCAACCGAGTGACTTCGTCTTAGCGTCGTTTTAAATGGTATTCCAGTTATATCACGACGAGTCATCTTGGTGTTGTTTTCAAACGTAGTAGTCACACAGGTAGTAAGTATATTATAATAAAATACCTAAAGTGCAAATAGACCAAGCAGATGATATGAACGTGTCTGTGATTGTTTGAAGCGATAGGCTCTTGAAGAGGAAATGTGAAAAACAGATACTCGAGAATACTCGCGATATATTTTGGGACCAAAACAGATTGCATGATGAACTTCCATCTACGACTATAGTGAGGTCAAGGTTATATGACAAGGAATAAAGGGAGGTCAATCCTTTACGACACATGCTAGACGATGTATTATCTCCCCCTTGCCTGGTCACTACGTGGTTCATGCCTCACATATATTTACCTCTCAGTGCTGTCGGATCCGGCGGTACAGTGGAAACGTTCGGGAAGTCCCTTCCAAGTGCGGGCCAGATCCACCATGGCGGCAGCGTCAAGCACGCCGTAGCCGAAGAGGTGGTTGAACTCCAGGCCGGCGCCGTTGTACTTCCATTCGTGGACTCCGTTGGAGTCGTAGAGTGAGTTCCTCTTGGAGGTGAGAACAGTCAGGTGCTGAATGTCACGCCACGTCAGATTCCGGCTGTACAACAAGTGAACGGATGTGACAGTACATCGTCAAGGGAAATAAGGATCTGTTAGCGACCTTCACAAGGGTGATTGGATTTTAACGCATGACATGTTATCCTCTGAATCCCTATCACCCGCAGAGGAGGAGGGTGATGCTACTTAACCTACTTACACCACATGGTGTACGAACACGATATACTTTACACAGTGATGCTAAACCTCAACCAAGGCTTACTCAAATCTCATCAAAATCCTATCTTGTGCACATTCTAGATATTACAAAGAAAAGCAACCTTCGGAGACAAATGATCATAACGCACCCTAGTTTGTTGATATGACATATGGTTAGTATTGCAGGATACGGGAGAATAGGGACAGCAATGTAACCAATTGTCAACAACGAGAATGCTGTTTGATATTGTCAACAGTGGAACACTGTATGGTATTGTCAACAATGAAGCACTGTACGACATTGTCAACAATGGAGCACTGTATGATATTGTCAACAATGGAGCACTGTATGATATTGTCAACAATGGAGCACTGTATGATATTGTCTACAGTGGAGCACTGTACGATATTGTCAACAATGGAGCATTGTATGATATTGTCAACAATGGAGCACTGTACGATATTCTCAACAATGGAGCACTGTATGATATTGTCAACAGTGGAGCACTGTACGATATTGTCAACAATGGAGCACTGTGGTCAACAATGATATTGTATTGTTAACAATGGAGCACTGTACGATATTGTCTACAGTGGAGCACTGTATGATATTGTCAACAATGGAGCACTGTATGATATTGTCAACAGTGGAGCACTGTACGATATTGTCAACAATGGAGCACTGTATGATATTGTCAACAATGGAGCACTGTACGGTATTGTTAACAATGGAGCACTGTACGATATTGTCAACAATGGAGCACTGTACGATATTGTCAACAATGGAGCACTGTACGATATTGTCAACAATGGAGCACTGTACGATATTGTCAACAATGGAGCACTGTACGATATTGTCAACAATGGAGCACTGTACGATATTGTCAACAATGGAGCACTGTATGATATTGTCAACAGTGGAGCACTGTAACATACTGACAACAAAGGAAGTTCTGTATAATCTTTTCAACAAAATGAGTACTGTAGCATATTGTCATCTGGGAACTGTAACATATCGCCAAAGGGAGAGGCTCGGCAACACTGTGTATAATGCGAGTGCTATGACTTATTGTAAAGAAATAGGTATCACGTGAACTTATAGATGGCTAGTAGGAGGTTAATTCACCATACTGACAACAAGGGACCCTAGGGATCGTATGTTTCGTTACCTATACGATACTTTATCCATTATGTCTTTCCGCAAAGGCTACGTATACAAACTATACATTTAGAATGTATTTTCAGATGAACAAGGGATTCGCATAGCACTGTGAGTGCCATTTTACTGCCGGGCGATGAAACTCCCGGGACACAATATTCACTTTTTCTCAGTATTCTCAGACTATTGTTTAACTTCGACCTAATGACAGAACAGGAACAGTTCCAGGAGTACAATATTCCAAGGAGACAGGTATGGTCTTCAGCGAGACAAATGTCATTCCGCTTTGATTGCAAGAGCAAATCCAGTGAACCCGAGGCAACTATCTATGGCTCAGGGTTTTCTGAATTGAATTTCAACTTGCCAGGGTCCTCATCTATCTGAGCGTAATGGGGTCGAGCTAACAGAGTTTGTGGAAGGGGAATGAGGAAAAGGTCAACTCACTTGGCTTCAAGGGCTAGAGCGAAAACTCCAGCTGCCTCAGGGGCTGCTGCTGATGTTCCGGAGTGGCTGGCGGTGCAGTTGCCGTACAGGTCGGTGGTCGCCTGGAAGATGAAGATGACATATATAATACTTTACTTTTTTAATTTCCGAAATACAAATACTCGCTTTTTCAAACCATGGCCACCGATTCACCCACTCTGACCACTGTAGGGAAAATTAATGATTCTGGCTGAGAACGAAATTTGCTGTTTTTCAGAGTGTAATTAACGCCGTCACAACCTATTACGTTCCTGATGGATTGCTGACGTGTCCACCGCGACATTAACAGCACTGACCCACGATTTGATGGAGAGCGCCAATGGATTGCGAGCTGTCTCTTACGGATTTTCTTTCAAAATCGGATGTAACGACGTGAGAAGAATAACTGACGCAAATTTACGTACATTTTTGAGGACTCATATAACACGATTATTGATTTTGAGGATGTGGAATTGAGATAACACTGGTCTGGGGGCAACTACTTTGGTATGACGGAAAACCCTGGGTGAATGACACATAAGGAAAGCAATCGCCCTGTCCACATACCAAACTGTTGCTTTTGATTATTACATTTTGCCATCTCCAAAATTATTCGTATTTACTATATTTACAACAGCAAACTCTTATATTATATTGACAAACTAAACAGAAATTTGTGAAATTTGTATCAATTTGAAACAATTAAAAAATATACAAAGTCAACGCTAGATAATACCCAGGATTATCGAAACAGATTCCGTTAAAAAGCAAGACAGAGGTGAAATTTATGTAAATAAACAACTGGAATTCACCAGGTGTTTTCGATTGTCCTGCCCGATCAGTGCTTTCTGTGCGTACCAAAACAGAGATTGTCAGTAGTACTGATTTCTTCATGAGGTGATAAAGAGAGTATGGATAAAGTGGTTTCGCTGAAGTGTTAATGGTGTTCAGCAAACAATATTTCCTCTCACTGCGACAGAAAAGTGGAAACGGCAGTAAAGCACGGCAATAAACCGTCAATAATCCTGCCATGCAGCATCTGTCATGCTTTGACACTAATACACTCACTGTAGCGTTTGTAGATTGTGGCTATTACGCCATTTCGCATAGCCTACCCGTGATAACACGTACGTCAAGTAAAGGAGTATGACGTCACTTCCTCGTTATTTATGGCATTCCGCCATTGACTCCGAACGTGCAGAACAAGAATTCTGTTTGATGTAGTTATCATGTTAACAAGGTTCCCAGATCCCTTTATGGATATTGCGCAATATTATTGTTCTGTTATTGCTCCAGACATGCCCCTCTCAACCTGGCGTCACCAAGACAGACACCATGCTCCTGTGATATTTGTTGACATTACCCATAATTCCCCTGTGATCAGTTTGATAGAGTTTTCCATCAAATTTTCCCCTAAGATCATTCGTTTTGAAGCCCTCACTGTGCTCAGTGCACAATAACGTTTCCGGTCAGCTGCATTGTGGGAGAGCGCAAAAGCTCCGAACAGCGACTGATATATTAACAGTGGGACTTCCTTCGGGATGACATTACACGCCATGATAGACAGAATGAGTAAGTGCTTGTTTAAAAGACAATGATAGGAGTTATTATGAGGCAGTGATTTACATAATTACTAATTATTTCGGGAATAGTTATTTCCAAATGGTCGAAACAGGGACATGGATGGTGATGGGAAAAGTGATTGAACGACAGCGACGTGTGGAGGAGTATGATGATAAAGAGGAACATGACAGATAACAGACTTAATCCAACAGAACTACCCGATGGCTTACAGGGTGTTATCAGCGTAGGGTAATTAGAAGATTTCATCTTGTCTAGAATATCAAGGCAAAGAGAGTATCGGGTGGTCTGAGATCTTCCTTTGTTACGTCATCATAAAGAAGAGTAACTGTAATGACCTTTTATCTATAACATCGTTATGTTTCAGAAGTATATGAATCAAACACTTTCCCTTTAAGAGTTTAATTTTTCTCTGGTTTAATTACACCGAAAATTGTGAATTTGAAATATGAACATATCTCAAACAGTTTCTAACAATTCGGGTGTTTTTCGCAATTGTTGTTAAAGGGAAAATTAAATTGAAGTAAGACTATATTTTCACTCCAGTGCGTTTCGTTGTGTACGCGGTTAGACAACTGACTTCTCTGCAAAGCCATATAGTTCATATTACTACATTTACCTCTCAGTCCGCTCGAACCTGTTATGATAATCCATTGTCGTCAACATCTAACACACACACCTACGCGAGTTAAAACGATCCGAATTCCGTTTAGAACATCCGTTGGTGAATGTTATGAGCTAAAAGAAAACGCATAAAGTATAGCGTCTGCAACATTCCTTTTCATCTCGTCAGATTTCAAAGACCTGAGGAAACTTGATTGATCACAGAACTAATAATACTTTCTTTCACTGGACGATCGTGACAAAAAGTCCAGCAAATTCAACGTAATTATCTGAAATGCTACTCACCACTCCAGCATCTCGTGACGTTGCTTTGCCGTTGCTGAAGGTGGAGGCAAGAGTGGAGGAGCAGCTCTCGTCGTAGCCGGCAGTCTGGCCGTCGTTGGTGGCGGAGTTGATGGATATGGTCCACATACTGGCTGCGTAGCCGTCACAATTGCAGTCGTCATTGGGGCCGCCGTCACCTGACGCCCAGACGTAGATGTTGCCCTTGCCATTACGACCCTGAAGGAGAACATTTTCATCATCATCATCATCATCATCATCATCGTCGTCGTCGTCGTCGTCGTCGTCGTCGTCGTCATTTCAAGTAGTCATTATCATAATCTCCATCGTCATGAAAACGTAAAACTCATACTACGACGTTCAACTTAAAAGGACATTATCCACACTGATGAACCCCACGAGCTTGAAACTGTGTTCGGTTTCTTAAGTGGGCCATCCAGTCTCCTAGTAAGCTCCGGGTAATGGAACAAATTATTCAGGAAAATGTCTGATGGTGAATTATTAAAGAGTAATTCGTTCAGTGTTAAACATTTAAACATTTTAAAGTTCAGTGATCGCATGCATTTGCTTATAATATGCTGAAAGCAACTACAATCTCTCCACAACATGTTCATCATATTCAGTAACCACAGTGTTCAATACCAACAAGACCCCTAAACATATCACTGTCGTTTATGCCACAACCGCCCGTCTAGACTACTTGTGATGAGCTTTGAGATAGCGATTGATATTGTCGGGAGACGTTAAGGTGCGCGCAATGAGACCGCCTCAGTATAAATGACTCATAAGTAATTCCTAAAGACGTTCTACAAAGATTGCATAAATGCTTAAAACGCAGTGCGTAAGCCGATTAGAGGAATCACTCCTATCCAAATACGTTTTCGCAAACCTATTATCAAAGAGTCATCTTTATTTGCATTTCCAGTTATTCATTGGGTCACTGAGCATATTGACAGTATTGCGTAGGTGGAAAATCAAAATGTTACATAAACTCTATGGGGAAGGACAATCCATTGTTAACTGTAACTCAGGCTCAAGGTAAGACCGTATCCCCTCAGCCGGGATTACAAGTGAGATTCCTGGGTATCAACATCTAAGTTTGGACTGAAGTCTTTTGCTTAGAAGATGCCCAGAATCTAGAAATGCCTCTCTAAAAGCTGCGTCATATGGAAGTCGTCTTCGGAAAAGGCCAGACCCCATAACCAAACTGCAATGTGTAAAATATAGAAGGCATTCCCGCTGTGATTTCCTGTGAATATGTTTTAGTTTCTTACGTACATTCTATCATCTCAGTTGTGTTGTATTTTTTCTCTTAGCCTGCTTAGTTGGAATAATAGCTTTGCGAATGTTTTATTATTATCTGTTTTATTGTCTAACCGACGTTAAATTGGTATCTTGTTTCTTTTCTCTTGTATCATGTAAGAGTTTGATGGGTTGGAGAAGTTTACAAAGATCCAGATGTAAGTAAACTGATTTGCTCTTGGTGTAATGGGGACATTAAAACAACCTTTCATGTCTCTAGAATGTCTCTACGGACAGAAACAGAGGAAACTGGCATGGGTAGGAAAACAAACAGTCCCTTAAGCGACTATGAAGACATCAGCAGGATAAAAAGTAGTTCATGAAACCGGAAGCCATACAGTCCTCAGACAGTCATAGGCTTGATACTTGATGCGCTATATAACCCTTTGTCCATCCTTTGAGCACAATACATCTATTTCCTACCAGACAATACTTCTAGTTTTATGGCCGTGAGGGAGCTTTCCAAATGCCAAATCACGGCGCATGCCTGCGGCAGTACTTACGTTATTGACGCCGTTGACGATGGCCCTCATGGTAAGGTTCCTGGGGCCATCAACCGTCTTGCCGTCGTCTGTGGGCCCCCAGCTGGCGCTGTAGATGTCGATCAGGTTTGGCATGTGGCCCATAGCGTTGGCTTCAATCAGATCCGTCATGAAGGGCTGGTCCAGCATTCTCAGACCTAATCAGAGAAATACAAACACTTTGAACTATGGTGAACAGTTCCAAACAATGGGAGAAGGGAGTATTGTTAGATATTCTTTGCATTGAACCATGATGAACATTGCGAATAATGTAGAAAGGCAGCGGCCAACTGATGACAGCAATAGGCAAACAGAAAACTCCAGACCAAACAATCATGAACAAAACCAATTAATCGTGAACGATTGCCAACAGTATCTGGCCAGAATGTAACGCTGGTGAACAATTGTCACCTAGTTTGAACGTTTGTGAATATTTGGAGACAACTATGATCATTTCAAAACAATTTTCCTCTTTGATATGAAAAATACGAAAACATATGAAAGGAAATACGAGACTTAAACATGTATACCACACTCACATACCGAACATATATATAGCTTGTCTTGGTACGTCAGGCAGGGTAGACCTTTCAGATTGTTTGGTATGAGTGAGTGAGTGATTATGGTTTTACACCGCTTTTAGCAATATTCTAGCAATATCACGACGGGGGGACACCACGGCTTCACACATTGTACCCATGTGGGGAATCGAACCCGGGTCTTCGAAGTGACAAGCCAACGCTTTAACTACTAGGCTAACCCACCGCCCCTGTTTGGTACGAACTGGGAGGCGGTCGAACCATTCACCACTGAGTGGAAACTGTGTTTAAGCTAACATATTATATTCGTTCTTAAGGGTTAATATTATTAAGCCTTACCTGCAACCTTTGACCCATAAGCCACGCCCACTCCGCAAACACCGTTATCCCTGGCGGCGGATACTTCGCCAGCACATCGAGTCCCATGACTACAACATAAACGCCATCCTCGTCACCAACCAGTATCCATATAACGCAAGCAGTTATTCAGGTTTACCTTCAAACGAACTTATACCAATGATGACGACGACGATGATAGCAATAACGGGACTGAAAGCCCTAGTAACGTTGATTCCTGATAATTGCCAGTCTGTATGACCTATTTGTGATGACAAGCAATTGCCAAACATGTTGTCTGTACAGGAATGTCAAATAATACATGACAGTCTTGCTATCAATCCCAGGAACAGGCAAAAAGGCGTGTGGCAGCGATCTATATAGAACACATTTGTAAGCAAAATGTTCATACATGTTCCTTCGATCAAAGCCTGGAACACATGTGTTCAATTTCAACAAACATTACAGAAAGGGATCAAAGATAAATGTATCATTTATCGACATGTTTTGTTTCTTGTCTACTGATCTATGTAACTTGGAAAAAGATGAAAATCATTCCTTGCATGAAACAGAGTCCGAAATTTGCTTTTGAAATATATTCCTCTCATTTCGAAATCAATTCCAAACATGACTCATAGAAATCTGATCTGAATCTTCATCGTGTACCGACAGCAATAACATTTGCAAGTGAAATAATACAGTAATAATCTTCAAAGACATCTCAGATTGTTGTAAACGTTTGGTAAACAACAAGTCCTACTGACGACAATACCACTTTATGACCGCCTTGGTGAAAGAAAACTCCAAATGTTCTGAAAGGTTTTGTCAAAAGCACATAAAGCGTTATCATTGACAGTATGTATTTAATCATACTGGTTCTGAAATCAAACGTCCATTTAAGGTGTAGGCGTGTGGTCGTGTCGGTTTCAGCGGACGGAGATAGAGATCAGTATTGTGAAATCGCCCTTAAGGAAATACTTTGCTTCTATTGTACATAACATATTTCAGATGAGAAATCTATAGCCCAATCATGTTGAGGATTTATAAAAGTAGAAGCTGAGCATAAGGTATTGATATCGTATTTGTGCAGTTATGGCTTCAATGATAAAAGCACCAATTGCAATGATTAAAATGATATTTGTGTGTGCGTGCTAGGACTGTTATAGGGTTACGCTCATCTTTCCTCGAAAACCTTGTATCAACATTATTTGAAAGTGAGTCATAAACACATACTTCTTGTAATGATCGGAATCGTGCAATGGAATCCGCTTCAAGCACATATATCTTATATACATACAAAGAGTTTTGTCGCTTAATTCCATCTGAACACTCTTCAATATTAATGCCACGGCTGCAATAAGTCAGTGAATATAGATTACCATCTGATGAAAAGAAATAATTTCATTTAGATATTCAAGGATAAAGACATCTCTAAATGTCAAAGTAATCTGTCGCTAGTAGCTGTATCAAGTATCTGTCTGTACCATGGGTGTCTGGAAAAAAATTGGTCTCCAGTTCATGCTGTCTAACGCTGTGTATAAAACACACCAGAAGAACAATTAAATTAAGAAAGAAACTTACCTATTGAACCATGTATCTGTATAGCGAGGGTATGGATAGGGGTCGTTACTGCTAAAATCATAACTGGCTTCGGCATTCTGAAAAACAGAGGTAAATATTTTTGTTTGTTTGTTTATGTTTGTGTGTTACTTAACGCCAGGCTCAGCAATATTCCAGCTTATAACAGTGGCCTGACAGAAATTCTGTCTGGACCAGAATCAACACGCAATCAACCGAGTCACAGAATTTGAACGTAGTTACGTATTTGCTACTTGTGGCAGCATAGATTGATGGGGATTTAACCTGGAGTCCGCACCCGGGCATGGGGATAAGTTGGCCAATCACACAGCAATGCATATAGAGTCCGGTGTATATAGATCAGACAACAGGGGTCGACTGACCACCTCTTATTGCCTTATCTGAGGCTTTAAGGAAGTGTGTGGATTTGGCAGTTAGATCTTAGCAAAGTAAATAGAAAATAACTGGGCCCCTTTACTTGATTTTCATTTTATGGAATTACTTGGATATTGGTTTTTTTTATTGAATTACTCGCAAATGATACTTGACATCTTAAGAATCGTGTAGAATTTTGGTAACTTTGACGTAGAAAGCAATGAAAGCGTGAGTGACTGGACTGGAGGATAGTTATAGAAAATAGATAAGAAGAAAATGCTAGTAACGACAACAGTCAGGGTTCATACAAAACAATGTGTCACAAAGATACGGAATATAACAAGAACGTGAAGGCTGGAAACTGTAGTCAAATTACAAGGTGAAAAAATACACATTAAAACCATGCAGACGCTGATCAGTCATCGTTAGATCCTTGTGAGATCATTTTAAATTATCCTTTAAGTTAGCTGATGACAACGTAACATCTTAAACGTCTCTTCCGTGTATTGTTTATATATATTTAGGAATTTCTGTACAGCTGTGTAGTTGTCAAAGTCCGTGCTTGTAAACGTGACATCTGTTCTACCATAGCCAAAGGAAGTGTTACAAGCAGCCAGCAGCAAGTACTAAAATAGCTTTGTTTTATATATAACGTTTCTGCTCCCGTCTTTTGAGGTTTACGATTAATCCGGTGTAATATAGTTCAAATCTCTACTGTATGACAATCACCCAAACAAGGTATGACCTCGTTAATGCGTATGGTGAAGTTACTGGTCAAAATGTATTCATTGCAGATTCGAGTGTCCGGAATAACGAGTGTAGTTAAGCTGCATGCGGGTCTCACGTGTACACACGACATGCACGTGTTAGTGAACCGGGATGTTGAGGTTTACAGTTAACTCATGGTGCCCACTGTAACTATCCCGTATTTCCATTGATCTGCACTGTTTCACAACAATCACATATAACGGTTAGTGGTTCGTTGACATTCAGGTAACCTTTGAAATGTTAAACACAAAAATGAAAAGCAACAACTACAGACCAACAGTTGACTATGCTAAACTTTGGCTCTGAACGTCAATTCCCTTTGTTCTCTGTGTCCTTTTCATCATAAATCAGCACATTGATCATGTCGGTCTTTTATTTCGTTTCGCTTCAGGAACCTGACATTTCGAACACCGAGGACTATACCCAATGGTTGTAAAGTGCAACAATAACGACCGATTGTAAATTGCGACCAAGAAGACTTGTATCGACGAAATTTGTAAAAACGTTTTACGTCAATGTGCGTGGTATTCTAATTCCTTTGAGTTATCCCATGCTGTTCGACAGAAAGGGGTCTTTAGGGCGTAAAGGACAATAGGCCATTTTCACGTTTTTATGGTGTTGGAAACATGTACGTCAAGATGTCGTTAAAGCGATGCTGTGATAATGGCAGCTCATGTTGGTGTCGCTATACAGAATATGGCCGCAGAGAAAGATGAAGCTGAATCGATTTGTCAATTTGTAACTGATTACACATTGAACCAGGTGGTCTATATAAATTGACAGACTAATGCTGAACGTCTTTACAGACAACACCATCAGAACAGTGTGGGGTCCTGCAGTAGATGTAATCAAATGATTGAAAGAGTTAATGTTCTTCTCAAAGCTTGAAATCGATACAGGCTATCATCAGCTATCATCAGCTATAATCAATATTCATGATTACGATCATGTTCTGATTTTGACAGTTAACTGAATTTGCTGAATCAATTAGGGTCAATTTGCTTTTGAATCCTTGTTCATATAATACATGTTTAAAGGTAATTCGCTCAGACTACGAACGTTAAATTTCAAGTTCCAGATATGTTTTTTCCGCAGTTCGGAGACCATCCAAATCGGACAGTACGTTATTCCCAGGTTTTAGTAATTGAATTGTTTTAAAATAATAAATTGCTGAATTACATCCCTTTTCTTCTGCCTATTCAAATAATTATTACAAATGTCAGCGGTATTTAGTGTCAGCCCATATCTGTGGCCTGAGGGTACACAATTAATCACATGATTCAAATTGTACTTTTTGTATTCGTTCTTCACATAATCCTGACTCTAACAAAAGGCTTGGGATGCCCGATAATTATTCAAACGGCGTAAGTCTATAGTCAAGATATATATAATATTGAACGTACTAACCTAGAATTAGCATTAAAACTGTTAAATAAACATTCCCTTGATCACGAACTATTCGCGTCAAATTCACGACGATGACGCGAAACGTTCGCGCCAAAGTCGCGATCCAGACGTTTGTGTTTTGACTCTTAACAAAGTTCTAGGAACAGGTGTAAATACAATATGGAAACACAACACACAACACATGTTCGTTAGTTCAACAGACAACAAGAATAAAAGAAATGAACTAAAACTAAAACAATCTCGTGTCACTGTCGCTGCACAACAGTTTGTCTTACGTAGTTGTGGCGCAGGTCGGGGTGCAGATAGTCGATACCTAAATAAACACAAGTAATCATCAAATAATTGTTCCAGTACTGTACACCTGAGTGATTTCGTGGATGCACAGTCCCTAAATAATCAGACAATACTGTTATACGTTATCATTAACTCTCGTACTTATCTGTTACTACGAGAACAGCATTTTCCTTTTAATGTTCACACAGTTGTAGGGGGACATTAACGACCTGTCTTGAATCTCACTTGTGATAGATGTTAGTGATCCTTATAATAGCCCATAACTACAGCCCCATTATAGAATACGATTGGCAGCACAGCATTCTTTTATGTTACTTTCATTGCAATAATGACCTCAGTTTATGGGTTAAAAAGGGCAATGGGAACACAAATAGTCTAATTAGATTAAAAATCAGTTATGATTGGTGCAAGTAAAGTTCAACCACACCTTCTCTTTCACACTCAGAGACACAAACACAGACACACACACACACACACGCACACACACGCACGCACGCACGCACACACACACACACACACCTACCAACCCAGCTGGTTCCTGTTTTTCAGGCACAAGAAGGCTATCAGACTATTAATTCTGGCATCTCAAAGAGAACGTCATTTACATCCTAAACACATCTGCGTGTCACAGGGTCATTGTTCAACTCAAAGAAATTTGTTTTTAAAATGTTATTATTTTTATTAAGGCTTAAAACCCCCACAGCTATGAAGTTTAAATAGGATACACGAGTTGGATCTTACCATCATCCATTATAGCGGTGGTGACGTCTGTTCCGGTGTAGCCCATCTCCCATGCCTCCACTACGTTAAGGTCAAGGCCGGCTACTCCTCCGCTCTGTCCGGTGTTCCTCTGAAAGAACACATTGTCAGTACTGAAAGAACATATTGTTAGTACTGAAAGAACATATTGGCAGTATTGACAGAACGCACATGAACCCTGCATTCAAAGGTGTTAAGAAACAAACTTGTTTCTAGAATTGTTGTATTGATGCTGGACATGTGAAATGATTTTAAGATATTCTTTTTTAATTGTATGGAAAGAATTCCAAAAGAATTTCAAAATAAATTTATGTGGTTAATAGTGCATCAAAAATATTTCTAGAGTGCCTCTGGAGCGCGACATAGTGGAGCCCCAGTCGAGGTCGAAACGTGATGTGTTTGCACACCGTTCGCGATCGATTATATGTTCGTGCTAAAAATATATAGTTTCACTGAATCATCATTACATCACGGAAGCGCAACAGAGCTAACAAGAACTTGGATGAGCGTCAGTATGCTTACAACTTGCCACAACTGGACTTGGCCTATACTTCTCATTCGGGGAAACTATTACATTAAGGCCAGTAAGCCTCAGGTGGCTAAGCAAAGTGTGCTTTCACCACTTGCTTGGCGGAGGTTGCAAAACATGTTATAAAACGATCTTTCAGAAAGAACCACCTCTGACATTTCAAATGCTTTCTATAAAATGAGTTTAGAGAATCAAAAACCGTCTTTTACGTAAATATATCTTGGCAACCGACCTAAGTCGTAACTTTCACGTTGCCAAATGTTTGTTCAATAAAGGAAAAAGGTCTTTTGTAAAAACAGAAAGGGTTACATTGCACAGAAGCAAATAACAGTTTCAATTGTACTATAAACACATTACGAAATGCGGGTCTTGTATCAACAACAGTCACGTGTCATGTTTCATAATCTATATTATTAAAAAATAATTTTGTATTATTGAATAGCGATTTCAAATTTATCTGCAAACTAGCAATATCCATTAGCACATAGTTTCACATTTGATGAGATAATATTTTAGACTATCTTGACACTGACAGGCCACATCACAGCAAAATATCCAAATTGAAAACTAGACTGAAAATTCATTTTAGCTACATGTATTTGATCATGTCGAAGTTCAAAACTAGCAGGTGTAAGAAAGAACAAAACTGACCAGATGTCAGCCATTATAACCAGTTAATGATTCTCGTACACTTTCTCCGCAAAAGGTCCATTTCCTGTCGTGTCCTTTAAAACATCATATCAAGCAATAATGACGGCCAGGAATCACCGGCATGCGGCCATGTATAAGGTGATGCGTGAGTGAGGTGAATTTCACCACTATAAACTGTAGGCATGTCCCAGTGTTCAGACTGGTGTTTGACACAATCGGAAAGTGGTCTGTGTTTGTGACGTGTACCGATGTGAAAGTAACGACAATCACGGGCATGACCTGGAAACTTAATGACTCTGGGGTTCGAACATCCCAACCTGTAACCAGCTGCTGTACCTTGGAAGACTGGACCACCCTTGGAGTGAGTGAGTGAGTTTAGTTTTACGCCGCATACAGCAATATTCCATCTATATGGCGGCGGTCTGTAAATAATCGAGTCTGGACCAGACAATCCAGTGATCAGCAGCATGAGCATCGATCTACGCAATTGGGAACCGATGACATGTGTCAATCAAGGCAGTGAGCCTAGTCATATTGTTATTTTTGTTAGTGAAGTAGAACTGGCACAACAAACTGATTATTTTGTGCAAGGATTTGTGCAACAACACCGTGTTGAAAATATTATCTAGATGTTATGCTCAATTCAGTTTTCGGAATATGCTTAATAGCCATATGTGTTGTTTACTGTGAAAACATGGCCTTGACTTGATTGGATGATTGTTCGAGTGAGTGAGTTTGGTTTATGGCGCTTTGTGTAGTATTTAAATTACATCACGTCAAACCTTGAACCGGAATCAGTATATGAACCAGCTTGACACAGGCGTACATTGTAAATCTTCAACAGATAACTTGTGTTATGTGAGAGACCAGGATGTTTCGGATGTTTCGCTATAAACTATATACCTGTAAACTTCATCACTGAATCAATATACAGTGTATACCGATGTTGCCAGGTTAAACATCCTATCCCTTGGTTTGATGTGTGTGCACCCAAACTACTCTCACAATAAGCACTATTATGAGTAGGCACACACCAACACTATGCCGTGACATTCTAACCACAGTCAGATGAGACCGATACTACTGAAATGTTAATAGCTATTGAGAGGCTGTCATAACAAATATGGGGAAACAGATTTGTCTTCAGTGTCAATTGAAACTTGTCATGTCTCCAGTAAATCGTCTCGTTACCAAGCAACCATTAAAGAATCGGCATCAAGACGGATAAATGGTGTCCGAAGTGAGGAAGGTTTGGTATCCGGCCAGTTGTCAGCTGTTTCGCTCTTTAAGAGGAAAGCTGAGTACTTCCGATTGAGCAAATTAAATACCTTGTTATCTGGGAAGTCCTGGAACTCTCTGCCACTCTCTGGTATTAATTGCATCTTCACGCGATTTCACTGAGAGATGTATAATAGATTCCAACACGACACTTTGAAAGGATGTTTGGTCAGTGTGACAGTGTGTCCCACTTGTTGTCTGTGAAGACATTGAACACTCACAGACCTCTTACCAATCAATAAGGAATGTGGTTTTTGAACATTTTATATAAGTTGCTATTTGATGAGGGTGTACTTTGCATAGATTTAATCTATATCTGTGTATTTCGTTCAATCGAGACCTCTCAATGACAACATTAAATATTCCTAATGATAAAATCTTAAACGAACAAATGAATAATACATTCATATATTCTTTTCCACGAAACATGTTGTACTGAACATCCAATCTCTTGTGTGCCATTTGTACTGGAACTTCATCATTACGTAAGTATTTACAGGTGGTCTTCTTTTATTTAGACACAATGCCCAATGGATATCCCGAAGCTGTTTGCTGTTTAATGCTGCATTCAGCAATATTCAAGCTGTATCAATAATCGAATCAGACAATCCAGTGTTTGTCATGAGAATTGATGACACAATCGAATCACTGAGCCTGACCACAAATCGGTTGAGTTTCATCTGAACTGGATGGCTCCAATGGTAACTTGGTAGATTGTGTGTCATCATGAACCAATGGTGGCGACGGTAGCTCATGACTGGTGTCTGTCCCAGGTTGGATATCGTTGCAAACGGTTGTGATATAGTTTCAACATTTCAAACATCATTTTATTACTCACTCACTCATAAGAAATACTTAAAACCCTTAAGTATGAAAACGAAAGCACTTACCAAGTACCATTCTTTGTCAAAATCTGGATCTGTGGGTAATTTTGGCTTTGGCTTTTCAAAAACTGGGTAATTTACTATTTTGGGCTTTTGTAGCCTAAAATCCGTAAGTATAGCATCCAAAGGTTTATAGCCTCTTTTCTGACGTAAATATCCGGTGAGTTGAACGGCGCTTTTTACCTATGAAAAGAAGGAAAAGCAAAATCATTAAAAGATGTAGTTTAAACGATTTAAAAGATACATGCATAATTTCCTTACCTTTTTCCAGGTGCCATCACTGATTTTCAGTGAACCACTCAAATAACGTTAACCTTCACCTCTTAGTTGGCATTTACGCCAGATAGAATATGTTTTGTCGAACAATGAAGACCATTTATATTCTGGCACTGACTTTTTTATATTGTACATATGTCATAAGTAATGAGCCGTATAAGCCACATTCATATATAAAATAATTATACCATTATACAGCACACCTACATACAGCATGCCAGTGATTAATTAAGACAGAAAATAATAGCATGCTTTGTTAAATATGGCCGAAATGGCCGAAATGTTTGAACAGAATGAACAATGAAAACAAAGGACAGGACTGACTGACTGACTGAGTTTGGTTTTACGCCGCTTTTAGCAATATTCCAGCAACATCACGGCGGTGGACAACAGAAATGGGCTTCACACATTTTACCCATGTGGGGATTCGAACCCGGGTCTTCGGCGTGACGAGCCAACGTTTTAACCACTAGGCTACCCCACCGCCCCCAAAGGACAGGAATCTCAACATAACACATAATCATACATGCTCTCGAATGATTTTATAGACTATTAAGATAATCGTTATTTTCATTACCATCCCAGAGTTAACTGCATCGAGCAACGTGTGAATTAATATCTAATCCAGCCAGCAGTTATACTTACATGGGGATGTGCCTTTAAGAGTCTAGTATGCGGTATGCTTCGCTTTGATCTGGCATGGTGAACTCCCTTATGGATGAGATGAAACTGTGTTTGTGAGTTGAGAACCTGAAACAAAATTGCAATTGAAATAATTATCACAGTTCACAAATGCTAATAACTTGTTTCTAAACAGTTAAATAGCTGCCTAATAAAGTTCCAAAGGCAGGTTGTCTTTGGTACATGACATTTGCACCAGTTCTCTGTTAACGCCTTAAAACATGTAAATTATGTAAATCCTGTAAATATTGTTAATGCTGAATATATGACAGAATCATTAAATAATTGAGCTAATAGATGACTATTCCATGGTATCATATCGCATGCATCTGTATCACTAGCAATGCCATCAATGCTGCGATTCGTGTAAATCCACATGTGTGAACCATGGTATGTCTTGCAATCTTAAATCCATCAAATAAATAAGTATGGTATAAATATTGATTTGTGCTGTCAATTATATTGTAATTGACAAGTCTGTTATGCGAGAGATTCTGGAAAAGGGGATATTGTTGTTTTTTGTTTGAGAAAGATTATATATAACTGCTGCAAGTCAAATAACGGTTGTTCAAGACATCCATCATGTGTTGAGAATACCGGTTTTTAGAAGAAACAAAACTATTGTTTTAGCCTGTCATTTTTGAAGCAATCGTTGGTTTATTTAGGACACGACTGCGACACTTTCAATCCATTTTTGGCATGTAATGGTCTGTCACCTTAACGGGGAGGAGATGCGGGGTGGACTTGTTATAAATAGGTGGCACCAGTGACTACAAGCACGATGCCGACACTCCATGGAGCTGACACAAAACACCGTGAGAAACTAATTTCTTTTAAAAGACAAAATATCATGGATGTCAACATCGTTTCTGGGCGTTTTCTTGCTCCTTCGTCAGATGAAAGAAGAAGAAGTTCACATCCATCATATTTTGTCTTATACTTGAATACCAACTTTTATATGCCTCTCAAGAACCTTAGTTTCGTTTGTTGTAATTCAAAGTTGGAATATTTTCTAGTTTATTAATGTATATTTTATACACATGGGAATATTTCGGCTTAATAAGCAAACTTAAAACAAACGAACACATGTCATCTTGCATAATGTTTATATTGACTGATGACAATCTTTGACAAGACAGGGTCGGCATTCTCGTACATCATTTCTGTATGTAGAAGCAACTTAATGATCATGCAGGGGAATGGACGGAAACGACTGAGCTGATTCGAGCCGAAAGACAACAAATTTAATGTGTTTTTCAAGCAATTGCCCACACGACTAGTAATGGTGTTATTTCTCTCCAGAGATAAGGCAAGTTAATGGTTCAGTATGAAAAAAAATACAGAAGACATATATGATTATATTCATAGAAACAAGCATGTGATATACATAAATAACATACGATTCCACACCGCCTGACAATGCCTGTCATCAGACGGTCAAGATCATCATCAATATTTCATATGGTATTCACCTCTGCCGAGCGAACTACTTCGCGAAAGATAATTAAGGTAATTTGAGCAGCTGGGGACACAGCAGTTGGCGTTGAGATGGATGTCTAAATCTAACTGAGAGACCATGTTGCAGTCTACCGGGTATACGTCTCACACTGATGTCACGTCGACCAGTCGTTAAGATCCCCATAATCCCCTGCATCAGGTAGAGTAACAACAAAGATCATATCATAATGTGTTTGGTATGATGCGACCGCCGGGAATCGAACAATCGACCTTATGCTCTCCGGGCAGATGCTCAATCTACCAGGCCACGATGGCTGAGAGAAGAAAGAGGTCATGTCTATATCAGTTGCGGAGTTACAGAAAGACGGTCCTGGCTGAGGAAGTTTCACTTTATAAATGTAACGATGTAACGGATAGATTTGAAAATAATCTAGGACTAACGTCCTAATCATCTACACTATTCACATTTATATTCAGAATGATCACCAATTGTACGCAATACATTTATACTTGCCATGTATTGCACTCATCAATCACTTTTACATTACGTATCCATCAACTTGGAATGCAGAAATGACAACATGTACCCAGTGATCTTCGTTCAATTCAACATTTCAATATGTTCTCAATATGGTAACAGTGAAGGAGAGGAATAATAGCTTGCACAAAAGCCCATGTGTGAACACTACCTAGCGACAATAAGGATATTACATTAAAGCCAACTTTGCTGGGTGTGGGTGTTGGGTTATGTAATCACGGCAAAGTGGCAATAGTCACAGTAGTTTTACTTTCATTTAATGCTAAAGTATATATAAAAGTAAAATTATGTATAAGCACAAGCAAGAATGCGTTGCGTTGCCTGTCGTAATGAATTGTCCGGAAGCAATGGAATTGATTTTTAAAATATATCATTCCACTTTAAATGAGTTCAAACTGTTTTATAGATTTCGAAAATCAAAACGATTTATGAATATAGATACCCAGAGGAGGAAAACATTTGTACAGAAACATTTCAAAATGACTTCTTTTCACCCCATTCTGACATTTCAAAATAAGCTAAATCAAAACGTTTGTGAAAGAAATCCAAAACAAACCAACGCATCCTAACACTAAGGTTTCCGTGTCAGTATTACCCAGAATAACAGTAAATATATCATGAATAATTTATCTGGTAATCAGCAGAACAACCAGAAGTTCGGCAATCACCACAGTATCCGACTCGAGTTCCTCGGTGATGCCCGTGACATGGCCACAGTGCTACACAGAGGATGAGAAAGGCGTTTTGTTGAATGCCAAATGAGATCCAGGTACCAGAAGCGCTGGGCTGCTAGCCCCAGTGACAGTGCAGCTGTAAAGGCTCAAGCGATTACTGTCAGGAGCAGGCCATCTCTAGAAGATTGGAACTGCCACTGGTTAGCTTTGATGTCAGTTTGAAGACCAACGCTGCTTGATTAAGACTGACGTCAATTAGACTCATTCCAGAGATGTGTCTTGTTTTTATCGTGGTGGAAGATTGAAGCGGATTTAAGTGGGTTTGAATGGAAACTGAGGAAGTTGCTATTTGGAAATTAAATGATGTTTTGTGCACTTTAATTTAAGTAATACCTAAAACGTAAAATAAAAAGCCCGTTTATCCGAAACGTTACGGGGACAATAATCAAACAAATATTCCCTAGTTGCCAATCCAAACCATTGCATGGATGGTTGTCAGTGTCATTCGATATTTATTGCAATTACAAGCAAAACAAAATCAATAGTTAATACCCTTTTTATGAGAAGCCAATGAAATGTGATGAGTTCTATACATTGGGCGATATGCTTATCTCCATTAAAGCTGGTAGAGATTCTACTTAGTTCTATTTGTCCTGGAACGAGCATAATCTAAAACTGTTCAGCTGCTAGTATATCTATAAGCTATTGAACTTGTTTATATACTCATGTCAATAATGGTTGTCACCCCCTTCATTTTCTTTTTATTGGAGAGGGGGTGTGGTGTATGTGTGGGGTGTGTGCGTGGGGTTGGGGTGGGGAGGGGGGTGACAACCATTTTTGGCATGAGTATAGTTGTAAAGATAAATAGATATGTTATAGGTAAACCATGACCAACAAATCTTTACTTCCCGTCCGTGTCAAGAACTGACAAGTGGTTTGTGGTAATTGCTAATCGCCAACCAACAATATTCCAACTGTATAACGACGGGAGGGCTAAACCAGTGAAACTAGTGGTTGATGTTAAGACCAACGACGAAAGCAAACAATCAAGTCACCACGTGTGTCTACCTGATCCAGTCAGAGTTTGCTGAGTGTCCATGTTATGTCTTATATTTCGACATGAACATGACAATGCAACAACACATGTCATGAACAATGAGTGAGTGAGAACAGGATTACCGTCGATTAAAACACGTACTTGTACACATCAAGAAATGTCAAACCACATACACAGACACTGACGAATCAATCCTAATCATGGTTCATCTTGGATTCGAACCAGCAATCATAGCATTCCGGCAAGAATATGAGGCACACAGTGCATTGTGGGACCGAGACGCCAGGGACGGTCGTGACGCCTAATTTAGCAAGAAATCCGTACGAGATTGACATTAAGAAAATAAGCATCCCTTTTATCAAGAGGCCGTTATGAAGTCTGAGCCTTCATGGAAGATCCCATTGACATTTCAGAAACTGCTTTATTGAATTAGTTGGGCCTAATCTGGAACAGGGGCGGTCTGAAGCGTCACCTCTGTCAGTAAAGGCCATGTATGAAAGTAAGCAGATAACATCAATGACCTTTCTCAACTTTCTATCCTCCAGAACACAGAATTACCTTCCCCAGATTTAATTTGCGACTCCACCTGGGACCTTCAAGGCGTTAATCGCTGAAATACTGCCAACACCCGAGGTCACTCACGCACTCAAGAATTAGGGTCAGTCAGCGCTTTGAAAAGATACATTTTTCTCTCTGCCCCTTGACCCCTAATGAGAGGACCAAAAGACGTTAAAATATGGTACTGGTTGGTCCCCGCCTGGCGCTCGGCATTAATGGGTACAACAAGGACTGGTTGGCTCGGAGTCAGTATAATGTGTCTGAATGGGGTATTCATGCTTGGCATGCGGTATGGTATCTCAGTGGGCTAGCACTATAAACCAGCTTAAGTCTGGGCTAGTACAAGCAGCCGAACATGCACATACACACGCATGCACGTCGTCATATGAGCGAAATATTCTCAAGCACGACGTAAAACCCAATTTCACCTCACCTCACCTCACCTAATGAGAGGATTGAGGTATAATACTTCTGGATCTATGGTTCTCAGTGCCCCTGCTGTCAGAATACCTCATTCACTGTGCAGTGTGACAAAGCAGGGATTCCTCATTGACCGTGTGTATGTGTGGGCGTGCGTGTACGTGCGTGCGTGTTTGGCCTCGACTAATGTTTGATAGTGCAAGCCCAATCACATACCGTTCCGCAAGTTAAACATTGATATTTCATACGGACTCCGAGTCGTCCAGTCCTTATCTTAATCCCATTAATAGATAACCAACATATTTTCTCAGTAAAGTGTGGGGATATTGAGGGATCAGTGAATCTTATAGATACTCCACATGGC